TTCTCCCCGGTTGTCTCACCTTGTAGTTTACCTCACCCACCCTCTCGATCACCTCATAGGGTCCATGCCACTTGGCCAGGAACTTGCACTCAACTGTCGGAATCAGACAAACTCCCCTGGCTGGAACTCCCATCGTCGAGCTCTACGGTTATAGATCCTGGTTTGGGCATGTTGGGCTTGGTGCATATGTTCCCGCACCAGGGCTCACCTTCAGCAGCTTGCACATCTCCCTCATCACCTGAGACATGAAGCAGGTTCTCTGGTCAGTTAGGACTTCCTTTGCAATTCCAACTCTACTAAAGAGAAGGAATAATTCTCTCGCAACTGCTTTAGCATTTGCAGTACCCAGAGGCAGTATCGGAACTGCCTCTAGGTACCGGGTGGCATAATCCATGATGACCAGGATATAACGGTGTCCCCTATTGGACTTTGGGAGGGGTCCTACTATATCCTTGGCCACCCTCTGGAAGGGGGTAGTCAATAATTGGTAGTGGAATTAAGGGATTCTGGTAGTTTACCTTTGGAGCGGTCTTCTGGCACAATCTGCTGCCATCTTGTGTGTACTATAAAAGACGATAGTATCAACATGGTATGAATCCATCGTCACCTGTCAGAAGCTCTAAAATCTTTATTTCTTCATTTGTGATGAGCATTGCTCTCATTAAGTTTGTAGTGTATAACTGTTTGTCCTTGTTGGATATAAATCAGTTAGATATTGACAATTGTAGAGCAGAATAAAATATTAACTAATTAGAACAGCAACAGTGGATACAGTAGAATAAAATAACAATAACAAAATCAGTACTGTTGTCAACAATAGTAATGTGACTACTAATAATAATTAAGGTAGATGTGGATGTCAGGCAGCACCAGTGCCGGAACAACCAATGTTCAGATATAACCAGCATCCACAGAAAGCTGTGTGGATAAAACAAAATCCCCTTGGCTTCCTCGTCATCCTGTTTTAACAGAAATGAACCAATTATGAAAACAAGATTTTCTGAAAATGCTACACATAGCACCTTTAAAAAGGTGTGTGCAGTGCCGTTGGTGATTTTTTGTCTTCAGGTGTGGGCCCTTGAGTGCTTGGCTGGAGTTTAGTTTCTTGTATTTGTGTGTGGTCTTGCAAATTACATAGTAGATATAAATGAAATTCACACTGTTGGAGTGTTCATTTGCTATTCATTTGCAGTTACTATTTTAGACACATTGCCATTACACTGGGTTTTAAGCATCTGTGTTTGCCGACAGGCAACCCTACCCCCGAGGAGGAGGAGGCCCGACGGATCTCAGAGATGGGCAAACCCACTCTAGGAGAGCACAGCAGGCTGGAGGTCATCATAGAGGAGTCCTGTGAGTTTAAGGTGTGTGAGTGGCTAAAAGAGGGCATTACAAGTGAAACCAACTGACAAACTCTGATGAATACAACAATGAATACAAAGCTGTTATCAGGTTAGGTCCATTTGGAAATATGCATCCTGAGCTCACTGCGTTGTTATAAAGAAAATTTAAGGAAAATATGCAGCTTTAAGGCAGGTTTTAACATATTATGACGCCTGCATCTCTCATGTTTCTTTGTGAAATATGCCACTATGTGCATTCAATGTGCCATAGGAGATAGATTAACATACAGACCTTTACAATTTGAGTGTAATTTCTTTTCAAAGCTTTAAGAAATAAAAAGCACCTCAGGGATCGGGGGCTGTTCTTGTTTAGGTATATGTCTTTTAGTTCATTCAGTTCAACTGACTTACAACCCTTTACTCACCAGACTCCCAATGGAGTTCTAGACCAGGTACTGTTTTTGCCAGCATTCTGTGTGTGATGGGACTGATAGGACATTGTTTAAGTTTCTCACTAAACTCTCATTATACTCTACTGATTACAAAAGCATCTTTTACTCAGAATCAGAATCAGAGTCGGCTTTATTGGCCATGTATGTTTACACATACATGATATTTGTCTCTGGTTACATGTTGCTCACTCATATCTACCCTTTCTCCTTTTTTGACTTCCTTCAGGTTTTACATGCATCATGATTTTAGATGTGTGTAGATTTATGTGTGCAGTGTGTGAAGTTCTGGGTCAATTGTGAAATAAAGTGGTTTGCATGCTTACCAAAATATGCCATGTTTATTTTTGCCATATTTATTTTGGATCTTGCCTATGAAACAAGTTAATACTTACCTTTCTCTGCTGCCAAAGGGTTAACTAGTGCAGACAATTCTCTTTTCATGTAAAGATGTTGATCGAGGTGCTCCTGTGTGATAATATGAGCTATGAAAGCCTCTGTCACATTACTTCATGTGTTGTTACAGAACACAGTGGACAAACTCCTGCGGGACACCAATCTGGCCGTGGTGCTTGGCACTCACTCGTGGAGGGAGCAGTTCATTGGAGCGGTCACAGTCAGTGCAGGTTAGTGGTTCACTTGTTGTTTTTTTTCATAACAATCATTTTGTCAAACCACGAAATTCCCAGTTTTGAAATTCAAAACTAACTAAGGTAAAATGAGAAGTGACAGCTTTACAGGCGGTAATGCGCATGTCTAAGTCTCAGCTCCGTTCAAAATTATAAACTATTCCTTGAAATAAAGTTATTATGAAGATGAGCTTTGTTTGATTGAACATTACTGTGTTTACAGGAGACGGAGATGAGGACGAGGGACAGGAGCAGCGAATGCCCAGCTGCTTCGACTATTTCATGCACATATTGTGCGTTTTCTGGAAGATTCTATTTGCCTGTGTCCCACCCACAGAGTACTGGAACGGCTGGGCGTGCTTCATAGTGTCGATCTCTGTCATTGGTTTCTTAACAGCCATTATTGGAGACCTAGCTTCTCATTTTGGCTGCACCGTTGGCTTGAGGGACACCGTCACCGCGGTCGTCTTTGTAGCACTGGGGACTTCACTTCCTGGTAAGCATTAGTAATACGCAGTTGTTGTGTTTTTCCTGAATTCAGTATTCTAGACCTTTTATTTAAATATTTGTTAACTTCATTTTTTCCCAGATACCTTTGCGAGTAAAGTGGCTGCCACTCAGGACCAGTATGCGGATGCATGTGTGGGGAACGTGACAGGAAGCAACGCGGTCAATGTGTTTTTGGGCATTGGCGTGGCCTGGTCCATTGCTGCCATATATTGGCAAGTCAAAGGTAAAGTCTTCCGCGTTGACCCTGGCTCACTGGCCTTCTCCGTCACACTCTTCACCATCTTTGCCTTCTTCGCCATGGGGTTGCTGATGCTACGCCGGAGGCCGTCCATAGGAGGAGAACTTGGCGGCCCTCGGATCTCGAAAATCCTCACTTCGCTCTTCCTCTTCGGACTCTGGTTCCTCTACATCCTCTTCGCAAGCTTGGAGGCCTACTGCCATATACAGGGCTTCTGAGAGCGCACAGCTTGGGAGAGTTAATATGACAGTAAAAAGAAAAAACACACATCACCGGGACATTCACCTGTGCAGCTCTGTTCCAGTGATTACCACTGACCTATCTTCACTTGAAAAACTGCTGCCATGGTTACATTAAAAATAAAAAAATCAATATTGATATATATCTATGTATATGTATACAAACACACTACATGCAAAAATCTGTACATTTTACTCACTGAATGTTTGGGCTGAATAACATGCAGTGATGTTTTTCGATGAAGGAAAGCGAAGCAGGTCAGCACGTACTCTGTGGAGTCACTGGATTTTGCTCAATTCTGGCCTAATGCCTGACGGTTCATAACCTAGATTTCAAGTTTGGGCCTCCCTTCTCCTCATGCTAATAAAGGCTGGATCAGAGTAGACTGCTTGACCTGGTAATTAGATAAGAAAAACAGTTACAGCTGCTTTTACACAGATGTACAATGTAAGGATGTCTACATGCTTGTACCATGGCTACTTGTCCAAGTTTGTTGGTCAGTAATCATTGACCATAATAAGGTGTATCTGCTCAAAGCAAAAAGTGATGTTGCTATGGTTACCTATAGTTTGTGCAGACATATTCAAAACAATAGAAGAACACTGTGTTTTTGTCGTGGTATATGACTTTGAATGGACCTGCCAGCCAACCACAAGAGTTCCCTGCCGGCACAGTATTCAAAACAAAGCACATTTTGGTTACAATCTACTGCTAAGCTGCTGGTACTGGTGTAGTTATCTATCACTGATCAATTATATTTCTCTGTTGAGTTATGTGATACAAGGCATTGTTTAGTGTAATTTAATGCACCTACTGAGTTGAATCTCACTACTACTACTGAAAATAGTAAATTATCTGAAATGCAATAGTCCTATATTGGAAAGTATGATTTACAAAGAATTTTACGGGCAATTAATTTCTACTAAGCCGTAAAAAGAAAAGAAAAATGTATCTGCCATTGAGTGTGATAATTTGAATATTTATCTGTGTATTTATCAATGGTGTAATTGAATGTCTTTGTAATTTAATGTCTTTGAGCTGATATTACCAAAATGCATTGTAATTTATTGCAAGCTGTCATAATTACATCGAACTTTTGAAATTTTAACTGAGTGTGTCTCTGTTGGGTGGAACTATTACTTCTTCATTAGTGCAAAAGAAGGGGGGTCTACGGGTGCATCGCAGCTGCAGGAATTCTTTGGAAGGGAAAACATTTTTTCTGAATTGTGTTGATATGGAAAAATCCTGACTGAAAAAACAAAAACATACCTAACATGAAATTGCAGTAACATTTTGACATTTACATTTTTAATGCAGGTGAAATGTAAGATGACAACATCTCCACTTGAGATGACAGTCTAATAGTGTGCATGATGAGATGGTGCCTGAATGGAGCTGCTAAGGCCTAAAACAAGGCTCAAGAGCCAGGATCCAAGTCATCTTTGATTGGCATTTAAGGAGATTAATTAATATGCAGAAATGTACACATGTCAACAGAACAAAATGTGAGTTTAGGATCTAAAGCAGCTGTTCGTACAAAAACTGTATACGAATTTAGCTTCCAGATGTTCAAAAGGGTCTTCCGTTTTCCCACATACCATGAATGCATCAATTAACCGGCACAGGGGACAGGACAACATGGCTGCCGCTGTGGGCCGATACTACGGAGAAGGCGGCAGAGCATCGAAAAGACAGAAAACTGAGGACGGAGGGATGTCAACGGTGAGTCTATTCCTCTGGTCTGAATCGTTAAAGTGTTGCTTTGCTGAAATGTTCCACGTTTTGCTTTTCTAAGAGTCTTAATTTAGCTTGACAAAGTACTGCTTATCATGCATCTACATCTAGGCTAACACCTAACGTTAGCTAAGATGAAGCTAGCCACGTTAGCGGTATTTATATCAGGTTTGGATTGAAACGTGTTAAAGCGGAATAACTCAGTATATCACTTAGGAAACCATACGCGCTCATTAGTAACGTCAGCCGCCATCGTAATAATGTTGTTTTCTCGCCCCAGCTAACGTTAATGTGAGTCTCTACGGGCCTGCTGCTCCTTGGCTTGTTCCCCGGTGGTCGCAATCCTTCATAAACCAAAAGCATCATGTTGTGTGTTTCGTTGGCAGGAGGGCTACGATGACCCTCACAAACCGCTGCCCTCCTCGGTGGTGCACATCAGGGGCTTGGTGGACGGCATCATGGAGGCTGACCTGGTGGAGGCCCTGCAGGAGTTTGGGGCCATCAGGTATTAAAAGAGCACCTACAGTATCTTGAGATTATCATGTTTCCCGTCTCATGCAACCTCATTCGTCAGCATTCATAATAACCTCTTGCATGCACTCACAGACAACACAGTCCTGACATAATGTCATCCTATCAAGCTGCTATGACCATGTAGAGTAATACCTTTTCAAATGTTGATTCTGGTTGAGACATTTATGTATTTTCCTTGTGGGCCAGATGTTCAGTTGTACACTAAATCCGCATGTGAGATGCTACAAGCACTTTTTATTTAAACCGATCGTGATACAAATTAAATCAAAAAATGATGGAGCCATACTTGATTGACAAAAGGCTGCTACAAAACATGTAAATAAAACAAATAATTTCACTTCAGAAGTTTTCAATAATAATAACGCTTCAATAAATTATTCAATAATAATGGCGCTGTGTCTGCCTTCATGTAGTGAGTGATTTGGCCAATACTGGCTTTATGTAAAACGGGTTATGTATATCGCAACATCAATCTATATGGATTTGAAGGCTGTTGTGGCATCTTGTTTATGTGACTAGTGCTTTCATTAATCAAGCCTAAAATGTATTTATACTACTTCTTTACTATTTATATTGTACTATTTATTTACAGTTATGTCGTTATGATGCCCAAGAAGCGGCAGGCCCTGGTGGAGTACGAGGACATGAATGGCTCCTGCAATGCCGTGACATATGCAGCTGAGAACCAGGTTTACATCGCAGGCCATCCCGCCTTCATCAATTATTCCACTAGCCAAAAGATCTCCCGGCCAGGGGACTCCGAGGACACCCGGAGCGTCAACAACGTCCTGCTGCTCACCGTCATAAACCCCATCTATCCCATCACCACGGTAACTTGTCCTCTCATTTACAGTACATCCGTATTCTCAGCGCTTCGCTTTTTCCACATTTTGTTGTTATAGCCGTATTCCAAAACGTATTTAATTCACGATTCTACACACAACACCCCATAATGACAATGGGGGGGAAAAAAACTTGATAAAGCTTTTTAAATTTTTTTTTTTATTAAGAACAAAAACCTAACCTGTACATAAGTATTTGCAGCCTTTGCTCAATACTTTGTTAAAGCACCTTTGGCAGCAATTACAGCCTCAAGTCTTGTATAACATCTAATATAGATGATGCTGCAAGCTTGGCACGCCTATTTCTGGGCACTTTCTCCCATTCTTCTTTTGCAGAACCTCAAATGTTCAGGTTGGATGAGGGGGCTTCGGTGCACAGACATTATCAGATCCTTCCAGACTGGGTTCGAGTCAGGGCTCTGGGTGGGCCGCTCAAGGACATTCACATAGTTATTCTAAATTTCCCCACCATGTCATTATGGGGATTTGAGTGTTGAATCTTGTGGGGGCCAAAAAATATAACTTTGGAATAAGGCTGTAAATCTGATGGTATATCACAGAACCTTTTTTCTGAGCAAACCCATTTATTTATTGTCGCCGAAAAGGAACGCCGACCAACTGAACAGCTGTTCAACTCGCTCGCAACATGGCGGCAAATTAGCTCATTAGCATGTTAGCTGTTTTGGCTGCTTGTGTTGCTATTTGTGAGGCAAATACTAGCATCCTGACCAACTTTGCAATAGATCGTTTTTCTGATCTAACTTTAGATTTCTCAAAACCAAACAGAAACCTCTCCTCTCTGGGGCACATGTGTTGGTGCATCCCTGGTCTCTTGTTGTTCCCCCGGCATCCCTCTTTTCCGTGATTTAATAAAGCGACAACGTTTGTTCTTGCTGTGATAGCGGGCGAGCTACATTGTACTTGTATGGGTTTTAAAAATTGCTTGTGTCAAAAACTGTTGTGTCGTGGTGTTTTACCCTTTTAAAGAGTATTAGTTGTCGGTTATTCATTGATATAACCATGAGTCAATCTCAATACACGTAAGACAAGTAGCTCCAACCGTTGCACGCTCTGCATCAGTTGTTACGGCTTTACACTGTTATGACTGTATGTGAATAACTCACACGGTAAGGAAATCTGCTAGCTCCATGGTTACAAATGCAGACAGAATCCTTTGCAAGTTCATGAAAGTAAAAGAAATTAGATGTTTTGTTCAATGGGCTGAAAACCCCCTGAGAAGTTCTGCTGCCAATCGGTGCATCATTAAACCCATATGGAAGCATGCGTATCTATTATTCTGCATTGGCATGGTTGTTGCAGCCTGTGCATTTTATATTTTCCTTCTTCACTCAACATACTTTTCTTAACTACTTTGGATTTCTTCTCTTGACGACACTCAATTCTATAGGAATGAAAAAAAATATTTATTTTTCAAAGGTAATGGGAATGCTGTGGAATAAAGTGTGCTTGCTATATTAGGAGTGCAATGTGATCTGTTTGCCTCTGCAGGACGTGCTCTACACCATTTGTAACAACTGTGGGCCTGTACAGAGGATTGTCATCTTCAGGAAGAATGGTGTTCAGGCCATGGTGGAATATCCTTTTTAATGATTGCCTTTTTATTTTTACATTTGAACACTAATTTTCCACTGTGTTGCTGTTTGATTTAGAAATCTTGGATGTAATCAAATCTCACCTTAACTCATTGTTGCCACGTTTGACTCTGTCCAAAGTGCTCAGAGAGCCAAAGCCTCTCTGAATGGCGCAGACATCTATTCTGGTTGCTGCACTCTAAAGATTGAGTATGCCAAGGTGAGCGTATGCCCACAGCTCATCCAGCCTGGTGCTTTAACATTAGATGTTTGTGAGGAAACAGGGTTTGACTATTATTTTTTGTAATGCAATCCACAGCCAGCACGACTTAATGTCTTCAAGAACGACCAGGACACGTGGGACTATACAAACCCCAACCTCAGTGGCCAAGGTAACACGCAGTCCCTGACCCTTTCCTCCTCCTATTTTCTTCCTCTGATTCCTCTGTATGAGATGGTAAGGGATCTCTGCCTCCGGGTTTATGGCCTTTGATCACATGTGAATGGTTTCATCCACCGTTCACAACGCTACTCAGCTCAGTGGTCAGAGACCGTATTCCTGCGATGCTTTTCACGATCTTTGTGCATTTACTCGCCACACAGCAGGCTCAAAGTAAGGGCATGAGGAGTAACCTCAAGGGCAGCCTACCTTGATTTCAGGGTCATGCATGAAAGAAGCCCTGCACACTCGTCACAGTAGCCTATCTAGGAGCACCATTCCCTCATTAGGTTCACATTCCCTACAGAGCATGTCACAGCTACACACTCTCACAGTGCTGCATACTCTATATTAAAGAGACTATCACAGCTATTATACCTTCAAACATAGTGGAGATTTTATCAAGCTCATATGTGACATTGCACTGGCCAGCTGAGTTGCCTTGTGAGACCAATGGTCACACCTCTGGTTAAAGGTCCCATGACACGACTCCTGAGATTTCTCCAGCTTTTGGTACACTGAACAGGAGCGTAAGTACAATGAACATCGTCAGTGACACCGCGACATTACGATCGGCATCTACAGTAGCTGTTGTGTTTAGTTTTATTGGGTGGATCATTTTGAATATATATATATATATTATTTTTTTCATTTACTATTGGATATGGGTTGCATCGATAAACAATTTGTTTTAAAATCAACAACTTAAAAACCAAGGTCCTTGCATGCTGGAAACCTCCAAGAAAAAATCCACTCCCACTTTGTGATGTCGGAGATTCTTTGCCACTACAATGACAAAAATACAGGTTGAAATACAAAATAATGCTCCAGCAAGAGACAAAAAGTCAAGTAAGGCTCTGGATAGTGAAGATGATACTGCAATTCACATTTGCTTTTGATTCTTTGTGCTAGGCAATAGGGCCTTACTGTAGTTTGAAACAATATTACAAATACTTTATTTAAGTGTATCTGTATTGAGGATTTTATTTTGATTTCCTTTCTTGGCAACCACTGTTAAATGATTTTTTTTCTTGTACCACGGGCACAACATGTACATTCCAAGTCTTATACAGGTGTTTGACATCTTTCTTTTAATTTGCGCTGCCTTACAAGCCAGAGGTACCCTTTGTGTCCTCACTGTGCAAACTCATACAGGCTTACATCAACCTCTAAGCAAACACGGAGGCCTCTACAGCACAACAGCACCCACAGCCACAACTAATGTAAATCTGTTCTGTGGAATACATCGGACACAGTGGGGCAGGGCAACAAATACCGGAACACAACCTCAACTCAGTACTTCCTTATTCCAAGTCCATCATCACTCCTGCCTCCGCCACCTGACACGGGAGTCCATTTTATCTTTTGGTGGTGGCCCGTAGCTGCCGTTTCAGTTTTAAAGGACAGAAATATTCCCACGGCCACATGAACAGACACCGCGCATATCCACCACAGACTGATGTTGATAGATTGATAAGCATCTACCCCCCCTCCCCCCCACACCTCTCCGCCAGTACAGCACATCTCATCCGCAGAGACCCGAGGAGTCACAACACACTGATGATGAGGGCTTGGAGTGAGGCGTGTTGGTCTATCCGGAAGCGGCCGCCATAAAAGAACCACAGGGAGCAACAGAGGAGATTTCAGACACACTCAACCCGGCCAGGGAACAGACGAGACCGCACACTGGGGCTGTAAACAAAAAAGAGAGGCCATTCCCTTTCTCAGATGCTTATACCGCTCGTCTCCACCATCCTTGGGCGAACACAACACAACGAGCCGAACATCCACGGCAACACACAGCTGAAGCATCATGACAGCACATCGTCACTCAGATATTCCAGATGACTTATTGTCGGCGCTAGATTTCTTTTTCACTTTGCCAGTGGCTGACCTCTATTAAAGCAAATCAGCAAGCATCACGTGAGTGTCCCATTTTTTTTTTTACACAAGAAGAAACATCCACGGGGGGGCCTACGAAGACACAAGCATCAAACACCTATCAAGCGTTCAAGCACAGAGACCACAAAACAAAATCCTTTTCTACAGCGTCCTACATTTATGGACTCGGGTGTTTTCTTCCCCTCCTGTACCTTCTTCCCCATTTCCCCTCTCTGTTCTGCTCTTGTGTTGTTTCATTTTCCTTTTTTTTTTTTTTTTTTTGCACTGGCCCGTAGTTGATGCCTTTAACGCCTCCCGTGTGATGCAGGTTTGGCTCAGTGTGTCTGGACAGACAGCCCACTCTCAAACGGTGCAAATATCCTGCTTTGTGGTCACAGCACGGTAAGCTGGAAATGAGCCCTCGTGAAAAGCAACTCTCAAAAACTAACCGGCAGCAAGTCAAAGCCAAGCGTGGATGTACTTTTCTTTCTGGTGGTTGGGATACAAGGAAAGGAAGAAGGAAGAAAAGACTGAAGAGGGAGAATGAGTTGAGGCTGGAGTCAAGAGGTTGGCAGGTAGCATCCTTGCTGAAGACTGCCCCCTACCTGCCCACTGTGTCCCATGCTCCATGTGTGGTGCTGTAAGTACTTGACAGAATGAATTCATAACCTGACTTAATCGTGAAAAGTAGAACATGAGTGTGAACCGAAACATGTCGAACTGTTCAGCCATTGTGTTAATACTACAATATGGTAAAGGCCCATAGCAACACTAGCGAGCAACGGGTTTTTTAATTTCACTGACAAACTGGGTCTGAATTTTCTTGCTAACTTCTATAATTTGTCTTTATTTTCTGTCTCGTTGTACTTCCTCATGTCGGGTTAACATCACTATCCAGAGGAATGAGTGGGTCACGCAGCAGTTTCTAGGCAAAACCCTTTATTTCATTGTGGGTGTGAAAAGTGCAGTGTTTTATTTGGATCCACCACTAGTAACACTAGTAGTTAAATGGTCCATTACAAAGAAGAGATTCAATTTTACAAACCATAGTTTGGATCTAGTGCTGTTTTCTGTTTTGTTTTGTTTAGCACAGTTCTTAGGTGAGAATATTGAATCACTACCCACAGTGATCTCCTTGCTTGTTGATTTGTGACTCGAGTTGCACATTCAATCTAGGACACATTATAAACAGCCTCTGATTAAGCATTAGCTCCACATATGTTTAGTCAGGGTTGGAACTTGGCACTATTCACTGGCTAAATGCTCACATAATATGAAATTCGCCACTAGTTTTGTTCCAACCGCCAGCCCTAAACACAGTAACCGTAATGGCTGGTAGATTTTACACTCCACCAGATTAAAAAAAACCTTATCTAATACCCAGTCTACATGTGTTCATAGCACAGCATGTATGCACCTCATAACAATGCTGCAAATTTAAGGTTTGATTACAGCTAACGTGTCTGGTATAGTAAATCTATTTTAAATTACATATGTGAAATAGATTTGATGTCAAAAGCTAAATGTAACCAAATATAAATCTTTTTTCACTCAAAAGATGTGAAATACGTTTGGGAGATACCGAGAAAATGATGTCTGACTGGCAGGTATCACTGCTGTAGTGTGAGTCTCATCGATGATACATTACTTAGTATTATGGTTATTGTGATTATGGCAGAAAAGTGTAATCTGAGATGTTTGTAAAAATGCATCATGAGAAACATGTAGGTCTCAGTTCACTTAATTTCTCAAATGGCTCTTAATTATTTATACTAGTATTTAGTAGTTACGAGAAAGAACCCTTTCCTGATTGACACCCTGCTATATTTGTATGTATATACATACTGCTGATTATAGTGTAAAGTATTTGCACAACACTCAATGCTGTTATTAGTTGCCATGACCATATTGTCAATCTGCCAAACTACAGGAAGTTGCCTTTAATATACGTGTCTGTGCGTGCGGAGAATTCCCCTTGGGTTTGTTTTTTTATTTAAAATTTAACAGAAAATATCAGTACCTTTTTTGCTGATTATTTTCAGCCCAGTCTCCATATCAGGTCTTATTGTTTTCGTTATTCAACAATGTAATCTAATCAAAACAACAATGTCAATTCACTTCTGGTTTTATGTCTGTCATATCCTGATTTGTATAAACGGTATCGTTTTTAAATAAAGCATGCTTAGGCAGCTGCTCGTAGCACTGATGCAAATTAAACTCTGATATTCTACTAGCATCTTTCCATTCCATATAAATGTTGAGCATGTAATAGGATTTTTATACATCGTTGCAAAATGTATCATATTTTTTAATGTTTATTTGGATTTGACGTGTGTATATGTGTACCTGCACAGATGCTGATGGTGAAGGCAATTGGAACAATTCACAAGGTGTGTGCGTGTGTGTGTGCGCGTGTACACACACTGAGCTGGCTGATAGATGCAAGTTATTGGTCAACATCACTGCTAAAAAATCTCCATTATGTCACGTAGATTAGCAAAATAGAGCCTGCAGACTTTTTAACACTTAAAATATTAGCCCCCTCTGCTGCATGTCAGTCACAACCATGTCCCTTTGTATGCTACGCTACCTGTTTGATATGGCAGCTGTTTCATAGGCCAACTGTATCTGACCATTACAGATCCCAATGCCAACTCCAACAAACGGCAGAGGCAGCCGGCTCTTCTGGGAGACCATCCACCCGATTATGGTGGGTATCTCATCACATTGAAGAACATGGCCTGACATTTAAAAGAATTGATCACAATCCAGTACTGAATCTGCAACTCGAATGTTTGCTGTATTTAAGGTGGCCCGCAGGGAGGTTATCACGGCTACAACGAGGACAGCTACGGCCCGCCGCCTCCCCACCGCATGGGGCCGGGTATGGGCGGGCGGGGTCGAGGCAGCCAGCGCTACGGCCCTAGCTACGGACCGCCGCCCCCCGAGTACGGCCCTCACGCCGACTCTCCGGTCCTCATGGTCTATGGCCTCGAGCCCTCAAAGGTCAACGCTGACAAGGTCTTCAACATCTTCTGCCTCTACGGCAATGTGGAGCGGGTGAGGAGAGGCTTTGAGCGTTGGTCATCGGAAACCCCAAATGGGATGTATTTAAGTTGTTTGATAGTTATTGCTGGAGTTCAATAGGAACCTGTGTGATGTGCGTATAATTGACTGATGAATAATTATTTATTTTTGTATTTAAAAATATTTAATTCTGTTTCATTTTCTTAAGCCAAAGTATTAATCTGAATCCTGAAGATATCAAATTTATTTCCTTTTGCACTAAACGGACAAATGTAAGACTTGAATTGAATGGACTTCACTGGTGATGAAAATAACTGCTAGTTTCATGCTGTTTTGTTTTCCCTTATGTCAATTTCGCTATGTATTTTTCCTCCGTCAGATTAAATTCATGAAGAGTAAGCCTGGAGCGGCAATGGTGGAGATGGGTGACTGTTACTCGGTGGACCGGGCCATCACTCACCTCAACAACAACTTCCTTTTTGGACAGAAACTCAACGTTTGGTAGGAGCAGCTGTCCAAACTATTACAACGCATGAGACTGTTGATTATTAAACCTAAAGTATGCTGAGCTGATGAACAACCTCTGACCTTTCCCCCCCGCCAGTGTGTCCAAGCAGCAGGCCATTGTTCCAGGACAGTGCTACCAGTTGGAGGACAACAGCAGCAGCTTCAAAGATTTCCACGGATCGCGCAACAACCGCTTCACCTCCCCAGAGCAGGCGGCCAAGAACCGGATCCAGCACCCCAGCAACGTCCTCCACTTCTTCAACGCGCAGCCCGACATCTCTCCGGAGGTCTTCACCCAGGTGAGAAAAGCACCAGGGTTCCTCCATCTGTTAAGTGCAGCCTTTTATCTCACACCACTGCTCCTCTGATGTCCACTGAAACTGGTGTTTTCTTTCAGGCCTGCGAAGAACTGGGAATCAAGACCCCCACTAGTGTAAAACTTTTTACCGGGAAGAGTGAGTACTACGAGTTACAATCAGGCCAAAATAATTGCTGGAGTGTGTTTTGATTCTACAGTTGACAATATTCTAGAAGATTCTTGTAATATAAGAGCAAATATTAATAGTAGTAGTTGGTTGTGTGTCATTTAACAATATTTACACACCGTTTAGTATAATTTTATTTTAGTAATCTAATCCGTCATGTGTGGTACAAAAGGTGAGCGCAGTTCATCTGGCCTCCTGGAGTGGGAATCCATTAATGATGCCATGGAAGCCCTCGCTCTGATCAACCATTACCAGATGAAAAACACCAGTGAGTTATCTTCTCTTTAGAATAGCACATTGTCGACATGACATGCTTTAAATAGCCTTTGTATTGTCTTTTTATATTTTTAAAATGCCTATTTTTCTCTCTTACAGGTGGGCCTTACCCTTACACACTGAAGCTGTGTTTCTCAACCACACACCACGCCAACTGAGCACTCGCCCCACAAACCATTTGAATCATTTTCATAGTCTTTCGATACAGTTCTGTTGTCACGCTCCATTAAAACATTCAATCAGTATTGAAAAAAACTAGGACTGCTTTGCTTTAGAACATGTTACTTGAAATATGAATTTGTACGATGTATTTATGTTGATCATGTTTCTCAGTTTTATTTTGTATGTTCCTCACACTAGATGTGAAGAAAAAAACACTACCCTGAAGTAATTCAATGTGGACCTCAGTTTTTGTATTTTAAAACCAAGTGAACAGTTTCCATGAAGAAAATACTGATCTGTCACCAGTGTTCACATCAACAGAGACTATTTATATTATAACTTTGATCATTTCTTCACAGGAAAACATTCATGTTCACAGAGAAGAATATAAAATATATCGGCATGTTCTTCCAAAAAAGTTGCAGCTCTAGTTTTCTGACGTCTCTCCTGATGTGGTTAAGGGGCCGTCTGTATGTGGATCGCTGGTTTTTAGAGGATTATCACAATGAAGATGAAAGGATAGTGGAAATAAAGAAGCCGGTTAACTGTTTAGACACTGTCGATGTCATTGTCAAGTTGTAACCTTTTGTAGTAAACAATACTTTGAATATAACTTTGGCTGGAATAACTCAATTAACAAGAGGTGGTTGGTTTCAGTTTCCACATGCCAGCATTCGGTAGCTCGGATCAGGTGAAGCACCGTCTATAGTAGCAGACTGCACTCACACATACACGGCGTTATTTTCAGTGCAACTGTTTGTATTCAAAATCAGTATGAATAGATGAATTAAAGCAGTCTAAAAAAAAATGACCAATGAAAATAATTGCCCTTTTTACTTATTTGCCTATATATTTTGTAATTTACTCTTGAATCAACTATATATGAAATATATTTAGTGTTTCTTTGCTGTTCATGCAAAGCCTTGGAGGTGTCCTTGAAATATACTTCTCTGTAATGTAAGTCAGAAATAGATTGAACATCGTTTTCTAGAGGAGCTCCCGACATAAATAGCACGATTTTAACATTGAGAAAGCATTCACTACATGTAACGTTTTGCTGGCATTCTGACTAATCGCACGAGCACGAGCTTCGTCTAGAAATATTAGAATAATAGAAAGCGTTTCCAACGTGACCCCGGCAGCGTTAGTTTGCGTTAAACATTTTAGTTAATTTCGAGGTGACGTTCTGATAGTTCGGTTCTAACAATATAAAACTACATTTTTCCCCACTAGAAATATCTCGTTTCATCCTGCACGCGTTTCTTGGAAACCTTCGCTTCCTACTTTCGACGCCGTTGCTCACAATACGAAAGAAAAGTGGTGTGAGATAAAAACTACAACTCCCACAGTGCCGCGCGCGTCGGTCACGTAGGTGTTTCCGGTGTCTTATAACATTTTACTTCCTTCCACACAGGCCGACGCGAACAAATCGAGAAAGAAGACGTCGCCAACTTTTTAATGCCGTCGTCGCGCGTTGAGCACATTTTGACGTTTAATTTCCCCCGTGAGATGCGCGGCGCGCGCCCCGGCGCAGTCTGAGACCCGAAGAGCTGCTGACACCGTGACGTGTAGGCCGCAGAAGAAAGTTTGGTCGAGGGCCTGTAAACAACATGTCCTCCGCCTCGCAGCCTTCCTCCAGACGGCAATGGTGCTACCTCTGCGATCTGCCCAAGATGCCGTGGGCCATGCTGTGGGAGTTCAGCGAGGCCGTGTGCAGAGGATGCGTCAACTACGACGGCGCCGATAGGATAGAGCTGCTCATCGAGACCGCCAGGCAGCTGAAGAGCACGCACGGAGTTTTAGACGGCCGGTCCCCGGGTCCTCAGCAGGGCAAGCCGAGCTCCGCCGGGCCCCTTGAAGCGGGGCGGCAGCATGGAGAGCGTATGGAAAGGGGGAGGGGTGAGTATGTGGTGTCTTCTCGTCTCCTCAATGGCCTGCACAGAGCCGAAGATGTCTCCCTGTCAGAGGGCAGCAGGCAGAGCCCGAACACGCGTCGGGCAGTGGTGGGGGCAGTCCCCAGTCTCCATGGCACCATATCCCATGCATTGATAGCTCAGGGGTTAGTAGCAGCTCCTCACGGGCTTTTAGCCCCCATGTCAGGCTCCAGGTCAGGGACCGCACCAATCGCTGTCTCGGCGGGCTCCATAATGGGCGACGCTGGCAGAAGACAGGTTGTGTCCCTGAGTGTGGGGCCGAGCACTTCTGCTCTGGTGGGTATAGATCCCGCTTTGTGGCGAAACAACGAAGTGATGGCAGAACTGAACGAGGTGGCCCGCAGCAGGGTCGAAGGCTGGCCTAACCGGCCCAAAGCCGTCCGGGACGTGCTGGTTGCCTTGAGCAGCTGTGTCCCCTTTAACGTGCGCTTCAGGAAAGACCACAATCTGATGGGCCGTGTTCTGGCCTTTGATACCAGCACGACGCCGGAGTTTGAGTTGAAGGTGTTTGCGGAGTACCCCGCCGGCTCCGGGATGATCTTCTCGGGTGTCCCGGACCTGGTCAGGCAGATGTTTCGCGACTCTGCGAAAGACGCGGGCAAAGCAGTGAACTCTGGGCTGCGTTATGTGGAATATGAGAAGCGACAGGGCACGGGAGACTGGCGTGGGCTTTCAGAGCTTCTGAATGACGGCGTGCGCATGTTCAAAGAGCCCCCAATACCAGAGGTTCTTCCCCAGCTGGATGCGGGGTTGCCTGTGGCAACCGCCGGACGCTCTGTTCCAGGTAAGAGCGCGGCGCGGCGCCGCAAGGCCTCCCCGGGCTCTGAGAACGGAGAGAACGAAGGGAGGCCCGATCACCCAACGAGAGAGCCGTGGCCCCGAGGCGCCTACTCCGGCATGGAACCGCTTCCTGGCATGGCCGCCCCACAGGAAGGCCCGCCCCGTTTACATAGCCAGCCTTCGCCCATCTCAGCACTCATGGGAGTTGCGGACAGCCTGAGCTCGAGCCAGATGGCCAGGGACAGCCCCGGCATGTCCACGGCCCACGCCTCGTCAGCCGGGCGCCCCACCAGCGGCAGCCCCTCCGCCGCCTCCACCTCGGCCTCCCAGGCGGCTTCGGGGCAGGGCTTGAGCGCAGCGGGGCAAAGCAGCGGCAGCACCAGCACCGCTGGCGCCGGGGATTCCACGAGCAACGCTCAGGGCACGCTGCTCTGCTGCACCCTGTGCCGAGAGCGCTTGGAAGACACCCACTTTGTCCAGTGTCCCTCCGTCCCGCACCACAAGTTCTGCTTCCCCTGCACCAGAGGGTTCATCCGCAGCCAAGGTCAAGGCGGGGAGGTGTACTGCCCCAGCGGAGAGCGCTGTCCCCTGGCCGGGTCCTCTGTGCCGTGGGCCTTCATGCAGGGAGAGATCTCGACCATCCTGGCCGGAGACGGAGATGTGACGGTGAAGAAGGAGAGCGACCCGTGACCTCTCCATCATCTTGTGTAGAATGGTAAGACGATGAGGAAAGTGGGTTTATAAGCCTTACTTATATCAGTGGACACGAGTGATGCAGCCGCCCTTAGATGGATGCCCATCAGCCTAAAAACATCTTATTCTATTGCCATTTGGTAGGGACAGTATACTTTAGGACCATATTTGACAAAGTTAATTTGCCCTCTACAAGCATGCAGAAGGAATAGGAGTAGAGTACAGAGATCATTCAGGACCCTCGTATACAACAGTCAAGTACTGTTAAGATGCTCATTAAACAACACACGCAAAGCAAATAAATAAGGTTTAATTATGTAAAACAGAAACTGAGCAGATTATTCTCCGTCTTTCTACACAAAATGTACGTAAAATATATAAATCACTCTGACACGGCTAAACAACCGTAACAGACCTACAGGGCGATGAGGAGCAAATGCAGACAGACAGACAGGGAACAGTAGACATAGGGGACAGACAGAGGGGAGAATGGACGGCATGGACAGTAAGTGCTGTTGTAGCGCAGTCAGAGCTGAGAACTAATGGACCAAAGGAACTGTTTGTAAAGATGACAACCAAAACAGATCAAACCTGATTCATAGTCCCAATAAGAAATGTTTAAAACAATAAAGTAGAATGGGTGTAGAATGTGCACCAGAACCGAGCGTGGATGGTCTTCGATTCTTCACACTCCCTCAGTCATGTTATCCTCAAAACTACTCAACGGAATACACAAAGCTAATGTGTGTGCATAGACTGATTGTAGCTTGGAATAATATGTTTATCGGCATGTTGTGAGCATAATAATTGACTCAGTGGGTGCTGCACATGATCAGTCTGTTGGTTACGTCAACAAAGTTGTGGTCTCTTGTGCAGAGAGAGGTCACATCAGACTGTGGCTTTTTACAGGCGTTCACCAAATTTAGACCGAAAAGAAACTTATTGACATTTCTGTACTCCTCTTACAATAGTTTTTCATGTAAGTGATCAAAAACTAACCGTGCGATCTCCCCGTCACACATGCATCATCACCCCTGTCAGGCTCTGTCACGCTAATACACACGGCCATCCGTGGTCAACCTGAGATTATCAGCTAATACAAACACGTTGTACATCCACATAACGAATGGCTCCTACACTGACAATTACCATTCGTATGTTTGTTAAAAGCACGGGTTGTGGCAGGATTACATGATACGTCTAAAGTAATTTAACCCATCTTTAAAAACCCTCACCCCTCCGTTGGAAAGCCCGAATAGTTCTCTCAAATGTTCTAATCCTGACTCATTCTTCTTCTCTCTCCCCACAGTGGAGCAAACACTTTGAAAGCACTTCCCTATTATCTCGAGCAGAGGTCCACTTTGGCTGCAGTTCATCATGTGTGCCTCTGAGAACAGAATGACTGAACCCCAGGAGACCACGACCACACACACACACACACACACACACACACGCTTACTAAAGAAGAGGGACACGCCCGTCTGTCGAGGCCGAGCTGCTGACATCACAGATGGATGTCGGGTCCCGGACTCTCCTCTTCTTCGTTGAAGAGCAGCGGGGGACCTCTGCGCTGACGCCCGGGATAGAAAGCACACGCTTGTTGTAAAAAAACGACAATCTATTTGCCCTCCGTTTTGGTTATACAGGCGGTCCCATACAGACGGAGGACAGCAACATTGACAAAATCATTGAATTCTTTCTCAGAAAAACAAATGAATGTTCAAATGTGGCAAAACCATTGGATCCTTTAAGCCAGGATGGAGGGAAATTAAAAAAAAAAAAAATAATGTAATCCCACAATGTCTCTTAGGTATTCTCTTGTATGTCAAAAATGTGAATTTACTTTCAATATGACTATGTAATTTCTATTTTTGATACAATACAAATTTCTAAGTATTTGTTTATAGTGATAAGGCGACCAAAGATGGCTTCATGCTCAATGTAATTTTCTTGTATTGTAGCCGTGTATGCTGTACTCAATGACGACTTTGGCGTCAGTCACTAACTTGTTCATCTATCACAGATGTAAGCTTGTCTTTGTCTTATTTACTTTTTTTAATAGTATGTATGGTAAGATAATTAGCACCACAATCTTCAATGGTCGACCCACGTACTCGTGACCTGAATAGGTCAATTCAACAATAAATTAAAAAAAGTTACTTGTCGTTTTATTCTTTCAGCCTCACAAGTGAACCACAATGTTAACACGATGGTATTTTTGTACTTTATTTCATAATGGTTGGACAATAAATGTGAAAAACCAACACCAAAAAAAGCCCTTGATAAATGGACAAGTTGAAGCTAAAAGGAGGTCAACGACCTGCTACACCCACCTCTTGTTGGAGGAAGTGTGAAGAGTGCAAAGATCATTTCAAAGCCATCAGCCATTCAGAACATAAAATCCACAACTTGATTAGGAACACTGAAAATATTGTAAAGTACAACCTGCTCCACAGTTAACATCAGAGCGTAGGGTTGGTCTGTAAAATGGATAATTTGTGCTCAACGTAGTGGTGTAAATCCTTAGTTTCTTGACATGTGCCTGGTTGTACGCTACGAAGGCCGGCAGTGGTTGTGGGTAACGTTGCGGGGGGTTCAGAAGGGGCACCCGGTGTCGCCCCCCAAGGCTTCTTGAGCTGCCTTTAGGGTCTCTCGCTTTACGCATCTCCAGTAGCCAGACAGGCCGTTCTGATGCTGCACCTGAGGGCGGGACCAGGGTTATCCCATGTGACAGCACTGGTTATTCAACATGCAACGAGGGAGCAGTTTAAAAACAAAGTTTATCTTTGCATAGTGGGCCAGCCTTTAAATGTAATAACTGAATTTGAAATGAACATCAATTTTAATCTGTACATCCAAAGAGGACACTCAAAACAGAAAAAGTCTTATTTCATTTAATTTAATCTTAGTGTATTTTCCTTCCTGCATACTTCCATGAGCAGCCATTTTGGATGATCAAGTAATTAGTGGATTGTTTTGCAATTTTGGGAAATATTTTCCGCATAGTTACAGATTAGTTTGTTAAGGAGCTTTAATGGACAGAACTTTTTACCTTTAGAATGAGACAATTTAAGTGTGTCGGTTTTCTATGCTATGCTAAGCTAACAGGGTACAGGGTGTAGCTCTATATTAAGCACACTGACATGAGAGTGCTAGGTTCTTAACGTCTGGCCACTCAAGTGAGCCAATTTTCCAGCTTTTCCATGTAGATGGACCCATGTGACCGACTCACCTTCAGGCCTCGCAGCATTCGGTCCTTCATCACCCCCATGAACTCCTTGTGGCTCAGGCAGTTGTCTCCGTCCATGTCGAACAGCTTGAACACCGTGTCCAGCACGTTTTCAGACAGGTTGTGGCCTGTGGCGATTCTCACGGCTCGTTTGAACTGGGCTGCGGCGAGAAAGAAAAACTAATGCCGTAAGCTTTCTGCTAACGATATTCAGAGAAATCTGTCCACACTGAGATCAACGGAGAGGACTCACCCATCCCAACGGGGCGGTTGGCTCCCGTCACCAGTTTCACGGAAAAGGAAAAATCCTCCAGGTTATTGGTGAAGAGGCAGAACGCTTTGAACTCCGCGAACGTGATGCTCTGTAAGACAAAGGTTTTACATCACTCGTGTGCCGCACTCATTCACCTCTTTGCAGTATTCTTGTGGTGGGACGTCCTGCGACCTGGCCAGCGGGTATCCTCCTCCTGATGTTTTGCCAGTACAATTCGTTGTCTTCTTCGTTGGTGTAGTGGAGCAGCCACTCAGCAAAGTCTTCTCTTCGCATGGTGTCCATACCTCTGGAGAACTGCAGGAACTCCATTGCCTGGACTTCAGCCTGCAGGTCCTCCATGAACCTGAGGAGCAGAGATGCTTTACTTTGCACGAGAGGACAAGAATATAGCACTGAAGCTGTAATGCAAGCCAACCAAAGCAGATAGGAAATATTGAAACTGAAATGTTAATTCAATCGAAGGTAGTGATGACGTGAGGACCGTTGTATTTTTTTAATTGGATTCGGTGCCGAAATGATTTACACCCATTGGTTTAATGTTAAATGGCCGTTGACTTCTCCATTGGTTTCCACCGTTGCACTAATTTATCTTGACTCAAGTTTAAAAGAAAAGTTTCACTGTTTGGAAAATAACAATCAGATATTCCACATATTTTTCAGGACCATAACATGTCAAATGTAGACTTGTAGACACTAGATCACCGACAGCAGCAGGTCAGGTCAGGTATGTCATTTCCTCACTTCTGGAACTCCTGATACTGCAACTTTTTTTCTCCTCTCTTGCCAAAGAAGTAGGCCTGCAGTGTAGTTTTGGAGCTTTCCTCTTCCTCCGCTGGTTTCTGTAAACATCCAGGGAATGTACAAACACGCCAAGCTCTGTTACTATGGCAACTGACAATACCCTGCATCTGCAAAGTGACTGAAATCAAGCTGGGCTTAAAGGGAACGTGAATAACCCACCTCTGTGCTCTCCTTGGGGACTCTCGTTTTACTTTTCCCAATTATATTCTTCAGCTACAGAAGAAGAAAAAACATGTTAACATTCAACCAGAGAAATTGAGAATTACTTCTGCACTAGATATAATATAATTACATTATATTATGAAAATGTAATTATAACAGAGATCTCTCGTAACTGAACTAACATAGGGAATAAACAAGTGTTTTACTGATAAATCTATAGTTATAACCCACACACACAAGATCACTGGAACTGATGGAAAGCTTTGCACCTTCTTCTCTATTCAATGCGTTGGGCTTGTTCACAACATGAGAATGCAACACAAGGTGCATTGCGTGCCAACATGCAGACTACTGGCCTGGTGATGATCCAGACTCAGCAGAAAGAGGACGAGTCCGTTTGGAACAGACACACAACTGTCGAGTGGCTGTAGATAAATGGACTAAACTGAGGCGCTGAGTCAGGCTGAAGAAATGCAAACACAAGCCCGGGGGGAAAAGGTGGCTCGTTGTGCGGCTCTCCCTCACCTTCACACGGCGCCATGGTCCATACTCACAACCGTGGTGGCATCAGTGCTTGAGGCAGCATTAAAAAGTTGGCAAATATTTTGAGATTTGAATACACACAAACACACACATAATCCCGTCTGTGACCCGTGTTCTTCCATAGTCACAGCACTTGCATATGAAACAATCTGTGTTGTGTTCAGTATCACTTAAGTGAGCTGTGCATCTTGCCAATGACAAATATGTCTGAAGTCGTACCTTTAGAAATTCCTTTTGGTCCACTTGCTCGTTACCATCAACGTCGAGCATTTTGAAAGCGATGTGAAATCCTGTGCGCGGCTCTGCGACAGTAATGCTTGGTGAGTTATCAGAAATGTATCTTCATATTTACTACACACGCAAATCAACAAACTTGGTCAATGGGCGACAGTCTGGAAAAAAGCGTTAAATCAGACCAATGGCTGTACAGTGTTCAAAAGCTTGGACATCCAAGGTGGGGAAAGGGAAGGGCAGGCAGTATTCTTGCAGGAGTGGAGAATATGCATGTGCATGCGTGCAAGGAGGGCTGTGATTCTACTCACTGGTTAGGATGGTCAGCAAGAACAGATACTCCGTGTAGGAAATCAAACCTGCAAAAAAAGAAACCTACGCTAAATTCTGCTTTGTTGGCCCACAAACATATCCAGGGGCTTTGTAAAATAAAAAGACCCCTGAGTTAGCCATTCGGCACACAGAAGAAGACGCACCGTTGTCGCCGATGTTTCTGAACAGCTCGTTGCCGGCCTGAGCGTTGGAGGCGACTCCCAGCATGTGGTTAACGTCCTGCAAAGACGCCAACAGAAACAGTGACGACTGGGTTCCGCTCGCTCAGTCTGGGACTAACTTTTGTACACAGTGTGCTGGTGGAAGCATACTTTTGCTGTTAAAATTCTCTTCTGCAGCTTTCCTACATTCGAAGAAAGAGGGAAGATTTGTAAATGATACACCACCAACAACAAACAACAAGACAGAATAAAAAAACGCACACAGCCGGCATTACACCTGCCGGTAATTTGCCTGACACATCTTGGTTTTTATACATCTAAATAACATCTGAATAAAAAACAGGCCAAAAAAACAAACAAACAGGCCAATAGAAACTACGTCTCCTGGCCCTGTAGATCTGCAGGTGAACAGAAGGGGACTGCACGTCGCTGCGGCCTTACGGTCAACATTCTCCATCATCACCGAGAACAGGAAGTCCCTGGCGGTCATGTAGGGCTCCTCCTCGTAGACCACCGAGGCGAACTGGTTGAAACGGACCCTTCTGGGGGACGGCTGTGCGGCGGCGGCGGCGGCTTCCTGAAACGGCGCAGGGGGGCGTTGGTTGTTGATAACGTTGCGAAAGGGTTTTACGCCCTTTTTGTAAACATCAATTTGTATTCGTCACATTTCAGTCAAAAGGATTATTAATATGTGAAACGAGCAGTTTCCGGTGCTCCGGGTTGGACCATAGACACTTGTATTAACCGAGTTAAGTTGATTGTCGTTAAGTTGGCTCAAACTCACTTTTGGAACCTCGGCATGAACGGCGAAGGGCAGAGTCCTGTGGTTCGCATGATACTGGTAATAACAAAAAAACCCGGTTCCGATAAGTGAGCCCACAAGACCGGGTCCGACGGCTCTTCGGGGTACTAAAACTTTCAGAGACCGAGGACTCCTCAAAACGTTGCTCAAGGCGGCGGCGACCCTTCCCCAACTGGCCATTTTCTCAGGAAGTTAACCCGCTAGGCTTCCGTAGCTGCGAACTGTCAGGCTCCTAGTCACGTGTCACGTGACGCCTTAGAGAACGAATGGGAATAATAACATTCAAATATATATATCAAGATTCCCGTCCATTATATATCTAAATATAGATATACATCCATGTATAGATATATGATACTATATATATAGATACATCTATCTATCAGAACGTGTATAGTATACTACGTATAATATTCACTGTAAAGTCCATGGTTTTCTAGACTTCTATGAAGGTAAAATTCAGGGATTTTCCCTTAGTTGAATTGTGATTGTTAGTCCTGACTGGTATCTGGGGAAGGGTCAGTACAAATGCATCAACATTTTGACCGCTGTGACATCTTCACTAGCTGTAACTTTTACGTCAGAGCATATTGATCAGTCATATTGATCCAAGTTTCACAGAGATGCAACTTTTTTTGACACAAGTGAAAGTGATGACATTTTCATCACATTTCCCACACCATCAGAAGAGATTTTGGAAGTCTTCAAAGATCTTTGTTACATAGTATTTTGTCAGATTGTTTCATAGTTGAAGCACCGCATTGGATATGCAGTAAGTATATAGCCAATCGCTATGTCTTTTTACAGTATTATTAAAATTGCCTCTATTTATTGCCCAGATAAACAACACATATCTTGATCAAAAATTGTCTAGCAATCATTGATATTATGTGTATCTAAATTGTGATTAATCGGACACTTCCAATCCCAACAGCTCATCTGTGGCATCTTGAGATTCCTATTAAAATAATTGTTAACAGTCTAAAGTGTCCTTGATGAGCTACCCTATAAACCTACAAAGGGGACAAAAGACAATGGCAAAATTAATTAATGAATAGATTTTATGAGAGAATACCATATTTCCAGATATTGGCACACTGCAAAAGAAATGTGAAACATACGGTAAATTACTGGCAGCTGTGGTTGCCAGAGGTTTACCGTAAAAAAAAAGTGACACCGTATAAGACATTACTTTGTGTTTATTTGCACCCGTAAAATTCCCAGTTGAAAACCGTTTTGTTTACAGTAAATGATCATTAAAAAAACAGACACACTGCAAAAAAAAAGTGAAATATACGGTAAATTACTGGCAGCCGTGGTTGCCAGAGGTTTACCGTAAAAAATAAAGTGACGCCGTATAAGACATTACGGTATGTTTCTTTGCCCCCATAAAAGTCCCAGTTGAGAACTGTTTTGTTTAGGGAAAACCACTATTAAAAAAACTGATACACCATAAAAAGAAATCCGTGAAATATACAGTAAATTACCATTTTGTTTGTAAAGACAATACGGTATGTTTTTTGAAAAACGTATTTATTCTGTGAACCTAATTAAGGTCTTTTTTCAGAGATAAACACAGTACAACTGTATGAGTTATGGTATTTTATTACAAAGTTCAAAGCAAATTGTCAGCAACTGTATTTAATTCCATTGCAAAAAAATAAAATATATGTATTACAATAGGTTGGCATATATTTCAGTCAACATCAGGAAATATTAAATAAAGCTTAGGGTAAATCAACATCCAGGAAACGGAATGGCAGGAAGATTCGGGTTGGTGTAGGAGAGTCCCCTGATGGCTGATTGCGTCAGCTGTTCCAGCCACACCCTTCGGGGATGAACAGGAGAAGACCACACATCCTTGCAGAGACGGGGGACACACAGGCAAAGCAAACAAACACAGGGGGACCTGCTGGACTGACAGCATGACATTCACTCTCGTTTTTACATCCACTCACTGGACAACTCACAGCGCGTCCTTCCAAGAGATGCTCTTTCAAATGAGCTACTAGCTGTATTTTGACACTGACGTTCACATAACGCCACACCGCATTTGAGAGCTGTCCCAACAGAAGCTGATAAGTTAACGATATGCGTCCGGTAGAAATGAGCCTTAAATGCTCCATATGAACGGAGGTCTTTTTGCAACCAGCTTCAATGCACTTAAACAAACAACATGGTTCATTTCTATGAAGTTTGCAATGAAGCACATAACCCCTCTGTGTTTTAACCAACCTGCCACAGTAATTGTATTAAAACATTTCCTTAGCCAACGTTTGGTAAACTAACGTTAGCTAGCTAGCTAACGTTCATTGCAGAAACCCATAACCTAACGTTACATTACATCAACGTTTTTGCAACGGTGATGCAAAGTTGTAGAAAACAAAGCATCAAATTAAAATATAGCTTAGATGATGTATGTAGGCAAGTTACCTCAAGAAGAAATGTAGCCGGGAGTCCGTTGCTCCAGCAATGCAGAGTGCGTAGAAATGGCGCTGAAGTGGAGTTCAAAAGGTCAATCTTCAAACGTTGTGATTTTTTTTTAACACTGCCACACTTCTGCCCTTCTCTCGTGTCTCTCTCTTTCTTACTGTCTCTCTCTATATCCCTCAATCTTTCTCCCTTTCTCCGTCTGTCTCTTTCTCAATCTGTCTCTCTGTCTCTGTATCCCTCAAACTGTCTCCTTCTCTCCGTCTCTCTGTCCCAGCCTTTCCACAAAAAATTGGAATGGTTAATATACCCATGTTAACTTCCCCACGGTATATTTCTGTTATTAGCACAATGGTTAGTGCACTTACAGTGGTGACTGTTGTATTTATATTAAAGTATTTCTGTAATCAGCACAGTGGTAAATGTAACCTTAACTAAATGTGTTTTTTTTTACACATAATCTTTGCAAAAATTGCAGTATTGCCTGTTATATATATTCAGTACAATCTTTTGTGCAATTAACAGTCATGAACTGCATTTTGTACAAATAATAAATGCAAAAAATACAGGACCTGCTGTGAACGCCATAATACGTTATTTTTCCATTTGCAGCAAAATACACCGTACATTTAACAGTAACAAAATGTATCTTTAAATAGTAATACATGCAAAAACTACAGTATTGAGTGTTGTTCATATTATGGTGTATTACCATCATCAGTATAATTTTTTGTGCAATTAACAGTGACCAACTGTAATCCTTTACAAATAATAAATGCAAAAATAACAGGGCTGGCTGTTACATTTAAAATACGTTATATTTCAGTTGTCAGCACAGTAGTCCGTACATTTAACAGGGACAGATTGTATTTTTTTTAAGTCATGAATGTAAAAATTACGGTACAGAGTGTTTTTCATAATATGGTGTTTTTCAGTTATCGGTACACTGTTCAGTACAATTAACAGTGAGAAAATGTATCTTTCAGAAGCAATAGATGCATAAATTACGGTTTGCGCTGATATATACATATACAGTATTTCAATGTGATAGAAACAGAAGATGACCTATTTTTAATCAACGGTCTTTTACCGTTGCGATTTAACAGTTTATTACCGTAAACTCTACGTACTTTTTTTACAGTGCAGATGTTTCTCAATTTCAATATACACACACATGATTCAATTGTACATTCTGAATACAGACATCAAGTTGTGCAGACTTTGTGCAATACAAAAACCATGTACAAAGCCTGGATGAGATTCGGCATCCTCCATCGGTCGCTGTAAGAAAGACGTAAATACAGCATGAAAATGTTAGCGTTGTGCCAGTCACTACATGTATAGAAGTGAGCGGGTCGGTTCTGGGAACTTCAGATAACCCTTTGACATGGAAAAGTGTTTGGAGAGATACCAATCCTTCAGTTGATTTCCCTTTATTATCAGTAGGCGGGCTAGTTTAGTAGCTCACTGCTTATGTGAACACACACCCTCTGATGTTTTTTAAATTTTCATCATTTTAATAATCAGTTGAGTATGTTGCAATGCATAAAATGTTGCTAATATATTTTACACATGACCTGGATATGAGATTGGAAGCACTAGAGCTTTAGCATAGAGTAAGCAGCTCCCCAAGATGTACAGCCAGTGCTAATCAACGGGTGCGTTACCCAGCAGATAATGTTGAGTCTTTCCATTCACGTAGCTGCAGCAAAAGTCGATGGTCAGTGTCAAGAATGGGTGGTCAGTCTCAAGAATGGGGGATGCAGCAGAGAATCACTCGATTTAAAAACGGTTTCCGTAAGGCGTGTGCCTGCAACCGGCGTGGGTGTCCTGATGAACACGTCAAGTTAGCATCAGCAGGTCTGGAGGTTTACCTAATATCTCTGCTGCAATGACTGTCACATCTCCATCAGCAAATGGGATGGCATGGCACTTACTGTATGTAATAAAGGAACAAACTGAAAAAAACCATTCACACCGTAGCTTGGTTATCCCTTGGTTATCCCTTGGCTGCAGTAATGTACAGTTACTGTACTACAATACTAAAATCAGTGACTACTTTTCGTTCCGCATTGAAAGGAAGACTTTTTATTTTTTAACAGTGGAGGTGCAGATTGATCAGATTGAAAATTAAAAAAGTAAGTCGCAGCCGCTTCACAGGAAAGCATTTCCTCTTTTGACATTATTGTGAGTACAATGGGCCAGATGATCGGCGAGCTGGCTCCCATGCCAAGAGACAAGGCACAGGCCGACCATCAGGTTAGCCAACGTGCATAAGGCTGGGGCTTTTGCCACAGGACCACAGACGTACCGTGTTCCGTTAAGAATCCAGGGGGGTGCAAATCAGGCAATGGTGGATACGGGCTTTACGCAGTCTACGATTCGGCAAGGGGCATTGTTGGAGGCATTTCCTGACAACTTTAATTGTACTTTAGAAAATAATTGACGCAAGGCAAACAATAAACAGACATTCCTTTTCACCTCTGGGATAGCAACGCACCGTATCGTAGTTTAGTCTCCATTAATTAGACTTTACAGAGCAGCATGTACTCAACTGCACAGGGTGGTTGAACTCTTCATGTCTATGATGTATAAATGTAATATACCTCTCACAGACACACTATCTACTCAATTTGAGATTATTACAAGTTTTTATCCAGACAACTCCTGAATCTGAGATGAATAAATGAAGGCATATAAAAATACAACAAGAATACAGTAATCCCTCGTTTATCGCGGGGGTTACGTTCCGAAAATGACCCGCGATAAGTGAAATCCGCGAAATAGAAAACTTTTTTTTTTTTTACAATTAGCAACTATTACATGTATACAAATACAGTGACTCGCGTGTAGGCCGTTTCACTGCTCTTCAGACTGGGCCGCTGCATCCTGACTGCGCTCTGCAGTGTTCTCTTCTTCTGAAGCCCGCGGTGCAGGTGTGTTTGTTCGGGAGAAGAACATAGTGATAGGCAGCTGTTGTCGCTCTTTTTTCTTCTTTGCAAAAAGATCCTTGTACACCGACATGCCACCATCGATTACGTTGGAGAACTGTAATGAACGGCTCGGGAGTGAGTTTTTAGCGAATCAGAATGCAGAGCACAATGCACCAAAAAAAAAAAAATGCATTATGAAAATCCGCGAAATAGCGAATCCGCGATAAGTGAACCGCGAAGTGGCGAGGGATCACTGTACTTCCAGTGCGTCCTGCCGCTACCTCCCTGGCAAAATGTGTTTCATATAACTAGATACTTGTTTACTTATATACACTACACTCTTTAATAGTGCTCCTGATTTGTATATTCTTCATTGAAATGCCATTCATATATTTGAGCAATGATTGTTCTCTTTCTTTGTGGATTAATACAAATGTTTTAATTTTACCCATTTCAGTTTCAGTATTGTTTTATTAGAGCACAGGATTTATTGGTATACATACAAAGATAGGTATATACAATTCATGAATTGAATCATGACAGTTTTACATTTAACTTGCCTTTTGATGGAGAGATTCCGATTGGTTTTGAAAATCAAATGAAACACACACGGTACAGAGAGGCTCAACTCTCAGTGAATCCACTCCAGGGGGTTTTTACAATTTCTGGGGCACCACAAAACACGGCGGCCGCGGAACATTTCACAGCAGAAATCAATACATTCTGTGGGAAATGAATTGCAGTAATACAGTACAAACAGTAGAGGGGCCATTTGGCATCTTAAATCCTGTTACAGATTAGGGAGTAATCTCTTATCTGCTATACCTCTGTCTAAAAAAAAAACCCATCATCTTCTTCTCATGCGCGCTGTGGTTTAGAAGACAACCCGGTCAAACTTACATCTGGATTTTCAGCAGCAAACCGTGGTAGCAAAATATAATTTGGCCCCACTTCCCCACTTGCATTCAGTTATTGCAATTCCAATACTTCCCGACCCATTTAACACGAACATAAAAATAAAGGCCAGTTCAACAGGTGCACTAGTAGACTTTTTTCATGCAATGTTCTGATTTTCTGTCATGTATACAAAGGCATTGTGTCCTATTAGGCTTAGTATTACTTTGAGCATTGTCACTTTGAACACAACTTGAATTAGAATTTGATGGAAAGTTCTGTTTTTATTTTTTACATGGATCGTCGCGGACAAACAATAATAATAATAATGCAAACTGTAAAAAAAAGAAGAAAAAAACACTGTAAAACTGTGTATTCATTTACACCGATGAAGTCAGGTGGGTAACACCAGCATTCCGTTATATTAACATGATTCAAAGCTAGCCATACGACTGGATTAAATGTCAGTATGATTAGTATACAGATGTGTCAAGTGTGGAAGGTGCACAACTGCCTGGAGTAAGCCCACGTGGATGTGACAAATCATAGGGTTCACATTTGCAATTATTCCTTATTTCCTCCTCCTCTTTTACTTCTTTGACAAAGAGAAGAAATAAAAAAGTATATTGCTTCAAAAAACTTTTTTCTTTTTTTTGATATTGTGAAACATTTTATTCACCGCTTCTCGGGTTTGTCTAGCTAGACAGAGCGTTACATTGTCAAAGATACGTACAGAAAGATGCTGTGAATTCAAGAGATTAAACAATCAACGATGGGACGTGACAGTGACTAATTCCTGGGACCACTTGTTGGAGTGTCTTCCTGTCTGTCTGTCTGTCTGTCTGGGCGGACCTCCTATCTATCAGCAGGTGGCCCAATGCAAGCACTGATGTATTGCCTGGGTGAAGGGGTGAGGCTGAGAGATTAGTCTGTCACAGTAGCAATAGTCTGTCCAACGACTATGGCCTCGGTGTGCTGTGGCTCTGTGATTGAGGATCTGCAAACCCAGCTGCACACACTCTCCATCCATCCCTCCCACCAACTGCCTCCCACGCCTTTAGTCGGTGAGTAATGTTAAAAACACAAAGGGGCTCCTCATTTGCTCTTTCCGGACGTGCTGGAGCCCCCTGCCCCGCCCTCCATTTTGTCGGCGATTTCTGACGTGTCTAACTTCTCTGAGCCGTCCCCTTTCTCTGACCTCTCTTTCTCGGACCGCTCCTCCCCTTCAGCTAGCTCAGACCTCTCTGATCTGGCGTCCGCATCCCCCTCTGACTTCTCCTTCCTCTCCGAGTTGTCGGGGTCCATTGACGACGTGCCAGGCTTGTCCCACTTGCCCATGGACTCGTGCTCGGCTATACAGTTGGTGATGTTTGATGTCCAGGCCTTTAGGTCCTCCTACAAAACAAGTGACACACGTCTTATATAAGGAGTCTCTCTCTTATGTAATCTTCTTTTTTTGTTGCATGTTTGATGTTGGATCAGAATTTAAAACTGCATATCAAAGAAAAGCTAAGTGTGGCTCTACTTGTAGACAAGAGGCTGGTGACTGTGACAGGCAGTACGAGATGTCAAAATTAATGTCAATTAACATTCAAGTGCTTCTATCATGGTGGAAAGGAGTCTTTGATAGCTCAAAAATAAGTTTTATTGTAAATTAATTGCATGAAATAGTTATATTCAAACTAATATTTAGTCGTCCCTACAAGTGTTTTATTTGTTTTATTATTGAGTTATTTATAGATGTCCACTGTAAAAGGAAGAGAAAAATGGTGGTTTGGAGAAATATCGGTTGGTTGCTCGGCTACACCGATTGATGGTTACACCGGCCCTAAGAAACATTTGCAGGTAAGTGTACATGCTGTTCAATATGCTGTAACTGGGCAGCTGTTAAGCTAACCTGCTAACCTGGTAACTGTGGCTTAGGGAACTGTGCCAGGTGGAGGCGTAATTGGACTAAGCTGCATCGCGTTTGTTAATTGTGTCTCTCCATCTTAAAAACACAGTAGTGGCGATCTGTCAGGGGAGAAGGTGGACGGAGAAACGCAGACAAGGACTCACATGTTACATAGGCTAGGACGCCTGTGTGGTTGAACAATAAATTACGAAGTGTGTGTGTCTGCCTCTTTACATTTCCAAAGAACCCAATGGTAACCAGCCGCGTCACAGTAGCACCCAACTGAGGCAGGTGCAATGGCGAATAAAGAGCAGCGGCAGCGGGTGTCGACCCAGCCACTGCTGGGCCAGATGATCGGCGAGCTGGCTCCCATGCCAAGAGACAAGGCACAGGCCGACCATCAGGTTAGCCAACGTGCATAAGGCTGGGGCTATTGCCACAGGACCACAGACGTACCGTGTTCCGTTAAGAATCCAGGGGGTGCAAATCAGGCAATGGTGGATACGGGCTTTACGCAGTCTACAATTCGGCAAGGGGCATTGTCGGAGGCATTGTGTATGAAAATTAGGGTAAGTTAATGAGTATCCTGTAGTGATGGTGGAAATTAGGTGCAGACGAAAAAACAAACAGATTGGTTAGGGTTTAATACAGGAATGCATTTGTGCAGGGGTGCGTTCACGAAAGACGGGGACATGCGGTATGTGTGCTGTGGTTAGCAGTGACACAAGGTTGTCCGACACTGCATACGTGGAGGAGGAACCATCGCAGCCTCCTGTGGAGACTCCACTGGGACACATATTACACTCCATGGAAAATTTTCCACTGGCGCAGTCTCTGTACAATACTTTACCGTGGGCCTTTGACCATTGAATTGATGGTCAGTTGGTGCGCCTACACTAAACAGTTATATCCGGGCTTTTCATTGCTTCGAGACAGACTGAATAGAGCAGGGGTCTCAAACTCAAATCAGGTGCAGGCCAGATGCAGCCCACTTCGACCAAACGCGAGCCAGCGCTGACGGTCAGCGCGTTGCGGTGCGGTTGGCGGCGCTGGCGGTCGACTGGCGAACGGTACGGTCGATGGGTGGCGTTTGGCGGTGATGGCGGTCCGACCAGCGAACGGTGCGGTCGACGGGGGGAACCAGTGGAAATTATTGTCCAGGAGGCCCACTATAACGGTCGGCGATGTCCTGTCCATTATGTCAATTGGTAATCTAACCAGCCATCCCAAAGCCGCTGTAGTTTCCATTGGAGGTTCCATACGAGTGCATTCTTTGTATCGCTTTGTGTTAGTCCTAGTGGATTACGCAACACAATATCCTGAGACAGTACCGTTGCGCAACACTGAGGTAACTTTACGGGTTACTGGCCGCTAAGTCTATTCGGACCAGTGTGTATCATCCACAGACAGACGGTCTGGTGGAACGGCTGAATAATATGCCTTTAGAGACCATCATCCGTAAATGTATTCACAAGGATGAATGTAATTGGAATAAATAGCTTGATACTCTATTGTTTGGAAAGAGGTGAGGTGGTTTTTGGGGCTGGCGGGGTATTACCGAAGGTTCATTCCATGCTTTGCTGATCTCACCAGCCCCTTGACTGACCTGACCCAGAAAGGTGCGCCAGATTCGGCCCAGTGGTCGGATCAGTGCCAGCTGGCGTTTGAGAAGGTAAAACAAACTCTCTGTGGGGAACCACTCCTCCACACCCCTAACTTTTCTCTTCCTTTCACTCTGTAGACTGAAGCATCAGACAGGGCCGTTTTGTCCCATGGGCTAGGACGCCTATGTACTGTGTGATTGAACAATAAACAAAGTATTCCCGAATAGCAAGAAGTCTGTCTATCCGCCTCCTTACACTCCCAAAGAACCCAGTAACGTTAACGAGACTCGTTATACACAGAAAGAGCACAGTTTTGGAAAATGTAATGTACCCTAGAGAGCAATACTTGTGTTGTTTTCTTTATTTTAGAACCATTCTGATGGAATAAAACCTCCCATTGCTGAAGCTGCCATAGCAAGCTGCCGTCAGATAATAACGAGGTCCTGCTGGTGAGCATTGGAGAGATGGCTATGCTCACTCCTTTTTTTTTGCTCCCTCTCGGAAAACTAGGAGGACCCGGAAGGGTGTTCAATATGGAACATTGTGCGTGGTGGGCTTGCCTTGAGAGCCTGTCCCACTGAGTTCATGTCCCAGTCTTGTAAACTAAGTTCGGACTAATCTTCCTAGTTGTGACAACCTTGTTTTTTCAATGATTCAACAATGACTTAATTAAATATGGTAGTTAAAAATGTAGACACACCTGATGCCGTTTCCATCTGCTATGGGTCTATTCTTATTTGTACTTATGTGTAATCTGCTCTGCTTATCTTAAACATGATTAAAATATAAATGTTCTTACCTCATCTTTGGCATGGAATGCCAAGTTGTTTCCATCGTTCATTCTGTTAAAAATCACCAGGGATTGTCAGTTTCTCATGCACAGCATTGCTTTTCACATTCATAAAAAGGGTTAATAATATTGCAGTTATTTTGATGATTTGATGCTATACATTTGTTATACTTTAAAATCTGTAACATTACAATCTATGTCACAATAGTAAAGCTCTTACTGAAGAATGAAGACATTTTTCTTCTTTTTGTATCCCATTGAAGGATCAAACGAGCAGTTGCTTAGGTCTACAGGGGGCTCATCATTGTATGGTGTGGTTTGGTGCCTAGCATCCTTGTAGAAGATCAGCTGTCCCTCCTTCAGCACACAATACACGTTCGTCCAGGACTTGCTGTAAAATTTAAATGAACCATGAAGTGGATTTTAACAGGATTGAATAAGTGTCACTTAACTCCTAATGGAATAGTTTTGTTTTACCACAAAATATAAATTGACACTACACACAATAATAATGAGGATACTTCTGTCCTTCAATAAGAATTTGACATGACAAAAGTACAAAAACAAACAAAACTTTTAACATTATCTTAATTTAATTAATTGTTGTAACGGTTCAAAAAGACACTGTAAACGCTATATTTTAAATAGTGAGTATTACTCACTTTAGTCATTGTTAGTGCCAATGGATACTTCTTGAAAATGCAGAGAAATACAAAACTGGATGACAACAATTAGCCTAATGTTGTGCTTCGAATGAAGTTTCCATAGTAGGATTGGACAATTGTTAGTCCGACACTTGACTATAGTCAAGAGTATTTTCTATGATTTTTATCAGTGGTGATTGTACCTGTTTGGGCTTCTCTGCTGAGCTTCAAGGTCAGAAGTTGTAACCTTTTTGCGGTAGAGAAAGCCTTCATTTTGGGCAGTGTGTGAAGGCGGTTGTGGTGTTGTTGGGGCACCAGTAGCTGGAGCCGAGCGAGAACGTCGTGTTTCCTCGGGTTCTTTCGGACGGGGCCTCCTCCTCGGTTTGGGGCGGTCTCTGGCACGAGGGCGTCCGTCAAAGCGAGTCACGGGTGCTGAGAGGCTGCTTGTTGGCCGATAAGGCTCTCCTCGTGTCTAAGAAAGCAGAAAAGAGAATGTGACACCAAGGCACAAAAAGATTTGAACGTACACAACATACGTTATAATCTGTATTTAAGCTAACTCACCTGTGCTGCCTCTCTCTCCTGGGCCTGTTCTACAATCTCTGCCATGGTAGACCTCTTTTCCCTGCAGTGACAATAGACATTAGTCTCCTTAACAGTCAACACAATCATTATAAACTAATTAAATATCAGCGCTCACTAGGCCAACAGTAATACCAAAGTTTTTTCACTAGCACGACTCATTAACATACCCTGAGCGTTTGTCAGAGCCCTCCTTAACTGAGCCCTCCAGGTCACTCGAGTCCTGTCTTTGTAGTCTCTGCTTGTTGCTCCCCTCCTGTTCACTGGACGACTGCCTCTCTAGGCGCCTCCGGTAACGCTCTTGACGCACAATCAGTGGCAACTCGTTCAGCCTGGCTTGGATCTCCTGTTCGCTAGAGGTCTGCCTACCCAGCTTGTACTCCCTCTCTCGCCTCAGATGGTCCATCTGGGGATCAGAGCGGCTGCCACGGGGATCCCTCTGTAGACGGCCGTGAAGGAGCTCCAGACCTGATTCTGGCCCCACCATGTCTGCCATTGGGATGTCCCCAAACTGTTCCCGCTGCACTCTGCTGGCTTCTAGTAGGGGGTTTACAGCCTTGTGGATGTGGTTGATTCTGGGCTGCATGAAGTCAGCTTTGAGGTGCTGCCATGCATATGCCATTTTAGGGTCCATGATGCCACCACTCTGCGCCAGGTAACCAGAACTGCCCAGACTTCCACTGCTGTAATGATTTTGTGCCAGAAAACCTGAACTACCCAATCCCCCACTGCTCTGATAATTCTGTGCTAGGTATCCAGAACTCACAATATTTGACTGTTGTGCTAAATACCCAGAGCTCCCCATATTAGGCTGTTGTGCTAAATACCCAGAGCTCCCCATATTAGGCTGTTGCCCCAAATACCCAGGACTTCCCGTATTAGGCTGTTGTGCCAAATACCCAGAACTGCCCGTATTAGGCTGTTGTGCCAAATACCCAGAACTCCCAGTATTAGGCTGCTGTACCAGATACCCGGAACTCCCCAGATTAGGCTGTTGTGCCAAATATCCTGTACTCCCTAAATTAGGCTGATGTCCTAAGTATCCAGAGCTTCCCATGTTCTGTTGAGGTAAAAGGCCAGGGCTTCCCATACCTCCACTGCTTGGCTGCTGGGCTAGGTTACCTGAACTTCCTAACCTACCACTGGCTTGATGGTTATGCATACTACCTACACTACCGGTGGTCAGTCCAAAGTACCCAGAGCTCTCTGCACTGCCAGCAGTTTGATTGTTTATACCAAGGTAAGTAGTAGAATCTCCTCCACCGCTATGGGAGGTCAGCGCCGAGAAACCGGAGTCACTTCCCGGTCCAACTGGCTGGTGGTTCATTCCAAGGTACGAGGGGCTCACAAATTTCCCACTGCTCTGCTGTTCCAATCCATGATAGCCTGATCCATTTATAACTGGCTTGTAGCTTCCTAGGGTTGAAGACAATCTTTTGCTTGCAGGGGTGGCACCAAGATCCAGACTGGTTTGTATGGGTTTGTGTTCAATATGGGCCTGTACGGTCTGCCTCAAGAAAGATGAGGTAGCACTGGTTGAGGGAACGTTGGGTGTCAGACATGATAGTGGGAACATCCTTCGGCTGGAGAGTGGGGTTGTCTTTTTCTCCTCCTCTTTTTTCTTCTCATCCTAAAGAGAGAGTTAACTAAATAACTAATAGCACTACATAAACCCAATTAAAACCAGAAAACAAAAAGGTCAAATAAAATGGGAGTACGTTATTAGGAGCTTATTTCAAGTATTTTTTTATTGCCTACTAAGCAATGTCGCGTGAAAGGCAGATGGGGTGCAGTAAATGAGTGTACAACACATGCAGTTCACGTCATGAGACAGATTTAAGCCCATAAACGCTGAAAACTCGTGGCTTGCGCCCATGCCTGCTAAGCACATCCTAAAGCTACATTTCCTTTTCCTTGTAGCAGCATTAAATTGTGACACCAAAAAACTGATTAAACATTTATCTACAGTCAAGCTTACTGCGGAAAGCTGGCGGAGAGAGCTGAAGCGTTCTTTCCAGGTTACAGCAGCCTTGCGGAAGGCCTCGTGGCGAAGGATGAGTTGCTCAACCTCGTCTGTTTGAGCCTGGGCCCCTCCTCCCTCTGGCTCTCTGGAGGTGATCAATGGCTCCTTGGCCTTAAGCCAGGCTTCCGCCCTTACCGTCTCCTGGGCAAACTGGAACTTTTCCTGCTCTGGTGGTGACAACAAACCAACAGCAAGGTGACCATCATATCAATGCACACCCCAGTAGAAATCCGGTGTTAACATGCCTGTGTACATGAAGGAGATATTTATGTGTTGTATCACATCAAATGTTCATCCACTACTGTTTCTGAGTGAGTGGGTTATGTTAGTGCAAACAAGAAGAACAATACCATTCATTCATTCATTCATAATTGGAAAAGGGGGAAAAATGTTGTTTGACCCCCTTTGACATTTAACATACTGCTGTGTCAAAAGCTCCTTCTGCTCTAATAGCGAGTTACTCACTGCGCTTCAACTTATCCTGGTGTTTGTCCCATTTTTCCACAAGATCCCTCTGCTTAGCCAGAAGACTGTCCAGCTTCTCTTGTATCTGTGTAGATGGACAGATTGCAATGGTGACCACACAACATAGTGCTACAACTTGATCATGTAATTGTATTGGCATATTTCTGTGGCATGTGTAGTCATTCAATTGTGTTTCACAGGTTGTTTTAGCCTGACCTCCTCTGATGCAGGGTTCCCGGCAGCTATTAAGATCTTTCCCAGATCTGCACACTGCTGTATGGTCTTGCTGCGGCCGTCTACTTTGGCTTTCATTTCCTGATGTTGTTTTATCATCACCTCTAGAGCAGCCAAATCCCTGAGGAGCAATAGATCAGATTATTATGTTAGGGATTCCTCACATCTGCAGAGTGAAAAATGTTAATGGTATGCATGGACTTTTCTCCCAGTTAAGCGAAGGATCGGTAAGCATCCTACATGTTTTGTATTTGTATTGCATTTTGCCTGACTTTGGCACAATGGGCTATAAACTGGTTCTTAAAATAAATTAATCAAAATGAAATATTATTAAGAATGCTTTATTATGATTAACAAAATAATATTGAAATGACAGCTTATAATTTAATTATGATGGACAATTATGATGGACAATGTACAGAACATGCACATATTTTTTTATTTGTCCCGCCTGCTCATGTTGATACGTCTTAATCTCCTTAACAATTTCAAAGCCAAATGGATGTGCTTTGACATTATTTCACAACGGCACTGATCAAATAACAAATAATAGTAATAAAATGTGTAGCCTGCATTTTTTATGGAAAATTGAATGGATCTCATAAAATTAGGTCAGGAGGGAACAGCAGCCGGAAGTGACACTACACTTGACACACCACTAATTGTGAAATTGTGATCTCAGAGACTTTTACACACAGAACCAGAAAATTAAGCTTCTAAACCTGGACAACATATTGGCATAGAATGGTTTTAACTATATCATAAGTAAGTGAACACGTATTACCTGGGCTCATCCCATCCGATCTGGCCCATGATGCCTTCCATCCACATCAGGTTTTCACGCACCACTGAGAAGAACTGCACCTTGTCTGTAACTGAGGTGACCTGGACGCGACTGGCCTCGCAAGAGCCCAGCAGCTCCTTCCAGGCCTCCATCACCTGCATCTCTTTGAGCATTATGGCCTCGGCCTTCTCCCCAGCATAGATGGTCCTCAACTGGGCTGCGTTCTCTTGCAGCTGCCTCACCTGCACCATGACAGGATGAAGGAAGTGATTGGCTTCCTCACAGTAGAATATGTTCATTTTGAAACGGTTGTTTGTAGAAAATCAGTTGACCTGGTTTGTGACTTTCAAGCTCATAATAGGATGTACTTCTACAGTTAACTGCCGGGTTAGTCCGTGGAAGTTGAGTTGTGGTTAAAAAAGAAGTTTTGGGAATTCTATATGACCTGACCGTGTTCCTATGTGCAGGAAGTAGGCCTACACTCTGTGCCGGATGGCTTCTGAGAAAAAAACACATCACTTGCCTGTGCGACGAGCAGTTGAAGGGCATGTTCAAATGAGTGCATGAGTCTCTGCAGGGTGGCCGGATTGGTGATGTTGGCTTGGCACGCCCTCACCTCTGGCAGCTGCTTCATCTTCCCCGAGATCTGAGCCAAGACCTACAACGCAGGACGCCGTCGTTATCACAAGCAGCTTTAAAAATAGAAGCCAGACTGTCTACCTTTTCAAATAGATCTGCAGCACACCTGGATCACAGGCGGATGTTTGTTTTGACTGTACCTCTTTGCAGTCGGTAAAGAACTTGTGCAGCTGGTGCGACGCCGCCAGCATCTGCCTGCGGGTCTCCATCAGCTCCAGGAGATCGGCCCACGACTCGTTCAGCCCGTCCTTCCACTCGGCAATGGTGGCCGCGTCTGAGTGACCACAGTCGATCATCTCGTTCACCATTTTGTTCACCTGCTCCATGCTCCGCTGGCCGACATTGTTGGTTTCTGAGGCAAACTTGGTGAATCTCTCCTGGAGCACCTGGAAAATAGGAGAAGCGCAATGCTGCTCAGTAATACAGTGCTGACTAATGCAATAAATAATAGCTTTGTGAGACTTAATATTTGTGACACAAAAAAAGGTTGGTTGTGTGCATGTGTGTATCTCGGCGTCTACCACACCATACGGTTCGACACAATATATTTAGTGCTCACTTATGACCACACAAAAATGTCAAACTTTTTGAAAGTAAGTTCCATTGATTGAGCCTCTTAACTGTTTCAGTTTGGACTTCACTGTGTCCTCTCTTGATTTACATGTATGTATGTGTTGTGGAAATAATAATTTGTTTCAGCCGTGATGTATTATTAACATGGTTGATTGATGGTGATTGATGTTTTTAAGAATAAAATCATGAATGAAACATAATCACTCTTCGCTACTTCATCCACGTGTCTATTATCATCTAACGCCTTTATCTTCTTCTATGTTTGCAATAAACATTTGTTGGGGTTCAAAGTTATACAGCTATACATAAGCACAGTTGTTATCATCCATCCATCCATTGTTTATCCTGTACACAGGGTCGCGGGGGGGGGCTGGAGTCCATCCCAGCCAACTTCGGGCGATAGACAGGGTACATCCTGGATTGGTCGCCAGCCAATCGCAGGACTACACAGAGACACACAACCATTCACACTCACATTCACGGGCAATTTAGAGTCACCAATTAACCTGATCCCCAGAGCATGTCTTTGGACTGTGGGAGGAAGCCAGAGAACCCGGAGAGAACCCACGCAGACACAAGGAGAACATGCAGACTCCACACAGAAAGGCCACTGGGTGGAATCGAACCCAGGACCTTCTTGCTGTGAGGCAATGGTGCTAACCACCACGCCACCATGCCGCGGTGCCGGTAAAACAAAATCTTTATTGATTTATTTAGTTCATTGAATAAATATGTGACGCTCCCCATAGACCTATAGCTGGTTTAATTGGAGCATCAGTCATCAAGCATCAGGTATTTTAAACTGTTATTACTATCATCATGCTTTTTTACATATTTGGTCAGTTAAGATGTCGGCTGCTTAAATAGACAATTCCCTTGGGTTACTTCCTTGCATTTCGCACAGGAAGAATCTAATAATGTATGTGGTTGATTTATGATCTTTTTCAATTTTTTAAGAGTCCATTCACCACAGTCTAGCTCACCGGATTGTTAAAGGAAATTTTGGCACATATTCAATATTGTTTCTATCTACCGCAATTTTTAAATTGTTGCCGTTCTTGCCAATGTTTCTTGTGTCTTTGGGTTGCAGCTGCAAAATCGGTTGTTCTTCCGGGATCCACAACTCACAACTACGAGCTGTTCTTGAGTTTGGTAGCTGTGGGGTGCAATGCCATTCAAAAACACTCTTGTTCTCTTTGCTTGTATTCCAAACGTTAGTTACGTTTCCATCATTGAAAATGGCTTTAATATGACCAACATATGAATGTTGGCCATGTCATATCCAGGAGGGTAATCCAGGATTTTTTCAGTGCACTTTTTACTGTGTTTTTCTTGACTTGGATATTGAGCAGAGATATACGCGGGGGAGAAAATAATGTGAAACGGTAGCATATTTTCACGTCTTATTCCATGAATTCATGATTTACTACAAACAAAGCAGAGTTATTGATTGTTGTGTGGAGAGACTGACCAAGATGTGTATTATTTGGTTCTTGAGCATGCTTTTGTTTTACGATGAGTTACGAAGGCAATCCAAATCAAAATACTACCATGTAAAAGAGAATATTAAATTCAGAAGGTGTACATACACCTGTGTATGAATATTTCCTTTATTGACCTTTTGTGCGTTTGTATTTTTATTTATCCTATGTAGTCAATGCTTCCTCATACATGATACATACAGTGGAAGCGATGAGCTTTCTCAATCAATAGCACACACTGTGATATGTATTTCTGCGGCAGACTACATTCACTAACATAAAAGGTGGTTATTTTTCGCTTTTAAAATATTATCCCTCTATTTTCTTAATAATAGAAAGTCTTCATGGGATGCCATTAAAACAAAGCACACAATGGTCATATTCTATACATACATGGGCAAATGGCAGCCAATGATAATGATTAGTTAAAAGGCCCACAAAATAAATGCTGTGATCATGATTTAATTCAAAAGCTAAAGCTAAACAGAAATAACTAGTGGTGATCATATGGGAACTACACTCTAAAAAATGTCACCGTAAATTAACGGTATTTTACTGGCAGCAAGGACGCCAAGAATTTACCGTCATTTTACGGTATAATACCGTATTTTTTACACTATGTTACCGTAAAATAGTTTACTGTATGTTACCGTTAACTTGAACTTGAACTGCAATTTACTGGCAGTCGCCGCTAGTAACTTACTGTTTTATTTACAGTGCCCTGCCGTAAGTTATATTGGATTACAGTTTGTTACCATACGATTACTGTTTTTGTGTTATAATTACCAGAGTGTTACCGTTTACTTATAACCGTATACTTTTGCATTTAATTCCCCACAAATTTAAGAAAGACAACCAAACTCATTTCGGTCATAGTGGTTGGAGTTTATTAGATGCCTTTAGACAAAAATGTTAGGCCTTTGTAACCAAGAACCAAACATAAAACATGCCTCATGTATACAATAATAAAAAAATGAATCATAAAATCATTAGGAACAAGGTAAACTAAATGCAACAATACGCTATGGAACACTTTCAATTGACCGCAGCAAACGGCTGGCGTCCTTAATCCAGTGCCTCTGTAAAACAAACCAAAATAAAATATTTAGAAACACTGTCATTGGTAAAATATTAAAATTACAAAGTTGAGGAAGACAACAAGATGTAAGGAAGGAGAATGTTAATCATGCTAGGCAAATAACACTTACCAACATTACTTGGAGAAACGAGGCAATGAGAAACTCCTCCGATGTTGAACTGCACTGACAGGTGTTCTGGATGAACTGAGATTACGCGTCTGACGTCACGTTCAGGAGCAGTCGGTCACAATTAACACTCAAATGACTTTTAGGCAATGAACACTTTGAATAATACAAATATTTAGGATCTTTACATTCCGGCCAATGAAACAACGGCGAAGGCGGCGCATGGGATAGGGAGGGTGTGCTGTGCAGCACAAAGATGGCAGTTTGAATCCTGGCTGCTCCCTGTGCCAAGTTGAAGTGTCACTGAGCAAGACACCTAACCCACAATTACTCTGCATAAAATTATGTCAAACTACGGGCGTTTTGGATAAAAGTGACAGCTGCATGTATAGTAATGTCCTGTAAGTCAAAGTCATCATCGTATCTCATGAGATACTATCTAATTATGATGACTTACAGGACCTGTTTTTCAGTGGCTGACGTGGTCTTCCATACATTAACAGACAAAAGATGTAGATGGATTGTGATTCACTGCACTTGTATGTGTATTTCCACCACTTCATAAAATATATGTAACATGCAGTTGAATTACGGTAGTCTGCTATTATTGTAAATTGATAGCTTTAACTGTTTATTCATGACATTGGCCGTTAATTTACAAGCAATGGATGGAAATTGAACTCTATGTTACAGTTATTTTGACATACTGTAAGATACCGTTGGAAATGCACCGTAAATTTACAGCAATTTGTTACAGTGTATTAAGTACAAGCCTTCTTTCGTATTAATGGCTCATTAATGGCTCATGGATGTTTGCCAAAGACATTTATGTTGCAATCACTAGAAAACAAGGTTTGTTTTCATTAAACTGAAATGATCTCTAAATAAAATCAGTCCATAAAACCAAATGTAATATTTAGTATTGCTTTCCATTTTTCAGTTTATCTTTAAATGGGGGGGACACAAACTATAGAGTACATAGGGACTTCATTGTAGGTGTTGATCTTTTAAGGCAACAATAAATAAAACAGTTATCCAGAAATGAGAAGACCATTTTTCCTGTGTTGTTTTATTACTGTCATCGCTTTTTACCTCAAATTCATGTGTGAAAGAACTTTTTTGTGAAAATGATTCACTTATTAAATGTAAAAAAGAAAAGTGATTGCTTTAAATTGTACGGATATGAAATGTGTCAACCCCAATCAGTGCAGATGGACTGACCGTGACGTCCTCCAGGTCGTGGCCCAGTTCGGTGGAGCTAGCCACTGTCTCCCGCTCGGTGATCCACTTCTCTAACTCCTCCACGTCCTTGTTGAGCTGATAAAGCCAGTACTGCTGCTCCAGCTTGGTCTTCCTGTGCTCCACCATGTCCTTCAGAGACACATATAGCCGGTCTATGTGCGTCTGCTGCTTGGTGAGCTGCTCGCTGTTGAAAATGAAATGTTACAGCCACAGCAATACGAGTATTGACAATGTTGCCCTTGTCTTCTGCTAACCGGCACATAGAACATTCAAAGGTTGAGCTGCACTCCATATTTGCTGCTTTGTAAGTGCAAGTGAGCTACACCTTTCTGGGTGTCCAAGTTCCATAAGACGCTGGCACTGCTGGGATAGCATGCCTACGGTCTCTGCGTACGTTTCCACTGTTTGCTCCAGGGCCAGGTGGGCCTTCAGCAGCAGCAGGGTGCTCGGCTCGTCCTGAAAACGATGATCAGAATGACGTCAGGATTCACTTTCGCATGGCGCCAAGTAGAACAAACACCCAGTGTGAGCGGCATGGCCGACCGTACCGTGCCTCTCTCCTCATTGACCAGATGGAGCTTCTGACCCGACAGCCAGGACTCAACTTTGGCCGCCTCGCTGTAGTACTGCTGAGCCTGCAGCGTGGCATCTAGCATCACGCACCGCCGCTCCGTCTCCAGCTGCAAAACCTCCCACAGCTGGCGCACATGTCCGGCCCCTTCGCGCACAAACTCCACCTCGGGAGTCCTTAGCGAAGCGATGATCGCCGCACGGTCCAGAACCTCCTCAACACGAGCCCGCCGCCCCGTCAGCTCCCTTTGGAGTGTCTGAAAGACCAATTGGAGGTGAGTTCCCAGGCGAAGTGTGCTTGGGTCACATTTCAGCCCACCAAACGTTGTTTTTGACAATTACCTGGTTCTTTTTTACGTGCTGCTGTACACTCTGGAGGTTAGTCCCATAATCTTTACAGGAGGCCAAGGGAAGCCTCTCCTGAATCCACAGCTATCGAGTAACCACAGTCAGGTCATTACATTTCACATAATCAAACATGGAGGCCATTGCCACATGCATTAGTTGCAAAACAGTTTAATTCCTTAACATGCCCCATGAAACCTGAACCTAAACTGACGGATGTTTCAAAGGGAATAAAAAATGGTCTATATAGTTACGGAAATATGTTTAAGGACAGGATGGAGAACAGAGAAAAGAGTGCACTCACTATCTCGTCCTCCAGGTCCTGGGCGACCTGGTGCATCTCTTTGGAAGCCAGCAGGATGCGGCGTCTCTCCTTCAGCGGCTCAATGAGACGAACAATGCGTGTCTCCACCACGGGCGACTGCTCCCCGCTTTCCCTGTCGCCCGCCATCAGCCCTCGCTGGGGTAGGCAGACCCCTTGCAAGCTACCCAGCTCTCCCACATCCTTGTAGAAGTCCCCAATCTGAGACTCCATAGCCTACACCGGACGGGAAGGGGGGAGGTCAGGGACAGACAAATGCATCACATCAGCCGTTTTCCTAATGGAACCTTTCAGGGTTATGTAAATGACTGCCTCACTTCAATAAGGGCAATAAAGAAAGCATGTGGTGCGTATATATGTTTTTATGCCACCGAAACTAGTTTAATAGCATGACACACCAGCCGGATGGGTGGACCCACCTCAGAGATGCGGGAAATTACATAGACAATAGCGAGCAGAAGTATGCGGTCTGTCAAAAACATTTTCCAGATCATGGCAGATTAAAGGTAAGTCACATGACGTAAGGACAAAGGACTGGATGTTGTTTTTACCATTTTAAGTCAAGCCCAGAAGTAGAACGTAACTACGTCATTTACTCAATTACTCTACCTAAGCTCTTGAGGTTTAAGATTCCAGATATACAGGTTCTTCCTGTGCAATTCTCATTCTATTCCCATACCGAAATATATTTGTAGACATTTGACTGTAAATATGAAAATGTGCAGGGCACAACATTAGTTGAGGATGACCAAGCGCTAAGCGCAACTCTGTATCAGCTCTGGTTTACATTTGAAGGGGTCTCACATGTGAAAGAATCGTTTGGGTTTTGGTGACACATGGTGTATTGTGCCAGTGGGCGCGCTGAGACTTGCCTGGAATTTCTGGAGCTGCTCGTTGAATGTGGGCAGATGGTGGGCCTGCTCCAACTGGGGGGGCTCCTGTTCCAGGTGGGAGAGCTGGTTGTCCAGGTCTGAGTAGCTCTTCACCGCCGGCTCGGGCTTGTTGTTTTCAAAGAGTTGACGGGCCTTGGCCTTTGTGGTGCTCTCCAGGTCGGACCAGCACTCTCTGATCTCCTCCAGCTTCTGCTGAACCACTGGACGCAGCTCTGGCTTCTCCTGGATCAGCTCCTGACCCTCCTGGACACAGGAAGGGATGACTGTTGACAACCAATGGTCAAATACTGACCATGATGTAAATTGAGATCACTGTGTGTTCTCCCCCCAATGTTAATCTATCCAATTAAAAGAAAAGTTTAGAATGTTGTTTCTTGGTTGAGTGTCAACTTTCGCTTCCCATATGGGCTGAGTCCAGTGTTTGCTTCACTTTTTACAAAAAATATGTTAACTGCACTGCACATATCTGTCCACCATTTTAGATTCCAAGTTCAAAGAAAATCTATTTCTGAGACAGAATGTGATCATTCTAAATTCATTTTTGTTCACAAGGCCAAAGATTTTGGGTAGTTGATATCCTTTGATGATGTCTCTAACAAAGGGAATTGGTGTTCAAAGAAATTAAGACCACTAAGACTAACAGCTTAACAAATCTACAGACATACCAAGGCAACATGCTATTTTTAGCCATGGACCAGAAGATCTCATTTTAATAGATTACATTATTATGTCAGAGTGACATTTCATGTCGCACCCAAAAAATCTCAGACAACACCGCTCCATACCAAGTGTGAAGCCCACACCTGCAAGCAGAAAGGCCGGTTTTGGGGCAAAGTTCGGCCTCTGGCTGACCTAAAAAACCATGACTGGCAAGTGTAATAAACGCCTGTTCTGTGCCCCTCTCCCCTCCCCTAAATCTTGGGCTTTGTTCATAATGTGATGTGGATGCGACGATACAGATCAAAGCTTGTGGCACGTTCCCCTTTGCGTCAACAGATTATCGCTGCTCTCCTTGAAGGAGTTGGAAGTGTCTCGACACGATCTTTTTGGCATTTAAAATGCTGTGATGTAATGTCTGCAGATTTGTTTAATATTCTAAGAAACCAGCGTTTCTGCTCCAACATCCCTCTGTTATATAAAATCAAGGTGGATGTCTTCATCATTTACTCAGCTTGTGTTGTAATAACAACCGTGCATACGATGCATTCAATATTCTTAATTCTGCTTCCCCTCCTAAATCCTTTTTTATGGGGAGCTGGACCTCTATGCTATGGCTTTCATAATGCAGTGCTGCATTCCTCCTCTTGGCACCGGCTCTCTGCTTAACTGCTGCTAGCGCTCACTCGCTCACATCCATCTCTCTCTCTCTCTCTCTCTCTCTCTCTCTCTCTCTCTATCTCTCTCTCTCTCTCTCTCTCGTGCTGCTGCTCCTTTCTTCCCCCAGCCTCGCTCTCACTCTCATAATGCAGAGCCAGCAGAAGGCAGGTCTCTCTCTCTCACTCTTTTCCTCTCCTCCTTTGGCTTTACTGACACACACAGTGAGGCGTGGGGAGAAGAAATCAGAGAGGGGGTGGAGAGAGAGAGAGAGAGAGAGGGAGACAGAGAGAGGAGAGCAGAAAGGAGAGAGAATCAAAGGTTTGTGGGGCAGGAATGAAGCTGCGGGTGTGTGCTACAGCCTGGGCACAGTTGGATCCAAAGGGCATCTGCGAAAGCAAATGTTCGAGGCAACTGCGGCTGACACAGTGCAGTATTTGAATGGCTACCACGAGTCAATCGTGCAATTACGGCAGCAGAGTTGTGTTGCTGAATTCTGGGGGCTTTTCTTCTGATGCTTGTGCAGAATAGTAAAATAGTGGGTGGGATTTTGGGGCTTGCTTCATACCACTGGCACAAAACACAATGGGCCTTGTGTGAACGGTTTTGCGTCCACTTTAGGCGTATTTGTTTCGGAACGTGCGTGTAAAAGCATAGCGAGATGTCCATACATGAGGTAAAAGTGCGGAAACTGAAAATGGCATATTGGGATTTTCTGTGCCATGCATATGCTTTCACATGAGGGTCAAGGAGAAAGTGGGGGTTTCCCATGAAGAGATGGGAGTGGATGCGTAAAGTGTGCCTAATTATGTATTCGCCGCTATGTACATAAACCACCCATAAAAGCGTGCTTCCAGTTTGCGGTGAAAATTCTCCGCCTCTTAAAAGCAGGTGTAAACCAGAATGCTGGTTTCCTCGCATGTGCCTCCTGGTGAAATGGCAGCACTAATCCGAGCCAGACGGCGACAAAGGCCAAGGAGACGAGCTGAAAGGATTTTTGCCACAAGGATCCAACTTTTTCAGTTGAGTGAACACAAAATCATTACGTGTTACGCAGATTAAGCAGCCACGCAATATTACAGTTACTGGAAGAATCAAAGATGACATTGCATCTCCCACTCAGCGTCCACATTCCATTACAGCAATTGTTAAACACTACAACGCTACATTAGTATCAGTATTGGCATTAGGATCATTCCAAACAGTCACAGCATCAGCAGTGGGAATATCGCAGTGTCCACTCAGCCATATCACAGTAGTACTTAACGCTTTGCTACAGCGCACTAGTCGATACATACATTTCCCCACGACAGATGAACACATGAATTTTTGTTTTCTCTGATCCATGATAGCAAGAGAGAAGGAGGCCCATCCAATTGCTCGTTTAAATGCTCGCAATCTACAGTACAGTGGGCAGAGAAAGGCGCCGATTACAATTATGAACTGCAGGTTTCGTAAATACAACGTAAGCTAAAGTATCGCAGCGCGCGCAATCTGCGGTTTGCCCCAGGCGATGATAACATTATTAGCAATTGTACATACATGAGGGCCAATGTGTTCACACCCACTGAAAGAAAAGTAACACTATGCAACGTAAGCCGATACCTACAAAACACTGTAAAGATATAAAACGCTGCAAATATTAGTACATATATATATATATATATATATATTGTTTGAGTGTATATATATATATATATATATATTTTCAGCTTCCTTCTTTTTGCCATGTCATCCCTTCAGTCCAACCCACAATGCAACGCTGACTCGCTGATTACTATGGTGACGTCCAAACAGCAAACGGTCAACTATGACCAGATGTGCCGTTACTCACAGTTCTGGATTATTCCCGTCTGATAATAAGGCTTGTTGGATTAGTAAATTAATACATTCTAATATTTCTAAAATACAAATGCCAATGAGGGGAAAGTGCAGGATGCTACACCAGTAGCATGAAAGTATTGTTGCCATCTAGATAGAAACACATTGTCCATTAAAGCAGTTGTTTCAACATGCCGTTATAACTAATAAGTCATGTATGCAGTAAATTAAATGGTAGTTTTGTATTGCTATAAAATGGGTTTAACAAACCAAAAAGAAAGGCAATGAATGCAGCACAATAAACTACCAAATGAACTAAAATGAAGTACATCAATTATTTAAATGAAACGGCGGTGGAAACAATGGGTAATCATTTTATCTATTCTGTATTTAAAACGCCATTGAATTCATGTCAGCATATTGTCTGTTTTTCAAAATTCGCTAAAGCCTGCAGAAGGTAGACATAATTAATTATTACATCACAGGTGATTTAGCTGACGCTTTTATCCAAAGCAACTTACATTACATTTTCAACCGATAGCTTTTTTTGCCTGGGGACCAATTAGAGGTAAGGTGTCTTGCTCAGGGACACTTCAAAATGGGAATATGGGGCAGCAAGGATTCAAACCACCAACCTTGCGGTTCCCAGAGTACCCGCTCTACCCCTGCGCCACAACGACCTCATTATGACCTGTTATGCTTGTATCATTCCAGTATCGGCTGTTTAACAATAATTTGACAAATATACTGTATTTGTGTGTAGTACTCATACGGATGGCTTTAGGCTGTAGGCTATTGTACCCAACATTTGATTCCAAAATGTGACGTTATGGCATTGTGCCTGCTACTGTCTGACAGTGAGAGAGGCTGCTGCGTGCTTGATCTTGGATCGGCAAGATTTCGGCATGAGCCTTAAGCAACAATGTATCCGCGCTGCCACTTCATGTATAAATGGCAAAAACATTTCCAGGTAAAACGTGACTGCTAATTGAACGATGCATAGTTTAAAACAACTTAAATGTTCATGCTTAATATTTACCTTATGATACTGTACGTTGGATTTAAAACATTTGAAATGGAGGGAATTATCTTTAAAGAAATCTATGAAACACTGCAGGATATGAAATTCCTGTCTGACATAAAAAAAATGTGTGACATTTATCATTCCATCCCAGACCAAAGAGATGAATATAATTGTGGAACACGAGGAGGTTACACAAGACTATTAATTTTCACTAACATGATCACGACAATACCATATGCACCTTCTTCTTAAATTCTAGACCACCGAATGTAATCTACCACTAAAAGTTGTCCCCAACAGACAGGGTGGTGAAGTTTGAAAGACATTGTGAATCTGTATTGCAGGAAAAGGATGTACTTAAATAATGACACTTACATAGTTATATCAACGCAAACAATCTTTACCTAAATGTAACTAAGTAGGTTTGTAGCTTAAACCTGACTGGGAAGTTCATTTTGAAAAGCAGATGATCGTAGGTGTTACTGTGATTTTGCACAAAAATGCTTACAAAATGAAGAGCAACTTTTTCTAAAATATCAAAAGAACTGTTAAATGAAGGTACGTTGATTGGTTCAAATAAAATCTGTGTGAGTCTACATAGAGGGAAGATGGGTCAACAGTAAAACCAAAAATAACCTACTTCATTTGAGTCCAAAACATGATCTTTTGCTCAACCTAACCAAGTAGTCGTATTCCCTTGACCCGAACGTAATTAGGACTGCAGCTTCCAAAGCGCCATCAGAGGTCAAAACACTACAACGTTTATAAATATAAACGTTGGATGTCCAAATTCAACACAGCGCTGGTTTGCAGAAAAGTTAAATGCCAATGTTTTATTCTGAGGCCTGGTTTGCAAAAGTGAAAAAAAGGCCTGCTGAGAGATGCATTATTTGTTCTCTCTGGGATCTATTATTTGATTATGGAAAGAATATAAAGATAATTCAAGACAAGTCATTGAAATATATGCCCAATATATATCTGCAGGAGAAGCAATCATCCTTTACAGTTACATGTAAACGAGGTTAAAGATTGAAGAGTAAAAAAGCTTTTGTCTCAGCGTGTGTAAATATGAAAGAGTCGGTCGGTCAGTCACTGATGCACGCGCTGCAGGCGGACAGGCCAACGGTTCATCAGCGCTGACCCCCGGGCCCACGCTGAGGCTCCGCGCAAGGTCAGCCGCGAGTCCTCTCACTGTAACAGAGAAGCACCCTCAAATCGTCCACACAGACACGCACACACACACACACACACACGCACACACACACACACACAAGTCGGCCCGGCTTCATGTGCTGAGTAAGTACTGAGAGAACAGAGGTGAGAGGCGGAGGCGGGGAAGCTTCCAAAAAAAGGCCGCGGAGTTCTCCCATCATGGCAGCACGCAGCGTCATCTTTTCTCTCTGTCGCTCAGGTAACGACAGAGAGCTAGAGAAAGATTCATGGTGGTAGATTGTGACGGTCAGCACGGGAGAGTCGAGTCGGTTTCTTTCTGGTATTTGATAGTAAAGATGACTCAAATAAACTGATGATTAGGAAGCAAAGCATTATCTTGTTTCAGTCCATTTTGATTTCAAGCTGAAATGTCGTCCTAGTTAAAGGAGCTCTCTGTGGCAACTGGTTATTAATTAGAAGTTGTCAGGAGTCGTAATGGTTTAAGATGCGTACTATAAAGCCATAGACTGTATGTCTGAATGGCAATAGTTGTTGTTATATCTTGCTGGCGCCATCTTGGATCACGATCGTTGCCATCTTGACTTTTCACAACCTGCCAACATAAGTGACCATATTTGTGCTGTGGAGCTGTGACGTGGAGATGCAGTTTACGGCTGTGGTAGAGGGAAGATCTCTCAATCGCAAGATAGCCCCGCCCTAAAGCCTACCCTGCCTAATGCTCTATTTGAGACCAAAGGTCCCCCGCGGTGGGGCCCTTGAGACCAAAAGTTGAGACCTTAAACTAATGTTTACAATGTTTACTGAGGGAATAATTCCAGAGAGAAGAGTAATTGAAGAAATATTTAAAACCCTCTACTGTAGACAATATAAACTGTATATTTCTGTTATCCGTGATAATGTAATCAGGTGTGCAGAGACGACACCAATTCAAGTGTCCTCAACTTGAGTACAGCTTCTGTACAGATTAATATATTTCATTCTAATTCACCAGTGATGAACATTTCAATTCAATTTATTTTGTATTGCCCAAAATTTACAATCTCCACACATGCGACATCCTTTGACCCAGAACCCTCTCAGCGGCACAGGAGAAACTCCCACAGGGAACGCGAACCCACCAAGTCAGCTTTTTATATGTGTGTGTCTGTGTGTATATATCGACCATTTGATCACCTTTTTTGGCTTTAGAGCCACACATTAAATTGGTGCTGCAACTAACAACACATTGCATTATTGATTAATATGCTCCTTATTTTTTGATTGTTTTTATATATTGCTTGGTATATAACATGTAAAAAAACTGGGATAAAAGTCACCATTCCCTGAAGCCCAAATCATACAGCTTCAAATAACTTGTTAAACCCAAACATGTTTAATTTTATAAAACGGAGAGAAGCAACAAATCCCTGCCTTTTAAAAGCTGCTGATCCGAGTTTAACACAATTCATTGGTGATCAAAACACATGCAGCTAAAATGTCCTTCAATTGACTGATCCTTAAATCGACTAATCATTTCCAAGAGTCTTGCAGCCAGTATTTTTAAATTCACAGTGAATGCTAAAATCGTCTTTATTATGACATGAATGGAGTAGTCCCTCTGGTTTGACAGATCTAAACATTGTATTAATCTATTTGAGTAATATTGCTACATTTAATAAAGTTTTCCATAATTAATTCCCTCCCTTTTTGACATTGTAAAAATAACACCTTGGGTGCCCTGCTTGAATAAAAGCGACTGTAAAGTCGTAACATCCCAAACGGAACATCCTGCACTACTAGGCCAACGGAAGTAACGCTGCTGAGAACACGCATGGATGTGGCTGCACAGACTCTAACAGTCCGTAAAAAGACGAGTCCATTCACACACATTGCGCCGTAAGCACAACTAATCCTCTCCCTCTATTGCATCGTGACTGAACTAAGAGGAGGTGTCTGCCTGCTCAATTGGGGGGGCCTAGACGCTGATGAACCTGGTGACGGCTAAAGAGGACTTCCTCATTAGGTCATGTGCAGCGGTAGGCCTCGCCTTCATGGGTCGTGGTTATAATTAATTACAAACCCATCATATGAATATTTGATCATAACCGTACACTACAAAAATGTGAATGTGTAAAAATCTATACATTCTAATGAATGTCTTAATGTACTCAATAAAGAATTAATAATTCAAACGGTTGGGAATATCAACGATGTAAATACATTGTAGCAAGGTCACAGATAAACCTGAGCAGCACAGCTATTGTATTATTCAGCATCCTTCTTTGAAAACGTGTGTGGCGGAGTCGCTTGTCATGTATTTCAGTCGCACCGTGTCATCGCTGTAGCTGGTGGACTGCTGGCTGTAACTCATTTGCTTTTAGATTATCAAATTGGGTATCCGATGTTCAAAAAACGCACCCACTTTACTCATCATTGTTCACTGATTGAATGGCCCTGGTGCAGCTTTTGGCCACTGAAATGAATGAAAGGAAATAAATTATGTGCCTGTTAACCTGCAGAAATTAGCCTAATGTAGAAATATTATAGGATTCCAGTTGCAAAACAGCTTTCTGTCCAGCTTCTAGCTTTCATACGGTGCTTGATGAAGCACCTGAAGACTCTCTTGGTTTAACCAAATCCAGAATATTTCATCAGTCTTCTGTATTATAATACAGTGCAGCTCTAAAGTCAGTAATTCTGTTTAAATTGTTTAAAAGGAGGAGGTTACACCGTGAAAAACACATTTCTACACTATAACATACCAAATTGGCTTATGCAAACATATGCTAAACCCTCTTGGATCTTGTGTTCTCATGTCCTCAGCAGCAGCTTCACGTGTGAGCGAGCCGATCATCACAGCGACATGTTTCACTGTGTGATTGACTAATACAGAGCCCACCTGAGCCTAAATGAGGCAGAGGGCATGGAGAACATTCCGTGTGAACGGGACGGTAGCAAAGCATGATGGGAATGTAGGGCAAAAAAAAAGAAAGGAAAAAAATGCAAACGTGACAATGTGGTGATGATGTAAACTGACTATGTCTGTGTGTTCCTAACGGAAACCATTTGTACATCCAGAGACATGAAAAGAACTTGCATCCTCTGCATGTTTGGCCTCCACTGCTGCGGAGGTTTAAGTGTCCTCTGTGTGAATCACTGTAACCTCCATAACGGAGCTGTGAAATCCAGGTGGTCTCACCTCTGGCCAGAGACACCAGAAAACCACTGGGGAAGGAGGGGGGGGAGGGGGGGGGGGGCACACCACCTGTGAACCGGAACAACACCGCCACCATGGCGACGTAACCTTGAGAACATGATTCAGGATGTCCCCGAGCAAAGTGATGAAATGAAAAGCAGAGTGATGACATCTCTCACACTCTCACCTATTACCACTTCACTGCCACCACACCCACTGTCACTCATGTCACGCTCTCACCTGCTCCGGCCCGTCCGACCTCCCAACTCCATCCCTCCTCCCTCTCTTCCTCCATCACCATGCCCTCGTCACCTCCACTCACCTGCTCGATCTTGGCAAGCCATTCTTTATTGCGGGCCAGCTCCGCCATAAAGGCCTGGTGCTTCAGCCACTTCCTGTGTAGCTTTTGAGCCTCGTCCCGCGCCGTGTCTCGGGCCATAAGCATCTTTACTTCCACCCGCTGTCCCAATCACTCAGCTAGGGGAGACAAAAATAGCCACCATCAGGAGTCCAACGCTCAAGCCAGCCCTTCTCCCCCCCCCCCTTTCCCACAGGACGTCCTGCTGGCCTCTTATACGCAAGAGATGCCCGCTCCGCTCTACTCTGCAGGGGCCTGGGTACCTGTTCTGTCACCACCCACCCCAACCCCCACCAGACACCCTTTTCTGGAGGAAAAAATAAATAAAAATCAAGATAAGCACCTCAGCAGCAGTGGTTGCAATGGAAGCATTCAAACCCTTCCTTTGGGTCGCCCCTGGGTCCTCATGCCCTACCACTTCATGGGTCTTGCGGTCCTGATGCTGCAGTGCCTGCTAGCCAGTCTTAGAGATGGCAAAAAACAAGCAGTGAAATAGAGCAAATGCGCCAAATGACAACGCTGGTAAAATAAATGACACAACACATCCGAGGCTCCTTTCGGCTTGCCGGTCCTCTTCTAGCTCCGGATGTCGATTACAATCCAGTCGTCAGTGGAGGTGTAGATGTAGCTTAGCCACAGAGGTGTCTTCAAGCCGGTGCAAACCTGACCATCCGCCGCTCGACCAGTCCCGGTCAATCTGTAGTCCGGTGTAATGATGCTAAAGACAGGAGGAGGAGGAAGACTTGGAGTGGGAGGAGCAGTGTGAACGGGATGCAGAGGCAGTGCAGGGGGGGAAGGCCGGATAACATAAGCTATCCGCTCTGGAAATGCAGCGCTCCTGGCCGCTACAAAGATGCCCACGTATGCTTGTGTGAGACAGCACACTATTTCCTCCCCTCAGTTCCCCCTTCCTCGTGTGGCCGTGAACAGCTCAGCCGCGGTTGGTGCATGCTGCTGCAGTCCTTGCCTCTCAGCTACGCTCCTGTGTGTGTGTGTGTGTGTGTGTGTGCGAGCTTGCACAAGTGTAGGTGTGTGTGTGTGTGTGTATGTGTGTGTGCAATCACAATCAGCACTGCAGTCCGGAGTAAAGAGAGAGGGAGAGAGAGCGAGAAGGAATGAAGGGAAGGGGAAAGGGGGGGTTGTGGGGGGGGTGGCGGCAGCCGGAGGAGTGAAGGAGAGGAAATGGAGAAAGGGGGAGCGCCAGTGCAAAAAAAAAAGAAAGAAGAAGAAGAAGGGGAGAGCCAGTGAAAAGAGGGGAAATATGGGTCTTGGTTGGAAGGATGGTTGGGAGGTGGTGGGGGAGGTTCTGTAGTGGAACAGAGAAAGGAAGAGAGAGCCTGCGTCATCCCTCAGTGTCACCAGGGACATTTCTCTGCACTAGAAATGACTGCACTCAGAGCAGGGGCAGGATTTGGGGGGGGGGGGGGGGGGGGGGTTAAAAATCGCTGAATGGGAGGGAAGGGAGGATGCATGCACACATGGTCCACGGTGCAGCCGACTGATTCGGATCACCGTTCACATCCATCTTTAAGGGCACAAGTGTGCGATTCCTTCTGCTGCAAATCCTGTGTCCTTTGGGTGCAGAGGGTGCACACGTTTTATCGCGTGCTGAACGCTGCTCCCCTGATCTGCATTATAGATAAGGCAGACCATTTTTACAAATGTGTAAATGTGTTTGGTTGACATCTTGAGTCCGCATCTGAAATTCAACGTTGAAAATAAATATATATATATATTTTTTTTTTATTCACACTTTTTAAGATATGAATTTGTATTAGATTGAATCGTCACAGCATACAAAGGTGATTCAAGTTTCATGGGAGTGAAATAGATCACTACTCAAAACCACCAGGTTTTGTTGTTCATGCTCGTTGAATGTTTGTTTTTTCAGTAATTTAATAGATGCAATTTATAAAACCAATGAATCCTACATCTTTGCTTTGCAGCAGCATCAGACCGGACCAAATAAATTACAAATAATAATGTTAATAATGTTAGATAATAATGTTCAAGCCATGAACATAAGAATAAAAAAGACCACATTAAATTAAACTTTTTTAATGTATTTTAATGTAATGTATTTAATTATTTTACACTGTTCATTGCCTTAAAAATATCCATTAAGTCTCCAAATAAGATAGATACATACAAACTCTTTATATTGCCTCAGCTCTTCTCAGGCTTATCTTTTCAGCATCATCCCTGATGCTCACTAGATGGGTGCCATGTTCTTGGTGGTTTTAATCCCCCGCGGTGGGGCCTCCTGTCCTAGGCCATGCACATCATGCCAGTTGGTAATGTCTACCATCAGGATGCTTTCTATTCTATTCCTCCTCTGTAACATTCGTCCAGATGCTTTAAGTTTATTTGGAAAAAACACAGCTGATGTTTAACAGGTTACAATCTTGTCAATCAAAACATTTTCAAAATACTGTACAACTATATGGTGAAGTCAATGCAGTGGGACTGCCACAAAATATATGAGCTTGACCTCCACAAAGCATTGCGGGATAATGTAATTCTACGACGACATACTGTTATAATAACCTGACGAGTATTTTAATTTAAAATCACAAATGATTGCAAAAATACGATAGAAACATATTGTAGTGTCACTTCAATGTGACAGCAGGTAATAGTATATGTCTGTCACTTTACTTTTTTAGGTTTATCAATTTACTGTAAAAACAACACGGTACCTTATTGAAGAAGTAATGCACCTAGGAGCCACTACTTTTCTGTAAATGTACGGTGAAATATTTTACATTCATTCATAGCTTAATTTAAACAATATTTCTGTCTTTGTCTATTGCAGTTCACAGTATTTTGATAGAGAGATACATAGATATAAAATCCTCTTTGTAAAGACCATTGAAGTTGAAATACATCAGCCAAATGAAATCCTAATTTTTTAACTTAAGCTCTGAAAATGGTTGAAAATAGCCCTCTCACCTCGAGAAGAATGGAAGCTATGAAACTATGAGAATCTTGTTTTTTTATTGCTCCAGTGCTTTCAGAACCATTTGACACACTTTTCTAAGCGTCCAAGTCCAAACACCCATGGGTGCACCACTGTGGCAGCTGACCAATAGAGGGCAGTGGGGCGCCGCCCCACCTGGAGCGCCCCTCCTTACACAATATTTGTGTTTTTGAAGTATGGAATGTACCCAGTAATATGATTTATATGCTTTTCCTGCACGTCCCTACTTGTCCTATGCATGCCCTGTCTTCATCGCCGTCCTGGCTGCGCTAAGGACAAGCTCAAGACTTCCCGGAGAGATCACTTTTGTTATGCGGCCTAACATACACTAATCTGCCTCTGGAAGAGAGTTCCCTTTTGGGTGATCCTTCCCAGGGTTTACTGCAGCCCCTCCTTACTTAGGACTTTGGGGGGGGGGGCCTTGCCCACTTGAGGGAGGTGTCATCATCACAAGGGATTTAACATTTAAATTTAACATTATTTGATAGTTTTAGGTGCTAGAACCTGGTCGCTCTGTACGTTGGTCGTACAACTCAACTCAACTCAATTCATTTTAACTAGCTACACAAACAACCTTTTCTGTGCGATACTTCCAGCTACAAACAAACCATGTCTAAAACCATTCACACTGGCAACTTAGTGTCCACACAGCCATCTTTCAGTACTGCCAAGGGACCACACACAGAATGTCCAAAGACCAACTCATTTGGGCTCCTGTATCGCCTCCCTCACAAAGAGACCTAAGGCTCTGGTGGAACCTCTCTAAAGCTCCTTGGCTTTGCGCATGATAAGCAGATGATTGGCTTTGCCTAATGCGCAACAACTTCAACACCTGCCCAAACATGTTTGATGAGAATATAGACCCTCGGCCACTCTGGACCACCTCAGGAATGCCAAATATGGAAATAAATTGTGACAATGCCTTAACCACAGCCTTAGTTGTGATTGGCCTCAAACGACAGCCGGATACCATGTGCTTTGACACATCACTGTGAACAAATATTTACAACCAATCTTGACAGTGACACAGACTGCTCAGACAGAGATGGGACCTCCACAACTATCGCAACCGAGTCAGATGACACGTCAGGGTGTGATTTGCTCACAGCGCATGCAAATACGTAGGATGAGATGAGGCAACACTCTGAATCAACGGGTGAACCTGTGACCACCAGTGCGGGAGGAGTGTCAGTCCAAACTCTGCTACCAGCTAATCGTTGCCCATAAAAAAATGTACACCTTGAATTGGCAGAGCCGGACGCACACCAACAGCTATCTCACCCGTGACCAGTCAAGCACCACCTCTTTCAAAGGAACAGGGAGAATCTTCAATCCGATCCCCTGACTAAGAACACAGTCAGGACCTTCCCCTCACTTCCCAAAAGTGGTACAAAACCACCTTGAACGAAAGGAACATAGGCTGCCCAGTGTGAGTGTGATAGATGCTCCTCAGCAACACAGCAGTCATTAACTGGAACAGCGAAGGCAGCAGGCCTGACATTTGTTCTTACATCTTTAGCTTGTAACAAAGGACACTCTGCCTTCCAACGGCCCTCCTCCCGACAATAGTTACAGGTAGCACTATTGTAAAATCTGATCAGTCACATTTAAACACTCCCCCCCTTCCTTGGACGCCTCTCCTGTGAAATTGCATCAGAACTGCTTCCCCACCAACCTAAAACATTGCGAGCCACAGAACACTGTCCAAAACTGCTCTTATGAAGCAACACATACTCATCCACTGACACAGCTGCATCCGCAGCAGTTGCGCTCTTACCTTCAATAATATACATCGCTATACAATCTGAAAGGAGATTTTTTAAGTGCTCCAAAACCATCAGCTCACACAGACCCTCAAAAGTAGCTGTGTCAGGGGCTGTGAACCATCGCTTAAAGTGCCTTGATAGGTTCCCTACCAACTCCACATATGTTTGACCCATTTTCCTCTCCAAGGACCTACTGTAAAACGCTGCCGATAGGCCTCTGGCACTAGTTTGTACACTTTAAGCACGGCCGTCTTTATGTTAGAGCAGCGGTTCCCAAACTGTCTAGGCCACGCACCCCCTTCTACATCCCAACTGGGTACATGCACCCCCAATCCATCACACTTGGAATAGAAAAAGAGTATTTATAGCTGTATTAAAATTGGACCAATGACAGAACAGTTTGCTCACACGCGATGTTTGTTTACAGTATTTAGTCCGCTGTTAATTGTTGCGGTGTGAACAGAGACCGAACAAAGGGGCAACTGCAACATTGTATCATATTAATTCTGAATCAGGACAAAGCAAACAAACACTGGAACAACGTTTCAATAAACTCCAGTTACGTCACTTTAAAGGAGCAATAAGAAGGACGAGAACACATGCATAGTCTCAGAAACCGATATAAATGAAAAGGATTCCATCTGAGGGTTTCACACGCAGCGCAGAGAGAGAGGTAACGTTAGTGAGTAAGAGACGTGAGTATTAACTCTCCGATTCCTCTGCCTCTCTCTGTCCCTCTCCTCTCTCGCGACTGGTAGCTTCAGACGTCCAACTTACCTGTTAGCTGACGTTAGCTGCACACACTAGGCTCACCTTGGCTAGTGTGTACGTAAAAGGAGGAGCTGAAGTGTATTTATATTTTTAAATGTAAATCTTGCAAAGGGTAGTTTTATAATTCACGTCTGTTTGTGTAAAAACACTATGGATTTCTTACAAATTATATTTAACATGAATTATTACTCCTTTAGAACACCATTACATGTTTCCTCTCGGGCACCCCCTAGAGGCCACTCACGCACCCCCAGGGGTGCCCGCACCACACTTTGGGAATCTTGTGTTAGAGTAACTAGATCTGTCCTCCAAACTCAGAGAGGAATACGCTTGCTGTGCTTTCCCTAATAGGACACACTGAAGCATAAAAGCACCATCCGCATGCCACTTTCTAGTCTTAGCCACGCATTTACATAATTAAAAAGGGTTAATTCATTCATGTAAATAGTAAAAGAGGGAGGAATGAATGTTAATCAGTCTAGCTGCTTTATCATCCGGCACGGATTTGCTGTTGAAAAAACTCTGCTTGCAGGTAGACAAGAAGGTGTGTGCTTAACGCACCTTTTCTTATTTCACCTGCATATGAAGATCCCGTAGAATAATCTGTCATATCTTTTGAATGAGAAAGATGCTGCACAAATACAGGGGAGGGTAAGCATTTTGTCAACACTGCCAATCCGTTTTAATTGATAAACAGTTTGACTGCTGCTAAGGATAGCCCATGAATTATATTTCGAACTGCATGAATGAGGTTCCAATACTTTTTTCGAACCCATATTTTCATATTATCTCATGAAACGTGTTTCCAGTGCCTCTCAAACAACACCAGGGAGATAACCAATAGTCAGTTTGTTTTTATTGTCTTAAACACTATCAATTTGTGCTGGTGAAGAAAGAATGTGGGATATTATTCAAAACGCTTTAAGGGGAAATACAATAGACATTTGCTGTGCATTTTCATGCTGAAAGAAAAAGTTCCCGCTCTGCTGCCGTCAAGTAAAACTTCTATTGAGTATGCTACTTTTTACTTTTAATATTTCAAGTACTTATTTTTGTGTTTTTACTTAATTGAATGTACCTGTATTGTAACAGAGTACTTTCACGGAGTGGTAGTAGTACTTTTGCTTTGTTATGGTTTCCTTCAAACAATTGGCGCAAATCCGTCCTCTGTGCACGTGACGGAGACGTGGAGCTGCACCGCATTGAGCTACACCTCGTGTTTACCAGCATTCGTGTGCTTGGCACGCTCATTTGGTGAGTAGTATTTTACCCTTGTTTAGACCATTTTCTTTCTGTAAGTAAGCGCCATGTTTTTCGTGCTTGCTAGTAACTTAATGATGTGTGTAGTAATGTCGGCTAACGCTATATACTATATTATACGCTAGAGCAGGGATGGGCAACTTAAATGATGCCACAATTTTTCATCAGCAATACCAGGGGGCCACATAGGACAGCGCACTTCCTAACCAGATTTATAACAATAATAAATAAATAAGACCAAAATATGTGTATATGTCTGTATGTTTATTGAACCAACATAAACACAGCATCTTAATATATGTCATGCTCAATTGCATGTATAACAGATCTTCTTAAACAACAAAAGCTTTGAAGCAAACAAATAAATAACCGGATACTGTGATTTTTTTTCAGTGCAAAGTGCTGTCATACATAAAAATCCAACTCTTTTATTTTTTTTTACATTTTAACATTTTCCTTGCATACCTGCTCTACCTCACCCCTAGCATGACTGGCTCTCCTTTAATGAGAAACCTGTGGCTTTGCCTGTTGGCGCACAATAGAGTGGATATCAATGTCAATCTTTGTGCATCTAATTCGCATCAGATAAAAAATAGTGTCATCTGTGAGCCTGTTTCTCTCTTTCGACTCGATGTGCTTCATTGTCGAAAAACTGCTCTCACAAATCTATGTGCTCCCCAACATACTGGTCATTGAGAGAGCAAAATCTCAGAGGAGTGGGAAGCGGCATTCAGGCAGCAGACTCCAAAACGGAATTCCCTTCTCATTGCGCCTCGCCTGAAAAAACGGATCAGACTGCAGGTCGCAAAGTTCAAGCTGCAATTCAGAAGGTTGCTCGCTGACAGCAGCGGAGAGGGGGTCCACGAAGAGCGCTATCTGTGGCTGCATTGCGTGAAAATCTTGGAAACGATTCTTGAACTGCTCCTGCAGTATATTGTTGTGGTGTTTTTGCCTTTATTAGGTAACAACAGCTAAAAATAGATAAGAAATAGGGGAGAGAGAGAGAACAAGGACCCATTCAAGGAAATTAGTTTATTTAATTTAAGTGAACTTGAAAAATGAGTGAGTAGGTATTTAGTAATTCTATGTGGGGTTAAATTTGTATCAAGCAGTCCACACAAAATGAAAAAAATAACTTAACACTAAGCATGGTTATTAAGTTACATGAACTTATTTTTTTGTTTTTGTTGTACTACTTGATTTAGTACTGCGTACTTAAAATAAACAAGCTTTTCTTTTTCTAACTCACTAATCTTAAGATTGCTTTGCTTAATTTTTTCGAGGCAACGAGTTACTACTCGTTACTTACTTACTTTTCTTAAGTAAGGTCAACTAATATGATTTTACAGTCTACGCTTGTCCAATAAAAATCTTTCATTCAATGGTTGAGCGGGAAACGAGAGAATCCTTGACATACGACTCATCATTGTCAGTTACAAGTCTCATCATCACCTGAGGTCAAAAGCATAGAGAATTAAGTGTTTTTTTCCTCATAAATGTGATAATAATCAAAATTCTTTAACATAATTTCAGCTTTTCCTATGCCTGTATTAACAGCAATGTTTTAATATTCATTTCTGTATTTTTTTTGTGCAATTTTTCAAATTCATTTCAGCTGTTTTCATTTCTGCGTTTTCAGCAAATCTATTGAAATTCCTTTCAGCTTCTCCCATTTCTAGATTTTCTAGATTTTTTAGATTTTAGATAGATTTTCAGCAATTTCAAATTAAATTCAATATCTATCATTTCAGCAAATGTATTAAAATTCCCTTCAACTTTCTGTATTTTCAGCAATTTTCTGAAGTTCATTTCAGCTTTTAGCATTCCAACGCATTTTCAGCAGGAAATGCATTTTCTAGTTACCCCTATTTTTTTGGTTCAAACCGCGCATCTATTAGGATGGGTGAGCATTATTAGAATGTGCTTCACCTCTGACATCAATACTTTAGTGCAGAAGTGCTCGGTCAGCAATACCAGCCGCTGACTCATCCACGGGTTTGATTCCACGCCGCTGTGGTAATATTCCCACAAAAATTACCATGCGCGTGCACGTGTCCTGGCAGCCCCCACTGCTATAAGAAACCCTTTACTGCAGGGGAAAACTGTTAATTACTCTCTAAAATGAGCAGTACAAACCACAACAAGCCCGCCATGGATCCGCCCAGAATGCAGCAACAGGTGCGGTCCGTGTCGTGGGCCAGAAGTGTAACCCTAACACCGACAAACAGACACTGCGGTAACAAATACCGGAACCACAACGTGAGCGTGGTGAAACTCGCCGGACAGTTTACAGCGGCGCACCCGCGTAGCCTCCATGACAGCTAACAGTTGACTACAACACCAAGGTAAACAGATTTTTCTCTCTGTTCACGCAGGTTGTAACGCACCGTCGTGGCAGCGTGTAATATGTGTGCAAAGGGACGGCTGGTGTTAATATTTATCCGGCGTATGATGCCGATGTTGGTCGAAGCTAGTGAAACACTATCCATGCAACAAAGCAAAGGCTCACTCATTTCAGACTCTCATATTTCATTGTACTACGAGTAGAAGCACGAGCAGATATTTCTTCCAAAAGTTTGATTTAGGGTTATCATAAATATGTTCTTGGTTTAACAAAGCTAACCGGCCAATGTTTACGTCATTATAGAATACGTGGTTAACGCTGTGAGTGCTTTTCCGCCGCTCCCGAGGAGAGGTTTAACAAAATAAATAAAAATGCATGAACCGAATAGACCGGTTAACTCAATTAAAAACCACGAGTTTGAAGCCTTATGAAATTGTCATTATTTGGCCGAACAATTAGATTTTGTATTGGTACAAATCATGAAAGTACACGCAAAACATTAACTTGGTGGTGGAGGCGTGTAGCTATGGTGTGTGTGTGTGTGTGTGTGTGTGTGTGTGTGTGTGTGTGTGTGTGTGTGTGTGTGTGTGGGGGGGGGGGGGGGGGTTAGGAATCATAAGGTGCAGATACAGAACTTGTGTCATTCCAAGAGCTGAGAAGTAGCCAATGGTGACAACCCCAGTGAATCTCTTTTTCTAGTTGATGTTGGCCTCTCTGTCCACGATGATGTCGCATGGCTTCAAGAGCAGCAAGCAGGACTTTACCTTCGGACCATGGAGAGTGACTGCTGCCAGAAACCACATCATGAAGTCCAAAGACATCGAACGGTGAGATCCACTAAGATCCACTAATTCCCTTCAAAACTTTGTCGGGATCATCAGCCAGCTAAGAACTGGTCTTGTGTCAGATATAGTTTCCTCCTTCAAATATAATTTCTTTATGCAGGTTGACTCTTACTGTCTGTGTCTTTTTAAATACAGTAAGTCATCTAAAGGAGAATGAACACATGCCATCTTTTCTTTAGTCTTTCTGCTCTTTGTCTTTCCAGGTTAGCAGAGGAGATGAACATGCCCTCCCTTCCGGAGATGCTGTTCGGGGACAACGTTCTGCGCATCCAGCACACAGATGGCTACGGCATTGAATTCAACGCCATCGATGCCCTGAGGAGAGTCAACAACATGGAGGACGCCGTCAAGGTGGCCTGTGCGCAGGAGTGGCAGGAGAGCAGGCAAGACAAGCGTCCTGGCCCAGGGATTGTTTGGCAACAACACGTAATCTGTGGCCTTTTCGCCTGTTCTCAAAACCAGTATTAATATAATGTTACCTGGTTAGCTGGTTGTCATTATCATCAGTGCCTCTGTGTGTGTGTGTGTGCGTGCATGCGTGCGTGCGAATATAGAAGCTAAATGTGTGGAGGCAAATACTCTTAAGACAACAGCACATCACGCATATCCCGCTCAGTGAGCCTGGCAGAACCACTCCAAAAAGAAAAGCTCCCCTTTTTGGAGTTTAAGCTACTTATTACGGGAAACAATTCCAACAAGAATCTCTTTGATCTTTTTCCAGAGCTGATTCTGAACACTCCAAAGAGGTGGTGAGACCTTACGACTGGACATACACCACCGACTACAGAGGCACCCTCATAGGAGAAAGTGTGCAGATGAAGGTGGGTCTTTTTTTCTTCTTTTAGGGATGGGTTGTAACACTGTGTCATTCACAACTTTTTTTCATTTTTTTAATGCATTACCTGTGTTTTTACCTCTACCTGTCGTTCATGTGAAGGCGACGAAGACGGCGGAGCGTATCGATATGGAGAAGCTGAAGGCCAGGGAACAGATCATGTTCTTCGATGAGGTGCTGCTGTTTGAGGACGAGCTCCATGACCACGGCGTCTCGATGATCAGCGCCAAAATTGTGAGTGATGCGGCGTTGATGATAATGATCAAAATGAGGAGCAGAGGCCGTCCCCTCTGAGAGGACCTGTGCAGTTGGTGCGTCATCAACCGAGGCAGCATCCCACGTTGCATGCTACAGGTTTTAAGTAACCATGTTGCTGTGTGTTCGATGCAGAGGGTGATGCCCACCAGCTTCTTCCTGTTGCTGCGCTTCTTCCTACGAGTGGACGGAGTGCTGATTCGAATAAATGACACGCGACTGTATCACGAGGCAAGTTGCTTGACTCCAAGCAGGTCAACATGTACAATGTGTGGTTTTACAATGAGCAAGTCACGAGATAATTGTGTAATTGTGCCTGGAGGTATCCCCCCTGACTGGTGATGCCGTTTTTGTTTCCAGGCCGGAAAGGACTTTTTGCTGCGGGAGTTCAGCACGAGGGAGAGCAAAGTAGCAGAGCTAAAGGTAACAGGCCACACGGCACATTTACAGAGACATGTTCCTGTGCTAAACATTCATTCTTTACCTGAAAGGGAAGATACAGATGTTTGCTGTTATCTCTAGTACTACTTATCAATCTTTGTAAAAATACAATTTATTATATCCGATCTTACATGTGCACATAAGGAGGTGGTCACATGGACACACCCAGTGACATCCCATCGTTTACTCTGTTTTGGAAAAATCAATGGGCAAATGCATTTTTATCATAGTGGTATACTTGCAAACACCAATATATGCTTAAAACATTGTATATTACCAATGTTTTGAATTAAAAAACAAGCCCCACATTACCATTCATTTACACAAACTAACTTAATTCATTGTTGTGTTTATATGAGAAACTCTAATGTATACATTTGCATTCCTACATCACCTCGAGTGTATTTCAGCTTGATGATGGTAATTGCATGTAAAGCCTTCGTTATAACTCCCGCGATGTACTGCATGTGTTTCTCATTAGAACGTCCCCGCCGCTCTGTACACGGATCCCAATGAGATCGCCCAACACTTGACCCTGAAGCTGACTGAGAGCGAGCGGCTGGAGCTTCCCGCGGTGCAGCCGGAGACAGCCGCCAACGACATCCTTCCGTGACAGACCCACTGACAAGTCCACGTGTTGCATGATGAAGAAAATGGGAATCATAGTCCTGAACCACATTAAACCACAGTAATATACAACCTTTGATTTCCCCTTCAGATATCTGTACAGGAATAGTTTTTATATGTGACCTCTAAGTTGATGTGTTCTTAAAACCCTCACAACGTTTCTGCGTGTTTTCGGTACAGTTTGACGCACTGTAATATCTGAGAAACGTTAACACTCGTTAAATACTTCAGTCTGGCTTGTGGCTCCGTTTATATCGGAACTGATTTGGTTTTATGAGTTATTTTTTCCAAAAGGCTTGGTAGGATAGCTATGTCTGTGCTTATAATATTAGTGTATTGATGATGCGTTTGTAAGAAAAAAACAAGCTACACTGACCAGCTAACAGCACTGTATTTTCTGAAGTCAAGTCATCAAAAGATGTCTGTAAATATGTCTACTTTATTTTCTACGGGGACTCATGGAAGGTGAAAGAGCTTGCTTTCCATTTGCAAGTCAGACACCTCCAGAATCTGTTTGAATGTGTATTCAATATGGCCAAATAAATTCTGTTTGTGCAAAGTTAGCTAGCTGGTATTTCTCTAAGGTTTTCTATTGCTAAATGGTCATCTAATATGTGTAGAAAATGATATGATGTTTTTTTTTATAAAACATAAGGTACAGTGATGTAAGAAGATTCAGTTTATTATGTGTGTACAAGCAAGGACGTGCTTTCCTCATCTCTCTTAAGGTAATATTGGTATTTCTTGGCATTTCCAAAGATCTCTGAAAACCACTGGTATGTAAATAACTAAAGCAGTTAGTTTTACCTGATGGATTAGTGTGTTCTGCTGGTTGAGATTCTACAGACTAAATATTTAGAGATCACTGCTCCAGGGGATCAGAGTTATATTTCCAACAGCTACATGGAAGCAGGCTATTAACACAATGACTCTTACCATTATAAACTGCATCCATTTAACATTTGTAATGTCTAATTGGATTATAAGGCTCAAACCCCAGAATCATAAACATAGTCAAGATGGGAGATTCAAAACTCATTTAATTTGGCCAATGGTATAGAGGCATGATGAATTTATGTTAAATAACTTGACATTTATAAAAATATGTATTTCTATTAAATAATGTAAATCGAAGGCATTAGATGATTAAATGTTGTAAAAAAGTGCTGGGGAACGAATAAAGTTGTATCTTTGAAAAAAGAAACGCAGCCATTCCACAAAACGAGGCAGGCCGTGATCCAATATGGCGAACTCACAGAGGGCGGGGCCTCCCAGCACCGTCCAATTGGCTTCCTCCTTTCCTGACAGCTGGCCAATTACAGCGCCCGCATCGGGCTGAAAACTATTCAACATGGAGTCAACAGTTGAAAAGCTCGAGGCCATGGTAAGTGTGAAACTATCTCATTGTATAGCTATATTAATCATCTAAGATTTTTTTAACCGTGTTGAAGGATTCCACAGACAGTAGCAGCTCAGTAGTTATTAAAGTTATTCATCGTATCACAGAAAGAGCAGCCAGGTCATGGTTTCCTCTGTGCGTGGATGAACATGTTGTACTCCTTTGCGCCACTCAGCCAGCAGGCCTGTCGACGTAACAAATCAAATCACGACCTGGTTCATTTCCACCGAGCTTACTATCTAACAATTACTCCTGCGGCCTGTTCAAGACGCTACGTTGTGCTCTCCCGAAAGCCGCTTCCTGCCCTCTGCTGAACGGCCCCCCGTGAAAACGCGTGACGTTTCAAAGTGGCGCTTCCGTTTGATACGACGCGCAGGTAATGTGACGTTAGCGCTCGAACCAGCTAGCAGCCCGTTAAACATCACACGCCCGGCTGGTGCTTCGCTGCAGGTCGAATGTTTCCGTTTCGTTGTGGTCATGCTTTCACCTACTATCACTAGCTTTTCTTTCTTGAGCGATCCACAGCATCCCGATCCATAACACACAGGGTTTATTTTGTAGGTGTGAGGGTTTAGCAGTTCAGTGTCCGGCAGCTGTTGAGCGGTTTCATTCCAAAGCTCATTGGTGGCAGCAAAGGAAACGATTTAGTTGGTCAGCTGATCAGCAAAGTTCTCTCCACTCGCTGCCCAGGAGGTGATGTGCATCGTTTGGGTCCAATGGCGCTGTGCCAGTGAGCCATGCCTTCTCCCAGTCACGCAGTAGGCCAGTGCCCCTTTATGTTGTGCTACTGGTGACCCTGCTGGATAAAGCAGTGCAACGTTAAAAGGGCATTGGCCTGAAATGGTCACGAGCGCCGGGATGAGCTTCCGCACTGCGGGGCAGCGGCTGTTGGCGGGTGCTCTGACTTCATTGCACTACTGTTTGAACACAGCTAGCAGTGCAATAGTATTGTCAAAGCATCTGAAAACTGCAGAGACCAGCTGCACCGACTGCCTAGACATTCCTGAACACTTTCACGCTCTAACGAATGCTTTAGTCACTTTTTCATCACTTTACAGTGATGCAGCCTTTAAAACCAGAAGACAACACGTTTGGATTTTCTGTCCAAAATCTAAGACAATATGGACCCTAATTTCATAATATTGATGTCCTATCCATAGGTTATCCCAGTCTTTTCAGTAACAAGCCTCCTTATCTCGCTTAATGAAACGCCCGTAGCAGAAAAAGAAGTGCAACCGGTCCATCAACCAACACCAACTACAATCATCATATTTATAGCCACTGTATCACATCCCCTGCTTCAAAAGCGTAACTCTGTGTGTCTTTGCAGTTTCTGAAGTCCGAGGCAGACCTGGAGTACATCGAGAGGCGGCTGAAGCTGGACTTCATCAAAAACACAACGGAAAATGGAGGTCCAGCTGAGGTGAGAACTGACGTGCCAGCTGTCTTTACCTCTACAATTTCACACAGCTAAATGAGAAATAGTTTTAGTAGAAAAGTTGTTACATGAAATGGTGTCTAATGACAATAAAAATGATCATTATCAGCATTGGAAAATCCCTCATCTTTAAACGAGACCACCGTTCTTACAAAGGTCTGTGAGTCCATGAAAATGACCCACAGCGCCAAGCTGGATGGGGTCTGGGAACACTGAGGCCGAACGGGTCAAATGACCGACACTTTGCCCGCAGGAGAACCCGGCGCTGATGCTGGAGAACCTGCGGGCCATCAAGGCCAAGCACGCCGCGCTGTGCACGCAGGTGAAGGAGATTGCCGCGGAACAGAAAGAATCCATGGACTCCATCAGGAACAACCTGGGCAGTGCCATGGAGCTGGTGCAGCGCTTCCAGCAGACTACGGATGCCGAGGTGCCCGCTGACACTCGTCTTTAGAGCCTTTGAGGAAGAGATTGAGACTGTGTGATGCCGCCGCTGCTGTTGGACATGTTTTACTAAAGATGGTTGATGGTTGCAGATTGTTACAGAAACAATGGTCGCCATAAATGTAGACATATTGGCATAAATTTCTGCCTCTCAATTTAGCAGACCTAGAAACCAAAGTCATAATGATTAATGTCCAACATATGTCGACATGCATGGCATTTCATTATACTCCAATATGTTGCAGCTCTGGGCTTGACTGCTTGTTAACGCGCTGTAGGTTCCACCACTGACTGAGTCGGAGAGGGAGTCTGCAGAGCTCCTCGGTACAGCGGTCAGTGAGACCATAACGGAGGTGAGAGGCCAAACGCTCACCGAAATTCATCTGAATATCGCTAACCTTTCGCTAAGTGTTTCCTCATTTATGTGCAAGAGGATTACCAATCATTTGTTTTCTAAGGCAATCATCCTCCCCTTCTATTAGACTCCTATTTTGAAACCTCGGTCGAGTGAGTGCTGAAGCAGAACAACCCAAACATGGCCTTTATTATTTTCGAACGTAACTGTTGTGTGGAATGTATATCATATGCATTTTTTTATGTTAGATTTGTTTTTTGGGATCCTGTGGTTTGGGAAAACGTGCAGCCTTAAGTGGACTCACTGATGATGTAATGTGGATCAGCGCCCTGCCCTGCTCCACAATCCGCAGCCTGGAGTCACCTGGACTATCTGGACGAGTTGACTATCTGGACGAGTAAGCTCTCATGGTGATTTCTGCTCCTTTTTTTCCTTTTTAGATTCCTTCTACTGTCGCAGCTTCTGGACCCCAGAAGCCAACCAGTGAGTCTGATACTTCCACGTCTTGTACTGCGCTCTGAACACTGGTCCGTCCGCTGTGGTCCAACTTTAGACTGATATATTGGATGTACAGCCTGTACATCCATGGTCCCCTCAGGGTGGTAATGATGGTAATTCTCCATCAGCTCAAACCTTTTTTAGTTCATGACCAATTCATTCGTGGTATTTAACACACCACCGGGTTGGAGAAAAAGTTAAAAATACCCAAACTCTTAAAATCAATACATAATTAACTACCAGATAAGTTAATAAAAAATAATGTGTATTAATATGAACACTGAAGTCTTTAGTTCAGCACGTTTGCTTTTGCCATCTAAAGTTTTTTTTTTTTTTTTTTTTTTTTTTAAGAGCAAGGGGGTGATTCAAATCTAAAACTTTTTTAGGATACCAAAATATAATAATTTCATGGAAAAATGTAAAACCGACAACTCCCAGACTGGATGACCCGTGTTACAGAGGTGCCAATCACAAGGTAGCCCTTCTTTTTCGCTAAGTTCTAAGTTACAATTCATTTTTTAGAAATATTGGTTTCTGTGGACCTGGAAGAAAGAACTTGAGACAGATCTACCTAAACTTGGACAAATAATCCAATGTTATGGTCTTTGTGGTTCAGCTAATCCAAACAGTAAATCTCAACCAGTGGGAATGTTTCTCTGTGGCGTCATGTGACTGAACTCTCTTGTGATCCCGACCTCCCTGCCGTGTGTCCACAGGCTGTGAGTACGGGGAGCTGAGTGCCGCCATGCTGGAGAAGGTTCCTCTCAGCATACGCTCCAACGTCAAGCTGGCCGACCTCACTGAGTTCCTACACCAGCTGCAGCAGCACCTTGGCAAGGACGGGTGGGATTATAATTATCCTATGTTTATATGCACACACATTTTCCTTCAAACGACTACCGCAATCCTTTATAAAAAAAAAAGTATAATACTTTTGTAACTCATGTAACTCATGCATGACGTCTTCCTCTGCAGCGGCTCCATCAGTGTGCAGAAGATGAAGCAGCTGAAGATGAAGGTGAGCGATGCCAAGCTGAAGGTGCTGCAGCACCTGTCGTTGGTGGAGTTGGACAGGAAGGGCAACGTTTGTCTCATCTGAGATCACTGGAGGGTGGATGTCGCCGCCGGGCGGGACTCCGCCTGTCAGGTTGACCTGTCCCGCTGGGAGGCCGCAGGGCCAGCTCGCTGGTGGAATCGTTTATTGAGTGACGTTGTGTGACGCGCACAGCTCTCTGGCTGAAGTCATAGAATTCCAGTTTTACGTGCGTGCATGGACGTGGTGGTGTCAGTGCTCAATAAATGTCTGCATATGCCAGATATTGATATTCTTGTACTGTACTGCAGCCTGACTATATCAATTAGTCAACGTTTCTGTAACTTGGACGGAACCCAAAGGAGCTTTTTTTTAATTTTAATTTTTTATTGGACCTACCGCTACAATAGGCACTCACATTTTGAGGGGGACTGTTCTGTGTTCAGGTGCGTGGACTGAAAAACAATGAGGAGAAACGTGATCATTTTGTGAGGTGAAAGAGGGACGGAAGCCTTTGGGCAGACGGAGGTTCTTTAAGAAAATGCTCTTAAAACCAGTATGTATTTGTATATGATTTTTATTAACATGAAATGCCAAACATGTTGAATAAATTGGACACATTTTTTCGGAGTTTTCAGAACAATTCTTTGAACGTTAAGTCATCTCTAACTTCCAACAAAGTAATTTAAATCCTAGCTGTTAGTAATGGTCTGAAAACATTTCAGAATTGCAAATCCCTTACAATGAGCTGCTAACAAAACGGCAAACAGGCCAACATAGATGTTCAAGAGCAGTCTGCACCCACACATCATGAACTCTTACTTTGACTTAGCTAGTGCATCATTTCAATCATGACTGGCCTCCAGGAAACTGCGCCGGCACTGTGCGTGGTCTCCTGCTCGGCGTCCTCCGTCACCTTCAAACAGCTGAACCCTGGACACGGGAGGCAATCTTACTCCATTTTTATATTATTCTTTGCTACACCTGCAGAACATTAACAGTTATGGTCCTGGTGAAAACCTAAAGCAGCTCCTGATAACTCACAGTGCGTGGACTCCTCTACTCATCCCTGGGATGCTTAGCGGACCCTCCATCTCGAAGCCCAGCAGCGCATCGTCCAGCGTCGAGTGAGCTCTGGAAGAGGAAGCAGAACGCTGATGTTCACTTCATGAGGTTGAAAGTCTATCAGACCGATCATTGAGACGGACACCGCCGCTGTCCCCCACCTGACGGTGTCCTCTAATAAGGTGGCACGCTCCTCCCTCTGATCTGCGGTGTCTGCTTCGGCACCAGGCTTCCCTGAGTGGACAAACCCAACCAGGACTCCTGCAGTCATCAGCCTCACGTTCTGTTCCCAATCACCCATCATGTCTGTCTGCTTACTCATGTTCACCAAAGCGTCGTCTTCCTCCCCCCTGTCATCGGAACCACCCTCTTCATCTTCCTCCTCCTCTGACCCCACATCTGTAAAACAAAGTCAACAGCAGGTCAGATAATATTTGTTTTTTGAGTTGCACGATGGAGTTGATAGCCATGAATGGACCTGGGTAAGTTTATCAGACCCAGTTTGTGATGGTGTGTTGGATCTCACCGCTCTCCTCCTCCTCCTCATCATCATGCTTGCCTCCCTTCCCCTCCTCTGCCATGTCTCCTCCCGTTTTGCCCTCCATCTGTAATCCTCTCTGCATATCCTCCAGCTCTTGTGCCACGTGCACACTCGGGTGGCTTTGACTACTCCCTTGTTGCCTCTCTCCACTCGGGTTTCTCCGGGCTTCTCCCTCTTCCTCGTTTTGCTCTGCTTCCTCAGAGCTGCAGCCTCCGTGGACTGTGAGGCCGGGAGATCTAGTGTGTAGCAGCTGCTCCTCCTGACTGAGCGTGATGAAGCCCTCTGAACTGCGGGCAGATTCTACCTTGAAAGCGGGAGACTGAGAAGATGGACAGATAACGGCACGCATGGGTCAGAGGCTGATGTGAACGTGAAGGACATGCAATGTGGAGAGTTGTAGCCTGAGCGAACCTCTGACACAGTTATTCTGAATAGAAAAGCATTAATAGTATATGTGTATATATATACTGACGATGTGGTGCCTGCTAGTCTAATGCACAATGACCCAGTTCATCAGTGTGCTGTTAAATAGGAGGACGACTACAGGGTGTTCTGATGAACCGTGGGCCTGCTTTGGGTCCAGCCAGAGTCCACTGACGGACACGAGTCACCTTCACTGAGCCGTCTCTTGCTGTGGTGAAGCTCTCGGTGCTGCATAGAGGGGCGTCTGGGAGACTGGCCTCCCTCAAGCCCGTCATCACACGCCGGTGTACGTCTGTCAAAACACAAGCTGACGACCAAATATTCATTCCTTTTTAGAATTAAGTTTAGATAACGCTGTTTTTTATCATTTAAATAACAATTGAATTTTCTTTGAATACCAATCGAGATGAATTGGGTGTCAACAATTGGCAACAACATTGGCTAACAATACAGAATATTCAATATTTAACTGCAGAGTAGTAATGATATCTTAATTGTTTTTCATTAAATCCTTCTAGGATGTTTGCTGAAATTTATCAGAAGGCCCTATCTAGAACTTTCTCCAGCAGGAGGCAGAGCCGTGGAGACAGCACCCAATAGAAATGTTGTGAGGAATATTTGCATTGTGTGCTGTTTTACCCGGACTGCGGGGAGTACTGTAACAAGGCGAAAGTCTCCTGTACTCAGAGATGCAGTGGAGAGTCTCCTGAAACTGAGCTGGAGACTCTGAGATACTGGAGAGTTCAGCCAGCCAAATCCTACACACACACACGCACACGCACACACACACACACACACACACACACACACACACACACACACAGAGAGAAAGATCTGGATAAATATCACTCTGCGATGGAACATGTAACTCTAACACGCTGTAACCTAGTTACAAACATAGAAGGACATTTGTAAATGTTTATTAATCTACTATATATATGTATAATGCAGCAGCTTGAGTCCGGGGGAATCCCAAGGAGAAGGTATAGCTGACAAATATAACTATACCCGTTTTTCAATTTGATCACTTACGTTTGAAATAGTTTATTAACGGCTGAATACAAAAACTGTGGTCTAGACGGCAAAAGGGTTTCCATGTTGCTGTTAGCTCACCCAGCACCACCGAGTTAGTGTTTATATACGTCACAAGATCGAGCTCATCTATGAGTAGATGCTGGGGGGAATTAAAGTAGAAAATAGTTGTCTGTACATCATCGCTTTTCTGGAAAAGAAACAGAGTGCAATAGAGTCCCATTATATTAACTGTCCCTCTGGGTCCACTGGTCTTTGGCCTGAATCCCTAATTATAAATCCCACACGCCGCACTCTGCCATATGAAGCACACAGGTTCTTGTCGCTTTGCTCACATGTTTGGGTCGGCTGTATGCTGAGCCTGCGATCCAGTGACATCAGAATCGGGATCAGTGGGGAGTATGTCATCATTGTTTGAGGAGCTCTCACATTCTGGTTGGGCAAACAGAGAGGCGGTTACACCGGTTTGCTAGCAAGCGTCAACATCAGGAAGTATTAATGAATTACCGGGGTTGTGAGTATCAGAGGGTGGACTCCCACCAGCTGCTGGCTGGCACAGCTCTAATGTAACCGCTACATCTTCTGGGGAACTGGATGTCTGGAGGAGACGTCTGACAATCTGACACAAACGATAATAATTGTAACATAGAGAAATGTGTCCCAATGATAGTGACTAAAAAGTACTCTTGCTGATGTAGCCCATGTACCTGCGTATTCTTCCTCTCGGGGAGGATGCTGACGAGACTGTGGTCCAGAGCAGATGTGTACTGGCTCAATTCCTCTCCGGCATCAGCTCCCAGCGGCGAGGTCGCTGAGGCGTGGCGTCCCGAGGAGGGGACGTGCTGCTGCTCCACCGGATAGTAACTCAGCCATTGAGAGAGTTCCTCCTCGCTCAGCGGTTCCCAATCTGTGCTCTGAAGCTGGGCCTCCAGGTTCCTTCCCCATTCCTCCCCCCCGGGCGGAATTAGACTGTAGTGCTTCTTCGGCGGCCCGACGGCAGCGCTCACTCCGCAGAGCTTAGCCTTGGCTTTGGACGTGGGGAAGGAAGCGCGGGAGGGGTCGCTGTGTCGATAGCGGGGAGCATCTCTGCGCCAGTCAACGTCCTCCACCCCTCTGTAGTCCAGCAGGGGGGGGGCTTCCACCGCGTCCAGGCTCCGGTTGGCCTGCTGCAGCAGCTCCTGGGACACTTTGACGTTCACTGTAATGGTGCTGATTTGAGGATCCGTTGCCATCTTCCAGCCTGCCAGCTGCTCTGCTAGCTCCCCGTCTACGTCCGACTCGGGTTCTTCCTCAGTACTGGCTGGGTCGAACTCCCCGAGCAGAGGCAGCAGGCCTGCGTAGGGGTACACTTGGTGGAACAAACGTCCTTCTCTCTCTGGCTTTGGTTTTCTGTACAGCTCTTGGTCCAGGTCGACATGTCCTTCCGCAACGGCCTCTGTCTTGGTTGTGAATGGGCCGACAGTTCTATGGACATCTGAAGGGTACAGAAGAATTTTCTCATCAATTGCAGCACATATAGTGAACACACGTTTAAACATTTCCACAAACCATTAGTGTTGTAAATGCGGATGGCATTAATATATAAAGTTACTGTGAGGACTGTTATAGTGAACACTAGCGATTTGAGTTAGTCTTAATGCTTGTCGGATTCTGCTTAATATCAGATGATATCACGCAGGTTCACCCAAAGCTCTGTCTGCCCAGACAGTATTGCGGGAGGGAAGGTGTGCTGTGCTCCGTACCGCTGTGTACTGGTTCCCCCACAATGGTCCAATGCTGTTCTTTGTTCTGGACCTCAGGCCCCAGATCTCGGCCACACGGCCCACCAGTCATCTGTTCTTCCAGGGAGATCCTCTGCAGCACACACACACATACACACACCAACGCTCCAGCCCCAGAATGACTTTTTGGGATGCATCTGTGTGCTTTCTAGAAATAATAATTCTAGACAGTATGGACATAAAGATGACAGTGACGTTGAGCGAAGTCTGAATCCTATACAGTGAGGCCCACCTTGAGGTCCTGCTGAAGGGTGGCGCACAGGCCCTGCAGGCTGCATGTGCGGTCCTGCGGGTGGTGCTGCAGACCTCTCAGGACCACATCGTAGTAAGGCTGTGGAATGCTGCTGTCTGCTGCCAGGGCACGTCCTGCATCTATCATCTGTTTGATTCTGTCCAAGTCCGCTGTTCCCCACGGCTCACTGTCTAAAACCATTTATGAAGACCGATATCATTCCACAATCCCTTCTGCATGTCCCCAGACTACAAGAACTTCCTTAAAGTTAATCTGGTCATATTCAAACAGCATCCTTGTGTGACAGAAACACAAGCATTCATATTTTCAATTGCTTATATACAATACATTTATGTATATTGTTTTAATTTCCCCGTCTGAATGCCACATCCTGCTCCGACAGGAGACGCCGCGCTGTGGGAGCTACCTGTGTAAAGTTCCTGGATCACAGCGCACAGACTGTACATGTCGGCCTGCATCGCGCACGGCCGCTGTTTAATGACCTCTGGAGCGGCCCATCTGTGGAGGCTGGGGGGGAGGTCTATGTGCAGTGGGGGGTCAACGTTTGTACTTTGACTGCTGGACATACACAAACACACACACAGATTATATCATAAACAGAAGTGTAATGACAATCAGTATTAGCAGTGTGTAATACTTTCATCAGAGGGACACAAGTTGACTTGATATACATTTATTGAAATGATTGAGATTGCCCATATAAGTATCTTTTGAGGTCAGTACTTTTATTATTTTACCTAAATGAGATTTCAAATGCAAAGCGTTGTGAAAGAGTATTTCTACATTTGTGATATTGCTACTTAGTAAGAACTAAAAAGTACTTCCAGCATGGAGCATTGATTTAGGGTGAGTCCAGGGCTCCCAGAAATGACTGACAATGATCTCAGTACGAGATCTCACACAGAAGTGGCATTTCAGTCAACAGAGCATTTTACTTCTCAAATATTATTTTCAAAACAGCTTCATTGTGCAGGAAGAAAACACTCGGTGCCTCCTCCAAGGAGCGTGCACGGGCCCTGTGAGGGTCTGGACCTTCAGTACCTGGGGACCATGAAGCCTAAACCGGTCAGTTTGGCTACTGCCAGCTTAGTGAGGACCACGCTGTGGGAAGACAGGGCCCTCAGCACCAGGCCTCCACTGTGGACGTACTGCAGACCCTCACACACCTGCAGCAACACCGACAGCAGCCACCTATTCTGCAGCACTGGAAACTCTGCACGCTGCACACACACACGCACACACAGTACTGTACTGTTTACTGTCCGTGGTTTGTAAAGTCCACTGAGTCAAATGTGATATTTACAATTTTGGGCTATACAAAATAAAATGAATTGAATTGGCTTGTGCTTGACAAACAAAGTGCCTTTATGAGACTCGTTAGCCTCATGTGTCTTTCCCCTGATTGCGCTCTGCCTACTCACAGCCTTTTGTTTAAAGTTATATCTGGTCTCCGTCTCTGCGTTTGAGTCCTCACTTAGCAGTGAACCGTGACGTCTTTAAGTCAAGTACAGGCAGCAATCCATTTTTCCTTAAATTGCTGAACCTTGCCAATGACACATGATGATCACAAACAATTGTCCCATTTGAGTTTTCAAACAAGGGCCCCCAGACCATGATAGGCCTATGTGAGCCTCACGTACACCGTGTGTCTGGTAGTAAAATAGAATAATCCTGCAGGTGTGTCTTTGTTACCCTGTTGTGCAGCAGGTTGTGAAGCGTGCCCACGTCAACCGGTTCAAACAACAGACTGGTCCTCTGGAGGTCATCAGACAGACTCACCGCCATCAGCTGCAAGAGCTGCGGGTGGAACAGCTGACTGACACACACACACACACACACACACACACACACACACACACACACACACACACACACATCCACAAAAACGCACGCACAGGCAAATTCAGCTTGTGAAGTTAGTCAAGAAATTAATGTTAGTTTGCTCCAGCTGATGCGGAGCCTCGAACACATATGAATTGTCGCAGTCATCTTTTGGTCGATCCAGTCGCCTGCACTTGTTTAGGTCAAACAAGTTTCCTACTGGCCAGTGTTATCTCATGAATTAAACAATCTGCAGTCACAGATGGGTTGTGTTATCGAGCTTTCTGCTGACATTAATAAAGGGATCGTCAAGAGCTGCTTGGCTCAATTCCCGTCCACGTCTGTTCACTTAGCCGGTATCTTGCCGGCTGCAGCTCTCACGTCCCTCTTTGGTCTGTGGGTCTGTGTTAGTTGTTACCTTAGGTTAGGGTTCTTACCTTTAATACACATGATTGGGAATAATTCTAGCATTTCTTGGAGGAATAGGTTGATGCAGCCTGCGGTGTTCATGGAGGGGATCTCAAAATACCAATTCAAATATAAACTTACTTTACAAAACTCCACAAGTTAACGGCCGCAAAACAATGAGTGAAAAACACGCCCCGTGTTCTATCTCACCTGCAGTAGTCTTGTTCTATGTGGAGAAAGTCAAGATAAGCCGTGTCACTGTCCCTCATTGTTTTTACTGTGACCCTCGAGCCCCTCCAGATGTAACTGAAACACACCGTTCAGTCGTAAGTGTAATAAATGATCTCTGGCTTCATGAATGGGTTGTTACTTTATAACTAGGGTCCTGTCCAATTGCTGGATGCATTATTTCTGAATGCCATTTCAGTGTGTAGATAAACAGTGTAAGTGTAAATGGTTTATCTCACCGTCATCGGTATGGCTTTCGTGTGCTACATAAAATTGTGTTGATTACTTGGATTGTATGATTTGATAAAACCCTTTTAACAATTGATTGTTGATTTAAAGAGAATGATGCTGTGCATGTTTGCTCCGTGTTGGGGCAATTATTAGGAGTCCCGGCATGTTGCCATGGTTCTGTGGGACTTAGTAACGGTCTTACTTGGTCATGGAGGTCAAGGACCCGCAGGAGAAGGAAAACAGAGGTTCGTCGTCGTAGCGGGTCAGATCGCTATCACTGATCAGGGGGATGGATGCTGGCACAGACACCGCATGGCAGAGCTTGTTAACACACACCTGGACAAACAGACACTGAGTCAAGAGACTCAAAGACATTTGGGATTATTCTTCACATGGGGAAAAAATGTAACGTTAGTTTGAGTTTAGGTGCGTCTTAAATTTGGTCACATACATAGTAAACATACTGTTGGAGCTATTTATCTGATGTTCTTTTATTCATAACCAGTATATTTCTGGATGTTTATCCAATGACAGGCAGCGACGGCAGGTTTCTTAGTTGTTTTGTTTGTTTGCTTGTTTTATTAGTTTAATAAATGGTAATAAAATGGAATTCCTGCATGGACAATCTACTCTTTTGCCTGGGAACCACATAACTGCTGATTTATTGGACAAATGAGCTGCTACCCATCTGCCTTCTGCATTGAAGCATTTGGAGAGGTGAGTAGCTGGGATGCACCTTGTGAGAAACTTTGGGCTTCAGTCCCTCGCAGAAGGAAACTTAAACATTAAAGGAAGACTTGCTCTCCCCCCTGAGCCACAGTACCAGTATACATAACCAGTAACATTTCTAATGATGCTGAATGATAAAATAAATACATAAAATGTAATTAAAATCAAATGTGTTGTATTAGTTACACTACAAGTCAAAGGTTCGGACACATTTTCTCATTTGTGAGAAATTGTGTCCAAACTTTTGACTTTTTAACCGTTTCTGAAACATAAGCGTCACTTAGAGCAAGCGACAAACCAGCATCTACTCAATATGCTATGAAGCGATTTACCTTTCCAAATCCTAAACAGCAGGCTACTGTAGAGGAAGACTTGCTGTTTGTCCTTTTATTGAACTGCTGGCCGATTCCACTGAAAGGAGCAGCAACACACAAAGATGTCAGTTATTTATACATTACACAACAAAAGACAGCTCTGTGAACACGATTCTAATTTCCTGATGCCAACGTGGCGTCTTGGGCGCCGCACCGCGGTTTCATGCGATCCATCAGAGTTGCAGGGTTTGACAAGATGGAGGGAGACTTGTGGGACGGGCTGCGGGTCGTCACCGCTGGGCTCAGACACAGCTGTTGCATGGAGGACATGCAGCCCTCCAGGAAGTCTTGCATCTAATGAGACACGAGCACAGGTGACATTCAACATGTTGGAGTTGCTGAGTCATGTCACAAAGGTTGGTGACCTCGTGAACTGCTGTTGGATTATTACTAAGGACGCAGCAGATCAAGCGTTAACATGCAGAGAGGGATGTGAAACTTGAGCATTCGGCTTCTTTTTAATTTTATATAATTATTAATATAAGAAAATGACCTGAAATGTTTAACTACCACAAGGAATATTTTTCCTTCCTCTCTTCCTTTCTGTATATACTTGTTGTTTGAAACCTAAACTTTATGGAAGTTCAATGCTAAATCCCCCCATGTTCATTTTTTATCAGCCCATTTATATTAAGTTACAAATGTTCAAGCTTGCAACTCTCCATGTGGTGCTTTATTGGCATTCAATGAGACAGAATGCTGACCCACTGCAAGCTAAATCCATGAAAGGGCCTTACTTTGGCACTGCGCTCTGATCGGCAGTCCTGAGCCAGTCAAAGGGCGTCCGGCCCTCCCAGTCGTGGAGTCTCAGATCTCCGCCAGCAACCAGCAAGCCGCACACCACGGAAGGGTTACAGGAAAGCACGCCCGCGTGAACCGGGGTGCTCCGGTCCTCACAGCGACTAGAAGAATGTCCATTATGTTATCAATGTGCTGAGATGTAAAACGGTGAGTGTAAACACACCAGAGCTGAGACGTTGTTCTGAAAGTCCCAATAAGTCTTGGTTAGAAAGTTACGTCCTAAATCAAGACCAAGAAAAAGGCACATGTCTATAGTAGTTGGAACATTACTACAGAAATAAATGCTTTTTTGAAAGCTGTATTCATAAGGATTTGGCCTTTAGCCCAGTGTAGAAAAAGAGGGGTGTGACATGCAATACAAAGGCAGAAGGCGTCGCAGTTGGCATGTGCTGTAACAGCTTGGCAAAAAATGTGCTCAGTATTGATAACTTTTAAATATACATATATATCGGGGTTTTTTTTGTTTGAGTTTGTGATGGAATTTAGCCTTTCAATTTCAGAGGGCTTAGGTCTGTTGTGGTAAGTTATTGGTGATTTCTAGGTCTAAATCATCCTTGTGACCAGGACTTTGGGGGTAAGCTATGAGAATGCAGAAGTGCTACGTATCCTTTTCCAGACTTACTGGTTTGGGTCAGCCCCGTGGTGGAGGAGCAGCTTCGTCACCTTCGCCTGGCCCGACAGAGCGGCACAGAACAGCGGAGTCTGACCCATGTGATTCACACAGTTCACGTCCACACCTGGAAAACATAAGTAAACATGCGAGACCAAGTCTTCCTTTATTTCAACCGTTAAGTGTCTGACTGAAGACTAGTATTGAATTCATCTTTATCTGCATGATGCCAACGTAATACTGATTCAATTACAAATATAATGCTGGTAATATTAATGCAACTGAGCGACATACCCTTGTTCAGAAGTTTCTCCAACTTGGTTATATTTCTCTCCAAAGTGTATTTGTGCAGCTGAGCGTGTTCGCCTCCAGTGGTAACAACGCCCACGTGCACAGGGCAGGGGAAAGGCAGCGCAGCCATCCCGTCTCTCCTCGACCCAGCTGGCAGCTATAGTCAAGTCAGACGCTATAAAAAACTGTTTTACCTTACGGATGTTATTGTAACTATGATGTGTGTTACACAAGTCAAACACCAATAACACCAATCTGTATAATACCATCAAATTATTCAGTAACATGTGTGTATTTTCCCAAAACCCTACATCAAAAAGCAGGAGTTAAAACTGACTTAATATGTTTTATGCAATCCCTCAAATCAAAAGTAAGTGAAACATTAACAACTCTGAGCTTCTCTAAAAGCATCAGTTCGTTGACAGACATTATGATGTCCTCTTTGGCTCTGGGTCAGTAATGTCAACTCACAATAAGTCAGGGAACATACCAAGGGAAAGAAAAAGGAGGAAAATAACTTAAGCCGTTCTGCCTGCAGTCAGTCCATACGATGCTTGCTAGCTAGCAGCTAACTTTCTTACATTTGGGTCAATAATGGCTGTTTGACTGCAAGAGCAATACAGGGGGTTACAGTCACAAACTTTGTGTCTTTGTGTGTGTCATCACTTTACATGCATTGTGAACACACACTAAAAAGTAATAGCAATTGTTTAGTAAAATATAACATGATATATTATAAATGGGACTGACGGTAGTACTGAGAATAATAACATTTTCATTAAGATTACATCCCCTTATTCGTTCACTTTAAATGTATTACTGACATTAACCTTACTTATGACATTGTCTCTGTTTTGTTATATAAAATCCAACATACAAATCCCATAGGGTTTTAGAATGCAGGATTGTAACTTTTAGAATTAGTGTAAAATGACTATTCTACCTTTTCCTGATTATAAAATTAGGTTAACTAGCTTTCCTTAAAATATATCCAAGTAATTTAGCGAGTTAGCAAAACTGCTAATAAGATGCTAGCTAGCTAACATGGTCAACTATGTTTTATAAAACCTTTTGAAAAGAAAATACCGGTAAAATAAATAACTCCTATGAGGATTCAAAGTGTGTAGTTATCGTACAGATACCTGATTAGACTTACATACAGGAAACAGATCCGTGTTCCGCTTGTTAGCACCGCTCAGCTCGGCTGTGTCGGTCCATCGGTGTGTCACGTGTCCCTCATTCCTCTCAGCCAATCAAAGAGTTAGCTGCTGTGCGCGAGCTTCTCGTACACGCGTGCAGCGGCCATTGGAGAGTTAAAAGGGCAAACTAAAACCCAGCAGGATTTAAACCAACACATTATGTTATGTCCTACTATGGAACAAAAATAGGATAAAAACGAACATATTGATGGATGTAGTTGTGTTGAAGTTAGGAAAGGGCGTAACATTAGTTTTCTTCAGTTTGTGTTGTATAGGGCTATATTTGTTGGAAAAAAATAGGGATTGTAGGATATTAGAAATAAACTGACAACCCAGTTCATAAAATTAATAAAATGCATATAGTGTACACCAGAATACAGCCATGATTCTGAAACTGTGTAATCAATAAAGTAATGACAATATTGTAAAACCACTGTAATTCTGCAACTGTAATAGAATAATACCAATGTAGTTATGATTGTATTTAATGTAATGTAATCAACTGGAATGCATGCATGTAATACTTGAACAACAACTGATATTGACCAAGGGCCATTCGAAATCCGAGTTACATGGAACTCACCAGAAGACCACTCCCAGAGGTGTGGACACTAACCTTCACACCTTTAAGCATTGTTATAAATACCTGTAGGAGCCATCGTTCTCGAGTTCGCTGGTGGAGGCAACAGACGGGCACTAGGGATGGTCAAAGGACTGACCTGGGGCCTGTTGGTGGCTGAGACCAGCCGCTCCTCAGCTGAGATGTTCTTTTTACCACAACGCCATCTCTTTTATTAAATACATTTGATTTAACCTTTTCATCTGAGATGACCTCTGTCCGTCCGGCGTTTCTTCATTTTTGAATACAACATCCTAAAGCCTGGCGCATGCTTCTGCGTCGTTGCGTCGACGCACTCGTTTCAATTCATGGTTCTAAAGTCTTGCGTGTGTTGGAGAGCAATTCACCGCCAGAACAACAGGCGGAGTAACGTGTTTTTGTTGAAGACGACTTAGAGAGTCACGTCTATTTACACGTTTATTTGTTTCTTTATTTATCATAGACTTTTTGCCCCGTGCATCGACACTGCTGCTTTTCATCGCGGACACATTTGTCCCGTATTTCCCTCCACAACTTTGTGCACCTCTCGACCGGCAAACCGGCGTTTGCGGCGATCAGCCTCCATGAATCCAACCCAACACGCAGAAGCATAAACTAGGCTTTAATGGAATTTCTTCCATTACTTTTACTTTTATACTTTAAGTAGTTTTGAAACCAGTACTTTTATGCTTTTACAAGCTTGAGTTGGTACTTCAACTTATACAGGAGTCTTTTTAAACCCTAGTATCTGTACTTCTACTTGAGTAATGAATGTGAATACTTTTGACACCTCGTATTGCTTGGAACTACAGCCGCTAAAGAGCAGTGACACAGCACAACGCAGGTGGCGCTAATGCGCCGTCAGGCTCGTTACTCTACAGCATCAGTAGAAAGACGAAGAGCCGCAGCAGCTAGCTGCACTACAGGCAGCGGGATGTTGTGACCGCTACACACACGGAGAGAAGAACCGCCACGATGTCTCCCCTTGTCCGGTTAAGATGTTAATAACGTTGTGCTACGTCTATCTGTGGGTGCGCTTTCACAAGTGCTACTCGGTTTTGATACGAAACAGCCTTTCCCGCCTGAGCAGCGGCAGCTTCGGCTTCAGCTTCGGGGTCTGCTCCAGCTCGGCCGCCGCTTCCCCGACCGGCCGCAACACAGCCGCGCTCCGGCGGCCCGGTGTGCTTCCGGCGGGGGACAACGTCTTCCTCCAGCTGGGAGACAAGGCCGTCTATGTCACGCAGCCTCAGGTTGGATACTCGCGCTGGCTTTACATCGGCATGATGTCACAGCCCGGTCTCTGCGGACCGGAGACTGCCGGGGCCTGTCGCTGTTTACGTTTCTCCTTAAGCTCCAGAGCTTCTCGCAAGCAGACAGCGGGGCAAGAAGCTAGACTGCAGCAGTGCACCCGTGCTTGTACTAGTTCTAGTTCTACGATCTGCTACAAGTCCTGCATTCTGAAACCTTACTGAAGTCTGAGGTCTTCAACAGCTGTGATGAAGTAAATAGAATGAAGAAGGGAAACAGATCAGCTGTGTTTGGTTGGTAACTTCCTGAAAAGAGACCAGTTGTCCATAGTTGGCCTAATAAACTTTTTACCTAGTTGAGAGTTCACTGCTTTGAGTTCCTACTCGATATGAGCCTGGATGTGTTGTCACTGTCTACGCGGCTTGATGTCATTCACTAACTACTAATCCCTGTGTAACAGCCTTATGGTGTCTGGGGTTATTCTTCTCTGTGCTGTCTCCAGGCGTGCGGCGACCTCAGCAAGTGGACCGTGCTGTTGGGGTCCTCCTTGGTTTGCGGTCCGCGAATAGAGAGCATTTCGTTCATCATAGAAGCTGCGGGACACAGAGTGGGCTTCCGTTCTCCTCACACGTCCAATAAGAAAGTAGGCACCACGCATTGTCCAACAAGTAGTACCCTCAAGAACACAGAGTGCATCTGATTCATTCTGGCCCAACACCAAACTTTATTACACCCCAAACACATGAGCCTATAGTTTGTGTATATTCTGTCAATTTGTTCATGTTTTTAGCGTCGCTGTTTTTTTTTAAATACAAGCTTGTATGAATACCCTCTTTTTAGATCAACTGTGTGTAAAGAAAAAACACTTCTGTTTGGAAGAAAAGATATATGTACCTTTGCTCTTGTCATACTACCACACAGTACTACTGTGTGTATTACCTGTTTAAATAGTATACAATTTTTACATTTACCAAGGAAATGGTTTGTAACATCCTTGGAGTTAACTTTAGAGCGTGAGCTTGAGACAAGTTTATTAAGATGCTTATCAGCGCTGCCTAGTGGCCAAAGGCGTCCAAACTTGTTTTTACAATATTTCAAAATCAGAAATACATACTGCCCAAGCTCTCCAAATCTAGTCATTTAATAATCATACTGCAACGCCACGTATTGTTGATTAAGTCATCAGACTACGCAGAACGGTTGGATCTTCACATATAAACAGGACCTACATGTTTGGCGACAGTTGGGTGATGCCAGTGCTGCGTTAACTGCCCACATGGAGGTGTCCGCATGTATATGTTGAACACGTGCAAAGGGAGAACCTGTGTGCAAGCGAGAGAATTAAAAGAGCCGGCAGGACGACATCTGACTGGAATGGTGTCTCTCTGTCTAACTGTAGAGGGGAAAAAAATATCCAAATCTTCTCTTCAATATCTTCTCCATGCATCCCCTGCCTGCTTTGATGAAGTGGTGCCATTTTTTTTTGGTTTTCGTACATTAATGTATACATTATATTTTCAAACAAACATATCTACAGGGATCCCATTCTCACGCTCTCTCCCTTCCCCTTTTTCCCTCTATCCTCCTGCACACATTGTCCGTGTGCACTCTAGGCGCTGACCGAGTGGGGTGTTTCTCACCTGCCATGTTTTCGCTTAGTTTACCCATTTCTATTAGAGTTTTTAAAACAGGCTGTAGCCCGTAGATACCGGCTCTATGAATCTAAGTGCACTTTATTCATTTCACAGGCAGGCTAGTTGGTGGTGTCCTTTCTATATTCTCTATTTTCGAATCCCCCAAAACCACCACTGAGAGAAACTCTCAGCACGGCATCATGATTCATGGTTAGCCACTGACGTACGACTTCTCTCAATTAGCAGCTACAAGAAAGGATTCAACTTTTAAATGTGCAGAAATCTATTTCGCACATGTGGTTCATTTCATGTGTTGTGTATTAACCTATTAAATCACAATGGTGCACCATTACTACATACTGAATGCTTATTATGTCTGTATATATACCATTAGTTGCTGGCTATACCTACATAAATCTATTACACCTGCTATCAATCAACTTCCGACCTATTTTCAATGTCTTAAGTATTAATTAATTAATTAGGTACATTTTATATTGAAGTATTATTACTGTTTTAATGATTAATCTCTGGTTGGTTTTACTTTGCATTTAAGGAAGCGTTACTGATGGTAAAGCAAAAGGCTCCCATGCATTTGGTCATCGGTGTCACGTCCGTCTCAGAATGTGCAGCAGACGTGACGGACTCTTGTGCGTCCACCCTGCGGCTCTGCTAACCTGTGTTCTGTGTGTGTGCAGGTGCTGAAGTGGTCTGACTACTGCCTCCCTCTGGCCCGTAGTCCCGGCCAGCCCTTCAGGGCCGTGGCTCAAGCCAGCGTGGACAACTTCAGTCTTCTGGGCGTGGCTTTTATCGAAGATCGCCTCCAGCTGGACAATGGACTCGCGCCTTCAAAGATAATCCGTAAGTGGCCTTCGGTTAAATGTCATTTTCACATCACGGCCTCAGGACACCTCCATGATGTGGTGATATAGCTCTCTCAAAACTCATGTTACATAATGTTATATCACATAAACTTGTAAAATACTACACGAAATAATTAAATTACATCTAAGAGCAGCCCATAGAGAGTTTCTTTTGTAGTATTTGCAATAGAGCACTTTTATGTCAAACATTAAACTGTTGCATTTTTCAGTTCATTGTATGAATGGAATTTTTAAGACAAATTAGGTTTTGTGGTCTATAAACAGAATTTCTTCTCTACATACCAAACTACACATTCACTATTTACTCCCACCAGCTGCTCAGCACCAAACTACAACCCAACACACTTGGGTGAACATGTGGGGGCTTTTAGCAGCCGAAGTACTTCAACATTAGATTTCATTCATCTGGACTACAGCTATCTGCTGGATGAATAGACAACGCTTTCATGTATAGACTTTGCAACTTGGCGTAGCTTGTTAACTGAAGTTCATCCAATATGTAATATAAGTCTAAGACACCAGATTGCACTAATGTTCTCCTACATTGCTATGACCTTCCTGTAGCTGTCCTCCTCCAAGATTCCACCCTCAGCAAGCTGCTGCAGAATCAGTGCCCCAACACCGAGACGCCACCTTGTCTCTGCGTCACTGAGCCTTTGCACCGTCACCCGTCCACCGACCACCAGCACCCGGCGGGCTGCAAAGGCAGCCTCCTCCTCACTCCGCAGGCCAGGAGGAGGCTGGAGGAGCGGCGGGGGTCAGAGCCGCTTTACGGCATCAAAGGCCAGGGAGCCGTTTGTGACTCGGAGGACCGCTCCTTGGTGCACCATCACCACATGGAGGGCCACAGACACCTCCATCTGTCCAGCTGCCACGAGTGCTTGGAGCTGGAGAACAGCACCATCCTCTCGGTGAAGTACGCATCGGCTGAGAACATCCCGGACCTTCCCAATGACGACTCCGCAGGGCTGGACAGCGGAGACGAGACTCTGGACGACCTTGAGCACGAGGCCGAAGGGTTGTCTGGGCAGAGCGAGGGACTGGACTGTCGTAACAAGCCACCCAATGTTCTGCTGTACACGGGCGACTGCCAGCAGCGCTTTCAGTCAGTCCGGCAGATTCTGTCCGAGTGCATAAACATGGAAGACAACATAATATATCCCCTCCAGCCAAAGCAGGCTCTCAGCGAACCTTGGCTGGACAACGCCAAGCTCCTCGTCCTGGCAGAAGAGGAGCCCCTGTCCCCCCAGCTGCAGACCCGCTTTCTCACCTACCTGAGCCAAGGCGGCAGGGTGCTGGGGCTCGCCTCCACCCTGTGCCCGGCGGGCCTCTGCCTGGAGGCCCGGCAGGAGCAGCGTGGCCGGGTGGGCAGGCTGAGCTTCACCAGAGAGGACAGCACAGAGCTGGAGCTGGGCGTGCTGTCCAGCGGGAAGGTCTACGTCAGGGACTCGCAGGGAGGCGGGGAGGTGGAGCTCTGGGGCGAGCTGAAAGGCGACGCTACGCATCAGAGGGACATGGTTGTAGTCAGGGTGACCCACGGAGAGGACGGAGGGGAGGCTGTCCTCTGTCAGGTGAGGAAGGACACACGACATCAACGGGGTCACGTTTAAACAGCCGAACCTGGTTTAAAATGTCTTCTCTCTATATGGTCTTACTATTATTCGTCACATTCTTCTTCTTCAGACACATATCCTAGAATTGATTTAAATGCTCAGTTTTCATGTATCCTTTCAGAGAGGTGATTGTAGTTTGCCATGGTGATGCCCTGGACTTTATGGCCAGAGACAAACGTGAGCATTATTAGTAGAACCTCCTGAAGCAAGCTGCCTCATTTCCTCCAACAGTCCTGGGTAGCAACCAGCAACCAACGGTTCTGGATCCTTCGATTTGTGAAGTCAGCTTTTCTTTGGGAAAGGCTGATCAGCATTTTTTTCCATTTTACACACTGAGCAACAGCAAAAATATCGTCGCAGCACAACTTAGTTATATTTTGATATGAGGAATAAGACTATATTGTCTCAATATCAAAATGTATTTTTCTCTCAACCGGCTGTTCCCCTGTCTGCAGGCCCACCTGGAAATTGCTCCAGACCCCCAGAATCTGACGGCCAAAAGTTTCAATGAACTGAAAGTGAGCAACGCGCTGCGCTACGAGGTCTTGACGGAGATCCTCTCCTCTCTGGGAATAAGCTGCGAGCTGAACCAGACTCCAGTCCCGAGCCCAGTCCACCTACTGGCCTCCTCTCCGGTGAGACCCCCGCTGCCTGTTAGACAAATATAGGAAATGTGAGTTTTGTGTGTCAGTGGTCTATCAGTGTTTTCAAGAAGGTACAAACATGAATAAGTGGTTGTGTATTCATCCAACTTCATTATTATGCATCATCCATCCATTCTTTCACTCGTCCATTCATCCAGCGGGCGCGCACGCGCACACACACACACACACACACACACACACACACACACACACACACACACACACACACACACACACACACACATCAGCGAGCACCAGTTTCTGTTGCTTAAAGTTAATTATATGAGGGACAGCACAGATAGCCGACATCCACTGCATGTGGAAACAATTTGGCCTCCTTAATGTATGCAAATGTATGATTATACATGCAGCCGGCCCACAGCAGGTGTGTGTACAGAGGGCCAGTACAAACAGCCGGGCAGTAATCAGTCTTTGGTCCGTCATCACAGCTCACTTTGGGTACCATACGGTTAGACTTTAGGAAAAACATTTCCCTCAACAAGTCTGCTTGATTGTGAAGATACGTCTTCTAGTCTCAGTTTAATAAAAAGCTGAGAAAGAAAGAAAATATTTGGAATGATTTAAAAAAATGTTAATGTTAATATTCATTTCAAAAGTTCGTTGTATAGTTAGATAGAAAATCTTAATTCAATTTTGATTCATGAATTGTGGCTTTATGATTTATCATTGTCGTTATTCGTGCTCTTTATAGCTTAGTTCGTTTTGTATTCAACAAAGTCCCACAATAAGAACAAATATATGATCTGATTGAAGCAGCAGTACACAAGCAACCCATGTTTTTTATTTCATGTTTTCAATGGAGTCTGGTGGCTTTAAAGTGAGCATAGATGGATATAACATTCTCAGCTCCCATCAAAAAGCGTTGTCTGATCACAAAAGAACGTTGTTTAAATATATCATCAGAATCTAAAATTCTGAAATGCATCCATAGCAGGACATTGTACTTTATTCAGCCCCACTTCAAAACATCCAAACTATCCCTTTAAAATATGCACTCAAATGTCCCCTCCCCGCCACACAGACAACCATTAACTTACTTTTAGTACATACTTTGCCTTACTTACTGCCTTTATAATATACACACTTTATAATATACACACTATTGCATTCAGTAAGCATTTAATAGAGACATGTTACTTTGTCATAACGTCACTCCTTGAACCCTCATGCGCATTCATCCGTTATGCAAAGGATAGTGGGTTGGAATAGTGGCAGAAAGCATGCTTACTTACAAGAAGTAAAATGAATAGCATTAAATACCACTATGGCATATAAAATATTCTGTTAGTTTTGATGATTCATGTACTCAAGAAGAACCACCAGGGGGAGTCGGAGCTCCTGGGTGTCCGAGAAACAGAAATCGAGAACCTCAGTGATTCAAAATGTGACCTTAAGTTCCACTAGCTGGTATCGATGAAGCCAGATGTCCTGCTTCGTCACTCCCTCTAAAAAAAGTAGTGTTACATTATTATTGGCTGTAGTTGCTTTGGGATTCTAGTTGTTTTTGTCTTCATTACTGTATATTTGGATTGCTTAGTGACCTTTAACCGCGCCGGCCCTTCCGCTGCCCCCACAGTCTCAACACAAGCAGGCTTATGGAAATCGGGGGCTGCAGAATCGTTTCCAGATTGTTGTGGAGAGCTGCCCGTGAACCTGAACGTGTCTGTAGAGCGGCCTCTCTGCTGCTGGTGCACTCCGCCTGGATCGGTTCCAGTCGTTTCTATTCAGTCCGAAAGTTGTTTTTGTCCCTTCAGTGAATTGATATGACGGCCGGAGGTTCCCATCAGTGCTTGTTTTCAGGCTTAGCTGGCCACTGTCCGAAGGGCTGGAAGCTCTTGCCTTGAATTAGTATCATTTCACAGAATCGTTTCCATTCCTGGGCCCGGTCTACAGTATTCAATTAATTAAAATGGATGTTTTCTCATTTGATCAACACAACATGCATAGTACTTTGAAGGTGCCAAATACCTCTTTTCTTGTAACATAAACAACATCTGCTGGACGCATAAGTATTCACCCCCCTGAGTCAATACTTGGTAGAACCCCATTCCGCTGCAATTACAGAGATGGAAATGTTCGTCCATTCTTGGCAAAAAATTTGAAGCTCCGTCAGATTGAATGGAGACCGTTTGTGAGCAGCAATCTTCAAATCTTGCCCTAGATTCTCATTTGGATTGAGGCGTGGGCTTTGACTGGGCCATTTTAAAACATTAACATTTACTTTGATTGACCATTGGCCATTCCATTATCTATACTAATAGTTGTCCTGTGAACAGATTGTCCCACCTCAGTTGTGGATCTATGAGGCTCCTCCAGTTACCAGCGGCCTCTTGTGAAGGCAATTGGTCACACCAGATCTTTATCGGAGATTTTAAAGTAAAGTGGGTAAATACATTTGCACCCAACACTTTTTATTTGTCCGGGCAGAGCGATGGACTGGACTGTGGTACCAAGCCCGTATACACTTGACACACTTGCCGTAGTCGGGGTAGTAGCAAGACTCACTCACATCACTGCAGGTGATGAAAAGGCTTTCCAGCACACACTAATTCATTCAGCGTGGCAGGGATAACTGACTTCCACCGCTGCTCAGTGGGTGTTCTTGTTCTGCGCCATGAGGTGGAAAATCACCATTTTCCTTCGTCTGGAGGTGAATTGGGCTCTCGAGGTAAATAGAATCAGGAAAGGCATAGATTTTCACTTTCATATTATAGGAGTCATTCAGGAGCACAGAGGCCCATTGTGTGTCAACGGTGTTATTTTTTTTATTCCCAGTTATCAATAGTGGGAAAGTTGTGAAACGGTAAGATGACATTTTCCATGTCATGTTTCCAGAACACTGCTTTGGCTACTGCTGCGGCTTCACGTGACATTTTATTTAACTAAATGTGTGAGTATTTTTCCTCCTAAATAATAAGTATACACGCATAAAAGTTGGCTATATAAACTTGTTGACGTGATGGTTGTTATACACGAGAAGCCATAAGGCTTACGGTTGCGCTTCTCTACTCCTTCTCTGAAATTGGGACGTCCCTCAACACGCCGGTCGCTGTTGATTTACGGGTCAAGTGATCGAGGAGTCAAGGAGTCAAGGAGGGATATTGGGATGAACCTTAAGTTTCAACAGTTCTTGTCATGTTCAAGACCTACAGACGTGTCTCACTGGGACCAATGTGTCATGCTCAGCCATTCGCGTGGCAGGTTTTGTTTATCCACAGAGAGGTTTTGATCCGTGTGTCAGTATCGTACAAATCGCACCATGTTATGTCTTGTGAGGATGACTTGATGTTCATGTTGACATTAAGAGAACCAGTTTTGTGTGCGTAAGTACACAGGAGAGAAGGCTGATTAATTGAAAGTGACTGGAACAGTGCAGACTGGGACTGCTGCCTAATTACGCTGTGTCATTGATTAGCCATACACGCTGGTTAACTCATTCAGCACATTAATTTCAAATGGAAAATCAATCAAATCCAACTTATTTTGGCCAGCTGACCCTGGATATGAAAAGCTTCGACTGGGGGCCTGATATGAAATCCCAGTCAGCCTTTTTAAATATGTGCATAAACCTGTAATGGCTCCAGAAGGTTTTTCATGTTTCTGGGGAGGTTTTTGTGTGTCGATGTGAGGGTTTCGGGACAGAGGATGTCACACGTGTACACACTGTAGAGCCCTCTGATGAAAATTTGTATTTCGTGATTTAAAAAAAATAAAATGAACAGCAATATAGAAATATATCCTTTAAACTACCAACCATCAAGAGAAAGAAAATGTGTCCTGTAAATAAATATTCACCTCTATATCCCTTTTCAGAGGTGCTCTGTTGTGTCATTAACATGCATCTTTATTTTAGTTAAAAAAATGTTCTTATTTTCCATGTTTTTATACTCCTCTGTGTTTATTCATAGCTTGATATAGCTAATATCTATGTGTCATACAGCTTCACGTGGGCCAAAAAACATTCAAAACACGTAAGGATTCCACTGGCAGACACACTGAACAATGAAAACAGGAACTAAGTAATTGTAATACTATCTGAACTTTGTAGTTACACAATAAAGATGAAATAAATACTGTATACTGTTTTGCACAAGCATTACCAACCTTGTCTAAGAGGCTTTCAGGTAGTTTATTCAATATCCTGAAATATGGATTTGGCTCTACGTTTATAGAGAAATCTATACTTCTATACTCATGGTGCCATTGTCCTTCTCTGCTCATCTCAGGAGGCCCGGACCACCTGCGTGGACTGGCTGCGGACACGTGCCGATAAAAATGGCCTCCTCGCGTTGCCCAAGGCCTCGCTCTCCTTGGTATCCACCTCAGGGCTCCAGGAAGGCCCTTCGCTCCCCGAGGGCTCCGTGGCCCTGGTCACCGACTCTTTAGAGTCCCAGAGCTGGCCTCAGTTCAGCATGGAGACCTACAGAAAGCACCTGAAGACCAGCCTGCTGGGGCACACCGTGCTGTACGCCGAGGTCACTACGTCCACCATGGACCTGCTGCAAGGGTAACACACGCTGCTCTGGGCCTGCTTAATGTGGGGGACATGCAACGTTGGCTTTTTGATTGCTGCAATGTGCACGGGATCACCAGCTGCGGCCCGCTAGTCAAATAAACCAAGCAAGTTCTTTCTTGCTATTCTTCCACTTGATTATTCCGACCCGCCAAAAGTCCAGATGAAATTGAATTCATCCAGTGTTTACAATATGCAGGGTGGAGTCGTTACATTTAAAATCCACCCCGTGACTATTTATTCATAACTTTTCTTGTGCGACACTCATTCAGTCGCTGCTATGGGGTTCTTTCACATCGGTGCGAGGTTTGCTTCTACGGTTTGAGAACGTGGACTCGGCCTGCAGGTGGATGCTGGGTGGAGGCGGGTCTTTGGATCAGCTCTATCCGCGCTGTGGTGGCAGCTTTCAGGGGAGCCGTGTGGCTGCAGGAATGTAACGAGAAGAACACCGCCATGATTAAAAGGATGCTTGAATAAGGCGACAAGACAATGAGAAAAAACAACTGTGTGTGTGTGTCTATGCGTGTGTGTGTGTTGGCCACTAGACGGGCTGGAACTAATTTAATGCCTAAGTGACCTCACTGCGGCGAACGCTAGTTGTACCTAATAGACTTCTTTTGTCCACATCCACACGTGAGCAAAAGTGGCTGTTGAGTGGGTCGGTAAGGTGGCAGATGGGAGCAATTAAAACTGTCATAAAGTTTGAAAAATGGACGGCGGAGCAGCGGTGAGCTGATTGGAACAGACAGTGTTGTCATTAAGGTTATACAGAAACTAATGCAGGGTGAGCGAGCGGGCCTTTCACCCCCAGCCCGGATTTCCCCGCTAACTTTTGTGTTTCCAGATGCCCCCCCCCCGCCCCCCGGCCCCCCCCCCCCCCACTCACACACTCCCTGCAGCCTTGATTAATGTTATTATGAAGGAATGTCTGTTTTATTTCTTGGAGCGTTGGTGTTTATTAAACATTCAGTGTGATACTGAATACGTTCAGAGAGGATCGCCCTCGTAGGACTGACAGCTGTAAGCGTTTTGCAGAGGGACGCTAGCGGGAGCTAGCGGGCAGTTTTTGCTTCTCTCTGTTGGACAATCCTCACAATTTGACAGGTTGGAATGTCCTCTTTGTCCATTCTGAGTCAAATCCATTCGGGCTGTGAGAACAGAAAATACAGAAACCTGCATCCAATTTTGCCTGTTATTTTATCTGCCTCCCCCGACTCCATGGATGACTTCTAATTTTCTTAAGTGAATTTTCTTTCCACCCGATTTTGATTCGAATAAAGTCATTCAGAGAAAAAACATACTTTGAGTCATATTTGGTCAAAACAGACAAAACAAAAAATTGCCTAATTTTTAACAGCCTCCTCATTGGCCACACAGGTCATGAGTCCAGAGGGAAAGAGCTCGGTCCTTGTTGGCTTTCGTCCTGGCTCTGTATTAGCAGGCGTCACACTACGTGGCTGCAGGAAGGTGCCTGAACCACGCAGAGCTCCGTCAGGGATCAGCAGCACCTTGAGTTAAAATGAAGGGAAAGAAATCCCCCGTAGTGTCACAGGAAAGCTTCGATGAGCTGCTCAGATGCTTTACTTGCCTTTTGTGATGTTTTCATAAGTCTGGGGAAGAGAAGACAAATGAATGTGAATATTCCAATGCCCTCAGTTTGAGACACTGTAAGCCTTCGCAATATTTCTTATTGGTCAGAAATACTTTTGGTTACTAAAAGGCTACATTTCTTTTAGGGGTAAACAATTTCGTTTAGAATTAGGATTTTCCAAAAACATAGGTTAGATACAGAGGAAAAATACAGCACAAAAAATATTTTAAATGATCAGTGCACACTTTTAATTTAAATTATTTTCATTTAGATTAAAATTAAACTTTGAGGTACTTGTAGTACCATTGGATTGGACAAGGTGTTTCTGACTGAGTAAATGTAAAGTGAAGAAGCAGATATTCTTAATTTTATTTTAATTTAAATACATCTTCATCTCTAGACTTTTTACAATTCATGCGCCATCGAATGTTATATCCAAGGAATCTGTGACTAACTAGATTAATCTCTATGTTGCTAAACAATATAATGTAATGCATATATGAATAATAATACATATATAAAATATAACTGAATATGAAAAATGTTTGTTTTTGCAGGAGTTCACATTGATTCTTTGTGGAGGGAACCAATCATCCCTTCAGCCTTATTTATCAGAAATGCTAGAATAATATACAATTAACTTCTATTATGCAAGTCTGTAATAGATATGTTACAAATGGCTCATTTGTGCACTGTTAAATCCTGTAAATTGTTGAGTCAGTGGTTACAAAGATTGTCTTTAAAGAATATAAAAAAAAGCATACATATTCTTATGCTCTAAATTAAAGTTAGTTAGGAGAGGTTCTTGTTGTTGACGTGCGCATGTGAACATGTCAACCTTTTTCACCCAAAAAATCATTCCTGAGGACCTTAAAGGAATCGTATCTCATTAGAGAAATTAGGGATATATTGTTAATGAAATAAGCGAACAAAGGACGAATTCCAGACGAGTCGTTTTATTAGACTCCTTTGAGAGGACAACGACTGTGGCTCTCCTTATATCTGCGGCACAAATAAAGGATTGAGGAGGCCTAATGGGGAGTCCGTTTGAAGGCGAAGGGCCCGCAGGTCAGCGCTGATGAAAATGCGGGTTTTGTCGCGTCTGAGTGCAGAGGCTGGAGGCCGGGCCTCAATAGCTGGCAGGCCGCGTGTTTATTTAGGGGGTTAGCGCTTTGTTTGGCGGGCGGCGGCTAATAATAGCCAGTACCGAGACACGGTACGGGGTTCTCACAAGGTCACACCCAACTGGAATCTCAATGCTCTCAGCGGCCATTGAACACATGTGTCAAACGACGACAACCAAAAGAACGTCACATTGTGGTGCCATGAGTTGCGGGCCGGACTAAGATCCTAGAGAGTCCGCTGTTTGCAGGCTAGTCAAATGTCAAAGAAAATTAGTTTCTCGGTGTCCTGTGATATGGAATAAACTTCTAATTTATTTCTTTACATGGCAAATGCACTACGGAGTAAAAGAGCAGGGGATTGAACCGCCGATCTTACGATTAGATTAGTGGAGGACATGCTATACTCTAAAAACTGAATTCATATTTATTGATATGAGATTTCTGGTCTAAAATCTGACACACTTTTTTTATGTAAAGTACAACTGCTTGCATTCAGGAAACATAATCGAGACCTTTTAAGCTTCTTTTATTCAAATTAAACTAATAGAAACATTTCTCACAGCCCAAAACCAAAAGACTGACTTCTGCTTATTATTAAGTACACAATACAAATAATATACAATACAGACATTCAGATAATGGTGTTTATTTCATTTTCACTCTTAATTGATCTAATTTGTTTGAGTAAATTGACAGCGGCTGTCTATAGAATGTATAATGTTTTCCAACCACCCGTCCACATCAGATGATGATGAATCCTCCTTTAGAAGAGCTGAACCCAGAGAAAAGCGCTTTCACCCCAGCGATTAATCGTTCATCACAGTGGCTGGCGGTTCATAATGGATTTATAAACTAATAGCTTGAGCCCTGTTGAGTGTGAGCTTCAACAACAATCTGTTGGTGTTTGTTTAAGGACAGTTAACGGCGTGGAAGTGTTTATCTGAGAAGAGACTACAGGCGTTTTCCTGACACCACTTGGCTGCTCCAGAGAGCATAATGATTCTCTTCCTGCTCGGCTGAACTTGATCCCCGCGCCCCGAGCAAAACACTTCCTACTTGTTGACTTTTTGCTTGTGAGAGCTTCAGGCTCAGACATGAAAACCCAAGGGTCCACTTTTACCTTTGTATTCTCTCCCCCCCCCACCCCCCTCAACAACCCTTTAATCTCACAGGCACAATAGGTGCATGAAAATTGGATCTTTCTTCTTCTTCTCGTGCTACTTCTGCTCCGTACATTCAGAAGGTATTTTTCACACTGGGTGAGTAGAACGGGGTGAGCGCCTCGTAACACATTCGCACTTTGTAAATCTGAACCCGAAAAAACAAGCGCTTCTTTTACTTAAAGCTGTTCTAGTTGTTGGACAAAAAGACCCAACAACCCTGCTGTTTTGACAACCAATCCAATATCCAAACTGACACTGTATAGAATTAAGAGTCCTGTTTCCTGTGAAACCCCCCCTGAGAACACTCATGGGGGTGGTGTTTGGAGCAGAGAAAATGGATTCCTCATAACTGCGGCAAAAGGTTCCACCATAAAAATCAAATTGGCCCAATTGACCTTGCATGCTCCACCTGCAATTATATGAGATTGTAAGCAGATGCCTAAACGTCCCCGCTTCTTCTGGGGAACATGTGGTGCAGTGTGCAGCATGTGAACTTTGTGGAAGGTATGCTGTCCTCTGGAGCCCCCCGAAGGGTCCACAACTAGCTTCATCAAGACTACTCCACCCTATAAGCGGGTTTACATCCAAAGACTGCATATAGTGTGAGTAGGGAATACACCTGATCCATATTACTAGTTTTATGCCAATACACTTCACATTAATGACGGCAAACTGTCCCTTAGGCAGCTGCGTCAAAGGATCCCTCCCGTTCATTTTCCATCATCTAGAAAAATAAAACAACCACAAACGATAACGACTGATGGAGGCAGAAGTGTGTCGACGACTTCAGGTGATTTTATTGATGGTGAATGTGCACCAGTCGAGAACGGTAAATCATAAAGGCAAATGAAAATTAGATTAACACTTAAGATAATCAGAAGAAAAGACATGTGGTTTGGACTTGAATCCAAACCAAGTGGAAATATTTTGTTATAGACGCAATATTGTACGTATTCCTGTATCGATTTGTGTAGTCCTGTAGACATAGGCCCACTTACTATTTAAAGGATCGCTCTCATTGCCATAACTTCAATGTCCGACATCCATAAATCTCTCTGATCAAAAATCAGATGATATCTAACCTAAAATTGGTGTATTTTACCCGTCTTCGCTCCG